GAGGTGGTATGGAGTTTGAGCTTCGAGTACAGCAAATGGACTTTTCAAATTTCCCATTTTAACTTGTGGCTCCAGGAAGTAATGATCTTTCTTCTCTCCTTTAAAATAAATCTTTCCCTGCTTCTAAACACCAGGGGAATATTATGAACACATTCAGAACTAACATTACAGAGCTAACACAGCTGAAAACTCTGCATCAGCATTGTGAAAAGGCCTGTAATCCCTCAGGGAGAAAAACTCCAAACATGATCAGCAGTGCAAGGCTCTTTACTGTTGATTCCGAGCAACAGTAAGTTTGGGGTTCTTGCTACTCATTTAGCAAAAATAAACTTTCAAAAATACAGAAAGAAAAACTGAAACTGTACAGAATACATACTCTTGGTCAGTTTCACCTCCGGATCTCTTGACCAAGGAACATGTCACCCTCTTGTGGCCTCAGGACTGAGGGAAAAAAAGGTGGGAAGAAGAAAGCAGACAGAATGAGGCACAGATCAGGCTGCTCAAGTCTCAGGCAGATTTGCTCCCTCATCCATGCTGCTTTGTGTACCAAGCCAAGAGGCTGCATGACAGACACCAGATTCAGTAATTTTTGCTTTTTGCATTGATAAATCCTTTTGGAATATTAAGTCAGCTGGGAACATGAATATTAAATTGAATTTAAATATATTCATGTGTTCATGTGAACAGATGTGACAATTGGAAGGGCTAATAAAAAAAGAAGAAGTAGTTAAATGAAGACATACTAGTTTAAGAATTAGAAGTTTTTTGGTCCTGGTGCAATATAGCCTACTGGCTAAAGTCTTCACCTTGAATCTGCTGGAATCCCATATGGGTGCCGGTTTGTGTCCTGGCGGCCCTGCTTCCCATCCAGCTCCCTGTTTGTAGCCTGGGAAAGTAGTCAAGGATGGTTCAAAGCCTTGAGACCCTGCACCCATGTGGGAGAGCAGGAAGAAGCTCCTGGTTCCCGGTTTAGGCTTGGCTCAGCTCTGACTGTTGAAGCTGCTTCGGGAGTGAACCAGCAGATGAAAGATCTTTGTCTCTCCTTCTCTCTCTAAATCTACCTTTCCTGGGCCTGGCGTGATGGCCCAGCAGCTAAAAGTCCTCACCTTACATGCGCCAGGACCCCATATGGGTACCGGTTCTAATCTTGGCAGTCCTGCTTCCCATCCAGCTCCCTGCTTGTGGCTTGGGGAGGCAGTCGAGAATGCCCAAAGCCTTGGGATCCTGAACCCACGTGGAAGATCCAGAAGAGACTCTGGGCTGCCAGCTGCTTCACTCTAATCCAGCTTCCTGCTAATGTGCCTTGGAAAATATGAGAAAATGTCCTAAGTGTCTAGTCTGTGCTATCCATGTGGGAGAACCAGATGAAGCTCCTGTCTCCTGGTCCAGCCCCGCCTTTGTGACTATTTGGAGAATGAACCAGGACTTGAAGATCTCTCTCTCTCTGTATATATATGTATATGTGTGTATATGTATATGTGTTTTCCTGTCTCTGTAACTCTGCCTTTAAAATATTTTTTATTGTTATTAAAAAAGAAGAAGAAGAAAAGAGCATTCCTCTGTTTGACGTCAGTTGGGAACAATTTTTTTTGCTGCTTTGTACATATCTATGATTGTGAAAGCACTATGAATATTAACTATGGATTATAAATAAGTTTTAGCAAGTGGGTAAATTTGTAACTGTGGGAATAATGAGGACTGACTTCATGTGTTTAGCCTTTGCATTTCCTATAAAATTCAATTGGGAAAAACAAGGCTATCTGTTGGGGTCCATGCAGTGGATGTGGGGGACATGAAGGTGTGAAGAGTGTTGTTCCATTGCAGGCAGAGTTGTAGGACCCGGTGGATGTCTCTACAACCACCTGAATGCAGCTGCACCTTCCTTTTCATGGACACCGGACCACCCTGCAGAAGAATTCTAATCCATTCAGGCATTGTTTGCTACTGTGGAGTTGGCTTTTTTACTCAATGTGAGCTTGGAGGTTAATGTCAATAATAACATCTTGCAAAAGGGCCTTCTAATTATTGCTACTGTCTTGGCTGTCCCCATTGACCTTATGCTAATCAAGGGACCTGTATTTAGGCTTTCATTTTTTCCTTGATCTTTAGGTTCTCCTTTTCTTTGTGATACAAGATTAAGTTGTAGAATAAGAATTGTAGCAGGAATTTCTATTTTTTTTTTTTTTTTTAGGTAAAACAAATGGCAGAATTATCCTTAGAAAGGTCTGAGCCAGAGTTTGACTGTTTTGTCCATTATGATCATGAAATCATAGTGGTCCATTTCTTTCCTCTTTACGCCTCATCCACGCACCCTTCTCGAGTTCCGAAGTCAGCTGGAGCTGGACTCTGGCAGCTATCCCTCTATTTTTTCTTCAGCACTTGGTTGACCATTGGTAGATGTTAAATAAGTATTTGTTGGAAGACTCAATGGCAGGTGCCATAGTAAATGTGCAGGTTACTTTGCAAAGATGATTTAGTTTTGGCTCCAGGTTAGCAGAATGAAGTGGGGAAAAAATGCACATACAGAGCCATGTCAGTAAGTTAGAGCTTTCATAGGTTTCTACATGTTTGGGAAAATTGTTTCTAAAGATAGAGGGGACTGAAGTAAGAAACCAAAAGATTAAAAGGTCTTGTTATACATGGCTAGCCACAGAAGAGTTTTGAACCAGGAGAGGACTTTAACTCTAGGCTGCCACACCAGGCTCCCTAATTTCCTTGTTTTAACGTGTGATCTAGATGTTAACAGCAGTGACCAGTGATGGCTTCGTCATTTGGGGTTGCTGTAACAGGTTACCGTAGAACAGTTGATTTAAATACCAAATGTTTTCTGGAAATCTGATATCAGAGAGGCACGATGGTTGGGTTAGCTGAAGATCTTTCTGGTTGCAGACCTCTTCCTTCTCTCTGTATCCACACATGATAAGACTTTTTAAGGCCATGGTTACCACTCATCCAAGCTCTCTCGCATTCGAGGTCTCTGGAGATACGAAAATACAGGATAGGTGGATAAAATATCTGAAGGAGAATTTATGGGATGGGATGAGGCTCATGTGGTAGTGGCAGCTGAGAAATCTTTTATTTTCTTGTTTTAAGACAATTATTTTTTATTTTTGATTATTTTTGTACACAGTTGATTAGGATGCAAAGGGTCAAGGGCTACAGGAAGGCGTGTGAGACTACATTCTCTCAGGAAGGAAAAAAAGAGAATGTAGAAAGATCTTCACTCCACTGATTCAATCCCAAACTGGTCACAATGGCCAGAAGCTGTGCCAATTTGAAGCCAGGAGCCAGCAGCCTCTTCTGGGTTTCCCACACGGGTGCAGTGTCCCAAGTCTTTGGACCATCCTCGAGTGTTTTCCCAGGCCACAAGCAGGAAGCTAAATGGGAAGTATGGCTGCCAGGACACCAACTGCAAGCTACAACAGACTACAAAAATGGTAGATTATACAGATATACAGAGAGAAGGAGAGACAGAGAGAAAAAGCTCCATTCCAGTGATTCACTCCCCAAGTGGCTGCAACAGCCGGAGCTGAGTCTATAAGAAAGGCAGGAACCTGAAGCCTCTTCTGGATATCCCACATGTGGGTGCAGGGTCCCAAGGTTTTGGGCCTTCTTGGCTGCATTCCCAGGCCCCAAGCAGAGATCTGGATGGGAAGTGAGGTAGCTGGCACACAAATCGCTGCCCATATGGGATCCCAGGCATGTAAACTAAGGACTTTAGCTACTAAGCTATTGTGCTGGGCACCAAATCATAGATTTTTGAGGTAGATATTTTAAGTAGTGTTGGGAGAGAAAAGTGGTATTCAGGGGAATGATTCATACAGGCCTGAAATGCAAAGATACTTCCTTTAGAATGAATGAAGAGGAAGATAAAATTCTCCCAAGTCCTGTTCTGCCAGCTTCAAGATTTTGGCTTGTAAGGGCCCAGTGGCATGGCCTAGCAGCTAAAGATTTTGGCTTTTATCACTAAATTTATGACTTTGAAGATCTAGACAGATGTAGAGTCTCCAGGCTCCATATTATCACGACAGCACTTGCAGCAGGAGGGGAGGGCACGTTCTGTTAACAGGATTAAATGGAACAAAAGAGGGAGGGACAGAGAACCCAAACTTGGTCACACCATGTTGAAAACTTAAGTCTTGAGAGATTGAATAGTCAATTAGCAATACCAGAGTAAATATGAAAACAGAACCCTGACCTACACCCTACAGCAATCATAACAGCCAAAAATCAACCCCTAGAACAATCTGCCCAAATCCCCGTGGGTTCTTAACTAAAGATTGCTCATGCTAACATCCTCCAATCTGAGCACATCTTTTTCCTACTATAAAGCTTTATACTTTGCTTGCATTTGAGTTTATGCCTAGGGCTAAGGATGGTGGCAAAACTGTTTTAGTTAAAGCAAATTTAAATGGATTTCTTTGCTTCTATTATTTATGTGTTCTACACCGTAAAATATATGAAACAATTTTTAAGAGTTTAACCAAAGGAATAGTGTCACATGGTAGGAAACAATAGGTATGAAGAGATTAGTGTATTCTCCAGAAGAGCTAAATGCTCTAATAATCTAATCGTAAATCACACCCATTTAATCTCATTTGATGTAAATGATAGATGTTTGTTTATATCACAATTCAGCCGGGTGTTTCCAGGGCTTCTCCCAAGATTAGAATCTGAATTTGGTAAACTGCTAATTTTGTTCTTGTTCTCCGTTTATATTCTACCCAATGAAAGTCTTTACAATTCTTTTTAAAATTTCCTTCTGGATTTATTTTACGTAACAATTTAAGCTCAATTAACGGCTCTTTAAACAAAAAGTTTGCGTAGCCGACACAGGAAGACTGGCATGTAACCAGAAAGGAAGTGTTTCTGTGATACATGCTTTTGAGCCCGAGAGAGCCCTTGCACATGCGCAGAAGCGGTGCTTGGGCGGGGAGTTCCGCCGCGTCAGGTCACGCTCTAAGCGAGGATTGGCGCTGCGAAGGCCGAGGGGCGGAACCGGAACTGCTCTCGCAGTGTTGTGGTGTAGCTCGGCTGGTGGTTGTCGGCGTTTTCCCCGTGTTTAGGGGCGAGCTGCTGTTTCCGAGGAAGTCATGGGGGAGGCAGAGAAGTTTCACTATATCTACAGTTGCGATCTGGACATCAACGTGCAGCTTAAGATGTGAGAGAACCTGGGAACAGGCGCGGGATTGCCGGGGCAATTGGACGCGAAGGCAGCCGCCTGGGAGGGATGGTGACAGCCCGGGCGGCGGGCGTCCCGAGACCGCGGCTTGGGAAGCGACGAGTGGGGTGTGGGAAGGGCTCTCTGTGAGGGTGCAGGGCCTGATTGCTGAGCAGGGCGCCGACAACACCCTCCTCACATCCACTGGCATGTTTCCGTGGGGAACCCTTGGAGGTGTCATGTTGCCAGTTGCAGTGTAGTGAGAGCCCCTCCATAAAGGAGAGGGACATCTGGAGGGTAGGATGAGAGCTGCAGAGATCCTGGACTAGCTAGAGGCAGGTGCGGTTGCAAAAAAGATAGGCGCCTGAGTGCGATGTGGATCAGTAGCGCAGGAGCTGACAGGACTCTGTGCAGTTTGGCGTTGTGGAGGCAGAAAAGTTGAGAGGGATTCGAAGATGAGGGGGACTCTGGTTGAAGGACTAAGACGATAAGGCCAAAAAAAAAAAAAAAAAAAAGCAGGGAAACGTTTAAAGAGCATGGCATTCCGAAATGAGGATGGTGGGTTTAAAACTGAATCGGAAATCCCATCCACTTAAGTGGTCATGCAGAACTGTTGTCAAAGCTGGCACAAAGCCCTGGCAGTGAGAGGGCCACATGGGTGCAGTGTACTGTGAATACCTTTCATGCACACTTCAGATGTCCCAGGGAATTACAAAGGTAACTTTCCCCAAGTGGAACATATGATTAACTTACTCCTCTGCCTAAGACTGGCTGTGTTTTCTGTCACTCTCTTTGGTTGATTCTTCACAACATGTGTCAAATTTTTAAGTCAGATATCTGTGACGCTTCTCCGCTACTATGTCTGTCCCATCACTTGCCCTGTTGTCCTAAACCCACCTGCCACAGCCCAGTGACCCTGCCAGGCTACTGCCCTGGTGGCATATCTTCTTTTCTCACGATGGCAAGTCTTCCTCCTGCAGTACCTTTCAGTCATCTGGCCCAGCATGTTCTTGCGCTGCTGCTACAGGAATCTTGAATACAAAACTGATGTGTCATTTTCTTTTTTTCCCTGTCATTCCACTAGCAGATGCTTTAAATGTTTGCTTTGCACCAGGTGCTGTGCTGCGTTTGGCCACAAGTTTTCATTCACATCCTTTGCTTCCCTACATAACCTTCCTGCCTTAATTGATTTGAACAATTTGGGGTTCTCAGACATACCTTTGTTTATTTATTTATTTATTTATTTATTTATTTATTTATTTATTTATCTATTTATTGCCTTTTTGACTTTATACATGCTGCGCTTTCCCTTTGGGGACAATACCCTATCTTACTCCCTCCTGGTTATTTTGTTCAGGCTCCTCTCAGGTATCTGTGGCTTTCCAAGCACCTGTCCCAAAAGCAGGGGTGGAGTTTCTGAAACTCTTTGGTTTATCTTGTGGAAGTGAGAAGAACATTGATTTTGGCCCCCCTGCTGTTAGTAGCTTCCACTTAGTTTGTGACTTTGGGTAATGAATTTGAGCTCAGAGTTTCTGCTTCCTCATTTATAAAATGAAACTATGCTAAAAATAAAAGTAAGTCTATATAATGACTAGCTCTATAAATGTGGTATAATCTTGTTCAAGAGATGCTCTTATCTCCTTAATAATATATTGTGTACATCTTTATGACTATTTTTAATTCAAAGAAATCCCCTAACATGTACATTTTAAAAAATTATTTATTTTTTTTTAAATTGAAAAGCCAGATTTACAGAGAGGAGTGACAGAGAGAAAGATCTTCCATCCGCTGATTTACTCTCCAAGTGGCCGCAAAGGCCAGAGCTACACCAATCCGAAGTCAGAAGCCAGAAGCCTGTTCTGGGTCTCCCACATGGGTGCAGTGTTCCAAGGCTTTGACTCATCCTGTCATGCTTTCCCAGGCCGCAAGCAGGGAGCTAGATTTGATTTGGAGCAGCCTGGATACGAACCGATGTGCATATGGGATCCTGGTGCATGCAAGATGAGGACTTTAGTCACTAAGCTATCATGCTGGGCCCCATATTTTTTAAAAGTAAAAGGATACACAAAGTATGAAACTAAGTTTTTTCCTTGGAAGCCATGAAGTAGCATTTTCTTCTAATGCTGTATATATTTTTTTAATCTTTCATTTCTGGTTTCTTAATGTTCATTAAGATGAGTGTTTGCTGATAGAATAGGTTAATATGTGGTCAGCTTGCAATGAATCAAATAAAGCTAAGGCCTGAGTAGCCAATAATAAGAGTATAGATAAAAGTTGATGACAGCATTTGTATTTTTTTTACAAACTTGTTTGAGCAGCTGAGATCGACAGATACAGAGGACAGAGGGGGCGAGCCCTCCTTTGTGGGTCACCTGCCAGGTGCCTGCAAAGACTGGCCCAGGTAAAAGCCCAGAGCTTGGAACGCAATCCAGTTTTGTTTTGTGGGTGACAGGGCCCCACTGTGTTAACTATTACCTGCCTTCTCCAAGGGTGTGTATTAGCAGGAAGAGGGAGTCTGGAGCTGATTTCAGGTGTTTGAACTGATAATTTTACTTCTAGGCCATTGCAGGATTTAAAATTAAGATGCTTAATCTAGAAAAAAATATTGATGAAGATAAGAATAACCTTGGATGTATTAGGACTTTAAGAGACTTTTTTATGTGTAAAAGTCACTGATTTTCTGTACAGAAAAATGCTGTTTAATGTTGAGAGGACCTTGATGTGAACTCTGGCTAGTGTGTGTTGGGCATGTATGGATTTGCTTAATATCCGATGTCTAACACGTTGCTCTTGTACTTTCAGAGGAAGCTTGGAAGGGAAGAGAGAACAAAAGAGCTATAAAGCTGTCTTGGAAGATCCAATGTTAAAGTTTTCAGGGCTGTACCAAGATACATGCTCCGACCTTTATGTTACCTGTCAAGTTTTTGCAGAAGGAAAGCCTCTGGCCTTGCCAGTGAGAACATCTTACAAGGCCTTTAGTACGAGATGGAAGTAAGTTATGTTCTTGTATGTGATGTATCGCAGACTATTTTTCCTGTTCTTTATAAGAGTTGTGATTTTACGGATTTCAGAGAAATTTTCTGTTTGTGCTTGCTGATCAGATGGTTGAAACACAATACATGTAGTATTATATGTAGCAGTGTTACAACTGCCGTGAAAAGTTCCGTGATTAAAATCAAAACTGTGTAGAGCGCGTAAATTCTCTATGCATTTTTTTTCCTGAGCGTGTGAATGCTTCAGGATAGTCTGAAACGATGTCTAGTTTGCTAAAAGGAGTACAAATCTTTAGAGACAGAGTCTTGTCAACTGTTCGGCATTAATTACCTATGAAAGTTTATGTTTGGGTTTGTGATTTATTCAGCATGGTACATTGTCAAAATGTTGGGATGCAGGGTAAATGCAAATAAGGTGAAGGCTTTGTTTTCCTACCAAATAATTGTGAATCCTTGATCATACTTCTTGTGACATTTGTTTAATAAAGTATATGGTTGTTCAGTCAGTGAATATTATTCAACATCCAGCAGAATGATAAGGTTGTATATTCTTACAGGAAAGGGTTCTGCAGAAGATGTGGCTGCATGGACAGCCAGTTGGTGCTGTGTGTAAAGAGGAAACTATACCAACTGCAGAAACCTGAATTTTTGTGATTTGACTGCAACAAAAATGTATTCTATGATGTAATTTTTAATAGTGTTAGTGGATATATAAACATGTACATAGAAATGTGTGCACTTTTTTGTTCTTGACAGTTTGTAACTTAGAAAAGTAAAGGTTGTAATGCAACCAAGTTCTAAATCCACATCAGAGTACTAATTAGTTATTGGCTTCTGATAATTTTGTATTCCTTACCAGTTCTTTGAAGCAAATTCTTTTTTTTTTATTTTATTTATTTTTTTCCATTTTTTATTATATTTTTGATAATCTTTACATGGTTAATTAGGGTAAAAAGGTTCAAGGGCTACAGGAAAGTGGGTAAGACTATTATTTCCATATTGTTTCCTTCATGTATCTGAGGTAAAGGGGAATATAAGGGAGAAGCCCCACCCACTCTCCCACCCACCCCAGGTCCCAGATGTGGGGCATGCTCTGAGGGCTTGTTCAAGTGCTTTTGATAGTTCAACAGTTATGAATTACTGCCAATCTTGCCACTCCAAGCACGGTGAGGTCGTTGAAGAATCCACTGATTGACATAGTCCATCATTGCATCTCTGTTTGTCTAGTTTTTCACTGCCAACATATAGCTGAGGTGGTTGATTGACTTATTTTGTCCTCTGTCTTTTCATGGTTAGGGTTCTGAGTCCGGCATTTTGATTGGAGAGATCCCCAAAGAAACTTTGTCTGAGGTTTTCCCAGACCAGATTCTTGTATGTAGCATCAAGCACAGGGCCTGGCACAGTTCATTGCCCTAATCAGCTGGCTGTTGCAATTGCTGGGTTGTTTCTGTTTCCAGCCCTGATTTCCACTGGAACCAATGGGTGTTGCATTCCAGCCTGATTTTGCCCAGCACACTCTGCCCTCACATTACCAATGTGGGCTTGCCCAGCCTAGTTGGAGCGACCCCCAATAATCCCCCAGGCCGCCCCTACCCTGGTTTGCAGTATGTGTGGGCAGACTAATCCAGTCTGTTCCACATCCCACTAGGCTCTGGTCCTGTCAATGTGGCGATTAAAGCTTAGGTTCCATCTAACCAGTAACTATCCAGCAGCAAGGGATGTTGAGGGTGCCTCTCTGTCTAGCCACCCCAGCCCCCTGTCCTAGTTTTTGTGCCTCAGTGGGAGTGGTAACCCCCAAACAAAGAGGGAGGATCCCACTATTTTCCCTCCCAGGGCCCTCCCAACTCCCGGATTAAGCACTCTCCAGGTGGTTCTGTGATTCAATTTGACCGAATTAGCCCCCAGTGCCAACTTCAGCAGCTGATGCTGCAGCTAAGCCCATCACCCTCCCCACTCTAATTTTAGTTGCACCAGTAGGATTATCAGCCCAGCTGCTTTTCCCTGATTCGTCACACGAGGCGCACAGGTGTTGTAGCCCTGCTGAGTCTGGTCTGCCCCATCCCAGGTCACGCTCTCCAGTGGGAGTAGTTGTCCAGCAAGGAAATGCCACCATATTGCCCCTGCCAGCTCTGTCCCCTACTTTCTGGTTTTCACATGTGCTGGTTGGGTGCTGCAGTCACATCCGGTTTAGGTAACCTCACCATGGCATTCCGTATTGTGCACTAGTTTTTGTCACTTCCGAACCTGGCTCGACCCACACGCTCTGTTCTAGTTTTCGGATTTGCCAGTGGATGAGGTGAACTGATTCAGCCTGGTCTGGGTGGTTTCTTATCATGTCTTTGAAGCAAATTCTAAAGATTATATAATCTTAACTATTTATGTAAATAATTTTAATATGTTTTAAAAAATATTTCATCTCTTTTTGAATGAGTTGCAAAGAGAAAAGAAATAGCAGGATATTGCATCTGCGGTACAGTGAACAAATGGCCTTAGTTCCTGGCCAGATTGAAGCCAAGTCCTTTTTTGTGTATTTGGGCTATCGTCTGGTGCTTTCCCAGGCACAGTAGCAGGAGGCTAGATGGGGAGTGGAGCTTCTGGGACTTGAACTCGTGCCAGTATGGTATGCTGATGTTGAAAGGCTGGCCTATATAAATCTATAAAAACTATAATACCGCATCACACCCACCTAAATCAAAAGACCATAGTTTCTCAGTTGTATTAGAGGTTGTTAAGCTGAAAGGAGGAACTCTTCAAAACCCTGAAATTGGGGTAAAATTTTACATCTTTTAAAAAAAAATTATTTGTGATGGCTTTTAAATAGTTGATTAGGGTGTGAAGGATCAAGGGATAGACGCAAGTGGGTGATACCAGTGTTTACACAATCATTTTTCTTCCTATATCTGCGGAAAGGTGAGAGATGAGAGGAGAAGCCACATGCAGCTTCCCAACCATCCCAGGCTCCCTACTGTGGAGCATGCTCCCAGGGTCCTGCTCAAGTGGTTTTGATAGTTCAGCTGCTCTGAACTTCTGTTTATCCTGCAACTCCAATCATGATGAAATCTCTCCAGAATTGACTGGCTGACATAGTTCACTTTGAGGCTCCATTTTCCTGGATATTCACTGCCTTCACTTCACTGGGGTGGTTGATCAACTTGTTCAGTCCTCTGTACTCTGTATGGTACCAGGTGTCCTCTGTAGACTCCAATGTACTTCCATATCCTCATGGTATTGGATTGCAGCCCACTGCTCTGTCTAAGCCAGTGAAGAGGCTCAGCTCTGACACATGCCCTCCACGGTAAGATCATGGAGCCTGCAGTTCTCTCCATGGTTGGGATTCTGAGTCCAGTGGTTAAGTTGGGGTGTGGATAGGGGAGAAATGCCTCATCTGAGGGCATCCCAGACCCGGTCTGGCACAGACACTCACCCAAATCAGCCTATGAATGCACTAGTATTTGCAATTGCTGGATCAATTCTGTCTCTAGCCCGGTCTTCTACACAAAATAATGGGTGTTGGAGTCAGCCCACACACCTGCCCCACACACATTCCGCCTATATGCAAACCAGTGGTAGCTGCAGCCTAGTTGGAGCAACTTTCAGTAACCCCCACCATGCCTGCCCCCTGCCCTGGTTCCTGTGCTTGCCAGTGTATACAGCACTCTGATCTGGTTCAATCTGTCCTACATCCCATTCAGCTCTCACACATGTCAGTGGGCATTGGAACCTAGTTCAGCCCAAGCAAGCCACTATCCAGTCCACACTGCTGCTGGAGGATGTCACCACCTAGCCATGCCTGCCTCTAGTCCTGGTTCTTATGCTCACCTGCAGGAGTGGCAACCCAAGAGGGTGGTGCCCACTGTTTTTCTACTGGGCCCACTCCCATTCCCAGATCCTGCATTCTCCAGGTGGTTCTGCAGTTTAGCCTGACAGAAGTTGTTCCCTGTGCCAGCCTCTGCCAGCTGGTACTGCAGCAAAGTCCAGAGTACTCACACCCACTCTGGCTTATGCATACACCAAAGGAACAGCCAGTCCAGCCTGGCTTTTTCCAGCTCACAGGTAGGCCACCAGGTGTATAGCCCCGCCCATCCTGGTCTGTCCCTAATCCCAGCTCTCACTCTCAGCAGTGGGAGTGATGGTCCAGCAGGTGGTTCCTGCAGTCCCCCTACTGGTTTCACTGCTACCCCTTCCCCAGGTCTCACATGTGCTGATTGGGCAGTGCAGTGCTGTCTGGCATGACCTGCCTCATCTTGACATTTTCCATTGGGTGCTGTAGCCTGGCTGTGCCCAGCCCGCCCCTTATTCCAGCTCATGTTTGTGGGGGATGAGACCTAGCCTAGCCTGTCCTACATCCACCCTGGTTCTCACAAATACTGGTGGGTGCAGGAGTCTAGCCCACTCTGGGTCTTCCCAGAACCAGTTGATACCCATGCTGAGAGACACTGCAGTCATGTCCAGACCAGATTGCAGCCACCACTCTAGCTCCCACAGTTACCAGTGGGAATCAGGACCTAGCCAGGGCATCCCCTTAGCTCCCCAGCCAGGCCTGTTCCCAGCCACAGGTCTGGTGCATGCCAGAGGTTGAACTGATCTAGTTTGGCATAGCCCCTCCCTCATCTTGGCCTTTGCCTTTGGATGCTGCAGCCTGGTTTGACCAAGCTGGTCCCCAATCTCAACTCTTGGTGGCGGGTGCTGCTACCTGGCCCTGCTCAGTGTGTTCCCACCCCGGGCACGTGTGAATTAGTAGGTGATAATAGCCTAGCCTGGCATGACCTATGCTGCAGCCTGGTTTCTGTACTTAACAGCAGGCTAAGGTTTGCTTCGCCCTGCATCAGCTGCCCTCTTCGAAAACCTACCTAAACATTTGTTTGCATATGGTGTTACCTTGCCCTGGTCTTCCTATAAATGAAACCTGCCCCGTGTGCTCACCTTTGGGAGCTGTGGCCCACCAGGGGAGCCTCCCAACTTCCCCCATTAGTTCCACTCCCAGATGCAGATCTCACGCATGTCATTGGGTGCTAGGCTCTTAGCTGGCATAGCCTGCTCCCTGTCTCGGCCTTTGTATGGCCTGGTGGATGTTGTGGCCTGGCCCACCCCACAGCTTGTTTGAGAGTGCCTTTTAAAGTGCTGCAGCCTGACCTGCCCAGTCTGTTCCCAGCCCAAGCACCCGCGAGTGTCAGTGGGTTCTGTGGTCTTGCCTAGCTTGGCTCGTTACCACTCCAACTCTCTGGCTAACCAACGGAACTTGTAATTCTGCAGAGCTAGGCCCATGCATACCCCACAGAATTACCTCCAAACGTGGTTCTCTTGTGTGCTGATTAGTGTCATGTCCCAGCCTAGTGTGACCTGTCTCCTGTTCCAATACTCACTGTCACAGCCATCATTCTGTAAAATTTTCTTAAATATTTCATGCAAATGTGAAAAAAAGTTAGAGTACAGCAATCTCTTGTCACCTGGACTCTTGCATTTCAAATTGTGTTTTGGGGTAGTTCTATAAGAGATCCCATAGTGAATGAAAACTGCAGTTTTAAATTATATTTAAGGTAAAGTCTGATTTGTAGGTATACATACTGAAAATGTCTCAGGTTTAATAAATGTGAGTATTTAGTAGGCAGGTGGTCTAAAGTTTTGAGGACATTTATATTTTGTGTCATAAAGGATTTGAATGGTTCTAGAGAGACACATTGGAAGTGTATGTATGATGTCTGCTAGAGTGTCAGTGCTGCAAATTTAGGATAGCATGTGCTCAAATTTATGGCAGTTGATGACACTACTAAGTATGCAGCTTAATTTTTTAATGAATTTGATGGAAGAAAATAATTTAAATAATTTTTTGATTCATTGTGAAGCTGATAGGTGAATTTGAATTTCCTGCACATCCTTAAAGGTTGGTGCACATAAATGAATTGTGATGGAAGTTTTTGACAAATTCTATTAAACTTCCTACTGATTTGTATTTAACCTAGACATTGATATCTTCTTTTGAGAGTAATTTTTAGTATATAGAATAATTTTGAGTACAGAAAAATGAAATCCTGTTGTTTGCTGGTTATTGGCTTGTATATTGTTGGTACAGCATTCTTTTGGGATCTGCCGTTTTAAAGGAGTTTAGATTATCAGATGAATGCAGTGTGAAATTTAATGCAGAAGAATATTTACACAGATCAATAGAGGGTTTAAAAAGAAAAGAGCTCTGTTGTCTTTGCTACACTATTAAGTACAAGCATCTTTTAGAGAGAGAAGATATTGTGCACATACATGGTTTGGAAACACAAAGTGCTCATAGCTAAGCACACCGGCATTAATGAAATTATGAGAAGCAGAAAAATCTCACTTAAAAAAAACGTACATTTTTCTAGGACATTTTGGTAACTTTGCATGTTATAAACCTAGTAGATCTTCAATTTCTCTGTTAGTGTTTTTCTGCTTTAGTATCCCCAGAGGTGCTGTGAATGTAATGTGAATAATTTCTGTATTTTATCTTTGTAATATAAAATCTTGTGCTGGGAAATATCTAAGGAAAATCACTTTGGTTCAAAATGGATTGAAATGTCTGTTTCTCAGAGAACATTCAAAATGGGCTGAAATTTCTGTTTCTTTGTTAGAGAAGGTTCTAAATGGGCTCAAATGTCTGTTTCTCTGTTAATGAACTAAAATGTCATTTTTTTCATGAACTTTATTAAAAAAGAAACATTTGTGTCTGCAGTGTTCAAAATTGAGGTGGCTATTGCATATTTAAAGTGGTAACTTATTCTTTTTGAAACTTTCCTGTAACCATGCCTTCATTTTTGGTTTGTTAAATCCTTTTTATAAAGATTTACTTATTTCTAAGCCAGAGTGATACAAGGGAAAACAGAAATCTTTCCTCTGTAAGCCAGGAGCCAGGAACTCATCCAGGTTTCAAATGTAGGTGACAGGGACTAAATTCCTTGAGCCATTGGCTGCTGCTTTCCAAGATTGGTGTTGGGGAGCTAGATCAGAAGTAGAGTGGCTGGAACCCAGATGGGGTGCTTTGTGGTGGCTTAACACTGAGCCACAGCACCTGCTGGTTTGTTAATTTAAAAGACAATTTATATGTTTGCGTTGACTTTATTTTCATAGCTGGAATGAATGGCTGAGACTACCTGTGAAATACCCTGACCTACCCAGGAACGCCCAAGTGGCCCTGACTGTATGGGATGTATATGGACCAGGAAAAGCAGTGCCTGTAGGAGGAACAACAGTTTCACTTTTTGGAAAGTATGGGTAAGTATTATATTCATTGAATCCTGGAGTGGGGAATGTCTGCCACAAAATCATTTTGTCTGATTCTGCCAAGGCAACTGCAGATGCGACTCAGCATTCGATCATTCTGTAGTAGATAGTTTTGTATGGCCGGTGAATAATGTGATAAATAATGCAGTGTCCCTCGGCAGAAAAAAGGTTATACATCCCTAAATCTATAGTTAGGATTTTTTAACCATTTTCCTTTCTGGAAATCTATTCAGGTTATACTCAGTCTAGTTTTCCATGTGAAGCCTAATTAAGTACATATGATTTAGTCATTTCTCTCTCTCTCTCTTCTTTTTTTTCTTAATTTTTGTTTGAAAGGTCGAGTTAAAGAGAGATGGAGAGACCATTTTCTACCCACTGGTTCACTTTGTGTGGCTGCTGCTGGGCCAGGCTTGCTCCATCCTGGTCTCCCACATTAGCAGGCCCCAGATATCTGGGCTGTCTTGTGGTTTTCCCCAGCCATTAGCAGCTTGTAAATGGAAATAGAGTATTTGACATATAGTGTATGTACATTTTTGGCCTTTGGTAGGAGTTTTCTTTGTCCTATGGGTGACAATTAGGGTGATTAGCAGAATATAAAAGCAGTATTTTGCCAATGACAGAAAAGTCAGATGTTTAAAAATTAAATTCTGTTAAGCATTTATTTCAAAGTCGGTTACAGAAAGAGGGAGAGACAGAGCTTCTATCTGCTGGTTCGCTCCCCAGAAGGTTGCCATGGCCGGTGTAGGGCCAAACTGAAGTTAGGATCTGGGAGCCTCATCCTGTTTCTATCATAGGTAGCAAGAGCCCGAGCACTTGGGCCATCCTGTGCTGATTTCCCAGGCCATTAGCAACCAGAGAATGAACTGGTGCCCATAGGGGATTCTGGCATTGCAGGCAATGGCAATACCTGCTCTACTGTAATATTGGTTCCAAAAGTCATTTTTTTTTTTTTAAATTTAAAATAACCTTTGGTGGTATCTGGTTATTAGTGTTCTAAGAAAGACTTCCTAGGATTTCTAGCCTCTATCTCCCAGAGTGTAGCTGCAGAGTGACCTTCCCAGAGAGAGGAAAATTCTGGACTCTCACAAGCCAAGTCTTGGGGCTGTGAGCTGTGGGGCGTGAGATTTTCAGTTGGAAATGGAAGCAAATTTTTTTTTTCATATTTTAATTATTCTTTTGACAATCTACATGGTTAATTAGGGTAAAAAGGTTCAAGGGCTACAGGAAAGTGGGTAAGACTATTATTTCCATATTGTTTCCTTCATGTATCTGAGGTAAAGGGGAATATAAGGGAGAAGCCCCACCCACTCTCCCACCCACCCCAGGTCCCAGATGTGGGGCATGCTCTGAGGGCTTGTTCAAGTGCTTTTGATAGTTCAACAGTTATGAATTGCTGCCAGTCTTGCCACTCCAAGCATGGTGAGGTCGTTGAAGAATCCACTGATTGACATAGTCCATCATTGCATCTCTGTTTGTCTAGTTTTTCACTGCCAACATATAGCTGAGGTGGTTGATTGACTTATTTTGTCCTCTGTCTTTTCATGGTTAGGGTTCTGAGTCCGGCATTTTGATTGGAGAGATCCCCAAAGAAACTTTGTCTGAGGTGTTCCCAGACCAGATTCTTGTATGTAGCATCAAGCACAGGGCCTGGCACAGTTCATTGCCCCAATCAGCTGGTGCTTGCAATTGCTGAGTTGTTTCTGTTTCCAGCCCTGATTTCCACTGGAACCAATGGGTGTTGCATTCCAGCCTGATTTTGCCCAGCACACACTCAGCCCTCACATAAACCAGTGGGAGCTGCAGCCTATTTGGAGCAACCTACAATAACTCCCACCTGTATGGAAGCCAGATAAAAGCTTGATTTTTGTTTTGTCTTTTTAGGAGCAATGTTTCAGTACTCTGGTAAGCTGCAAAGGTGGTGCCTGATAGATTTTTTGCGAGTTTTTAAGCTTGTTAGGAAATTTCAAATTTCAGTTTTTGATGGGTCAGTTTTTACTTTTTATGATGCTCAGCCAGTCGTAATTAAGAGCTAATAACAGGGACCGGCGCAGTGACTTAGCAAACTAATCTTTCGCCCGAAGTGCCAGAATTCCATATGACTCCTGGTTTGTGTCTGGGCTGCTCCACTTCTGATCCAGCTCCCTGCCAATGGCATGGGGAAGCAGTGGAGTGTGGCTCAGGTCCTTGGGCCCCTGCAGCCACATGGGAAACCCAGAAGAAACTCCTGGCTCCCAGCTTCAGACCAAATCAATTCAGGCCATTGTGGCCATTTGAGAAGTGAACTAGCAAATAGAAAACCTCTTTCTCTGTCTATGTAAATCTGCCTCTCAAATAAAAGTAAATCAATCTTAAAAAAACGAAAAGAGCTAACAACAGGGCTGTAATAGCCCTCAATAGCATCTTTGCTTTGTGACACACGGGCTAGTCTAGGCTCATTGAAGAAGTTTGAACTCCAGACCTGAAATCTGTGAAGAAATTGTGATTTGTGATGTGGTATAGACCTTAACTTTTGTATGTATTACAAAATATGTTTATTTTAGACTATGTCAGAGTTGAGACATATTATTTCCTTATTAACATGCCCATCTTAATTAAATATGAAACAGAAGGATCATATTTTGCCTTGATTTTTTTTTGTCCGGATGGCTCACTAATCTTTTTCATGTATCTAAATTTTTAAAAGTCTTACCTCAGTTATTTCTGAGCATATTGATGGGAAACATTAACATTATGATTTATGAATAGACACCTATTTCTGCCCTTACTTTATCCCTCCTAGAAGACAATGGCAAATCATTTTTGTGCATAGTAGAGTTCAGTAAGATTGAAAATTTCCAAGGTGCTATTCCAGTTTTGTAAAAACTCTGCGTGTAGTAACTGTACATGTTTATGAGGTAACTGTGACATTTTACCATATTTTAATAGATGTATACAGTTTGTAATGGTTGCTAATTGGCATATCTGTCACCCAAGACATTTCTCATTTCTTTATGTTAGGCACAAAATCTTCTCTATGACTTGCAGCATGCACTTTCTCCATTTTGTTGCTGTGATATCATTCACATACTATAAAATGCATTGCTTTTTTTCTGTTGCCATTTTGTTCTTGCTGCATTAGGAATCTTGTCTTCATTAATGAATGGATACATGTTTATGTATTAGCTCTCTTTTTACTGTTTTTTTTTAAGTTTTATTTATTTGTTTTTATTGTTATTAACATTGTATTATGTGATACAGTTTTATAGGCACTGGGATTCCCCCCACCCCTCCCATAACCCTCCCCCTATAGTGGATTCCTCCACCTTGCTGCATAACCACAGTTCAAGTTCAGTTGAGATTCCTTCATTGCAAGCATATACCTAGCATAAAGTCCAGCATCTTATTGTCCAGATAAGTTCAGTGACTTCTTGGGGAGACAAGTCTGGTCTGAAGGTAGAGCTAACAGAGTAAAGTTCCGGTCAGTTAAAAGCCCCAACAAAACATCAGCATCAATATACAATGTTATGGAATTAATTGACATAGTATTGAGTAAACAATATGTTAAAAATAATGCAAGTTCACTGGCTTTTTAAAGACTTATCTATTTATTTAAAAGGCAGAGTTTAGAAAGAGAGGGAGGGAGGAAGTGAGAAAGTGACAGAAGCCGAGATCTTCCATGCGCTGGTTTACTGTCCAAATGGCCTGTATGACTGGAGCTGGGCCAGTCTGAAGCCAAGGGCCAGGAGCTGGTTGGTCTTCCACATGGTTGGTAGGGGCCTGAGAGCTTGGGCCATCTTCTGCTGCTTTGCTAGGCTAATGGAAAGGAGCTAGATTGGAACAAGAGCAGCCCAGACATGAACCAGCATCCATATGGGATGCTGGCATCACAGTTGGCAGCTTAACCCTCTGCAGCATAATGTCCTGGCTGCACCACATCTGACCTGACTTCCTGCTTATGGCCTGGTAAAACAATGGAGCATGACTCAAGTCCTTGGGCCCCTGACCCAGAAGAAGCTCCAGGCTCCTGACTTCAGGATACTTTTAGCTCTGGCTGTTGTGGTCAATTGGAGAATGAACCAGTGTATGGAAGGTATCTCTCTGTCTCTGCTTCTGTCTGTACTTCTGTCTTTCAAATCAGATTAAATAAATGTTTTTTTTAAAAAATTGTTAAAATTTTTGAGAGAAAAATATCATGTTAAAAGTGTTACATGGATTTAAAGTTGCTAACTAAATATCTGTGTAATCTGCCGAATAGTTACAGCTTGAAATAGAGACCTCATTTCCTTTTATCATATCCTATTTATTTGTAGAAATTAAAATTTTCTGTCTATCCTGAACATTCTTTTTTCCTTAGGATGTTTCGCCAAGGGATGCATGACTTGAAAGTCTGGCCCAATGTAGAAGCAGATGGATCAGAACCCACAAAAACTCCTGGCAGAACAAGCAGTACTCTTTCAGAGGACCAAATGAGCCGCCTTGCCAAGGTAAAGATGAGACTTTTTGAAATTGGAACATTCTGAACGATGTCTATTGTAGTATATCGTGACACTATGAGTTCTTTCATATCCTCTTAGCTTTAATTGTTTAATACCATTTTTTTGAGATACAGTTTATGTAACATAGAATTTACTATTGGAAAACATGCTATTTCATTGTTTAATAGATTCAGAGAGGTTTGTTTTTTATCATCATGACTTATTTTCATCACCCATGTGGGAAGTTGGGGCAAGGCGGGAACGTGATTTATTAGCAGTACCTTTGGAAATCAGTATTTGATGTATAGCTGGCTAAGTTACCTTCACCCCTCTCTGTTGCCTTCATTTTGAATTATAAAACTCAGTGTAATTCTGAGCTTACGTTTTCACAATGTAACTTTGTGAATACGCTTTCACAAAGTTTTGTTACATAATATAAGATCCCTTTTGTGTGTTGCTGTGGTGCAGTGGTCTAAGCTGCTACGTGCATTGCCGACACCCTATATGAATGTTGTTGGAATTTGAGCTGCTCCATTTATGCACCCGGGAGAGCAGCTGAAGCTGGCTTAAGTCCTTGGGCCCTGCCAACCATGTAGGATCCCCAGATGAAGCTCCTGGCTTCTGTCTTCAGCTTGGCTGATCCCTGACCTAACCCTGTCCACTGTGATCATTTAGGAAATAAATCAGTGGACAGAAGTTCCTCTGTCTCCTTCTCTGTGTCGGTAACTAACTTTCAAATAAATTAATCCTTTTTTTGATAAAAGCTGTTGCAATTGTTTAGAGACTTTTCATTTAAAATATTTAATAAGATTTATTTATTTTTATTGCAAAGTCAGATTTACAGAGAGAAAGAGAGACAGATTTTCTGTCCACTAGTTCACTCCCCAGTCGGCCTCGACGGCAAGAGCTGAGCTAATCCAAAGCCAGGAGCCAGGAGCCTCTTCCGGGTCTTCCACATGGGTGCAGGGTCCCCAGACTTAGGGGCTGTCCTTGACTTTCGTGGGCTACACGCAGGAAGCTGGATAGGAAGTGAGGCTGTTGGGATTAGAACCAGCAGCCACATAGGATTCTTGTGCATACAAGGCGAGGACTTTAACCAGTAGGCTACTGCGTGGGAGCCCCATCTGTGGGTTTTGTTATGTGTAGGGACTGGATAGGGATGCTATAATAGATTCCCTATGGTTACTAATAAATGGCTTGTGTATTTCTCATTTCTCAGTCATTGCAACACCACACCATTGTGTCCACTGCTTTCCTGTGTCTTTCGATGTCCAGTTGCCCCTCTGTGTCGTTCTGTCCTCTCTTCTTTCCTGGAATGTGCCCTCTCTGCTTCACACTGGCTAATGTTTCTCTGTCTGTTTAAACATTTCCTTACCCTATTTATTCTGTCATCTTAATTCTCTGGCTTCAGATCTTAGTAGCTTGCATCAGTGCTAACTTATATTCTCAGAGACCAAATAGTAGCCATTGAAACCTGTAATGTCTTTTCTTAAGGAGAACAATACATATTGTTTGGAACATTGTTAGGCAACTGTTCCCTCTTTGAAGGAAGGTGTTTCGCTTTCTTGGCACTTTGTATTGATCTGTCCTTAGTGCTGCTATTTGAGGTTTTGAACCAGTTTGTCCCTGCTATTCATGAAGAAAAGTTGTTTTGAAAATGAGAGCATGCATTAAATTGGAAGCATGGACACCTGGTTTGGAGTACTTTACCATGGGAAGAACACTGCAATGAGACAGACTTTTGGTCGAGTAGTAAACTTAAAATATATTTTAAACTGATCAAATCAGATGTTTAGAATGCATGATTTTTAGAGTCCCGTGTCCCTCCTCATATTTTATGATACTAAAAGTACTGACATAGCAAATAACCAGGGTTATTTGTGGATCTAGAGTTGGGGATTTAATGTTAGTTTGGAATGAAGTTGTTCTTGTCAATTTGAAGTTGCTGTTGTGTTGTGTTTATGGCATTCCTTTTTGTTCCTGCAGTGTGTTTATGTAAAGCTTTATAATGCAGGGCTTGTGTACTCTGAATGATTGACTGCATATGTAAATTTTCTTCTTGCTGTTCAGTGCCTGCTTCTTGACTTAAATGTTTGAGAAGCTTTCTGAAAAACAACTCTGTTTACTGGAAGCATGAGCCATTTGCCTTTTCTAATTCCAGGGAAAATGTAATGTGGTATTTGTTATGATTTTAACTTTTCAGAGCGGATACCCTTTGATATTTATTGCTCTTAACTTACAACTGTACTGAGGCAGTTAAGATTTTCTTAAAATTGTGTTACAATGGCATTCTCTTTTTCATTTTTGTAGTTAACACAAAAAGAACGGTTGTGTAAGATTGCACTCTGTTCCTTGGAACTCTTGATATTATCTTTGATACAGACTTAAAAACTGGGAAGGAATTTGGATGCTCCGTATTTGCGTTTTCCTTCAGAAGGAATGGGTTGTCGATCTAATGCTTATATTTCTTCTACTACTAGTTTTAGAAGAGAATTGAATATTTAAGTAGATAAGATTTAAGTGGTTGCAGCTGAATGGTTTATTTCTTGTTACGTTTTGATTTTGCTGGCATTGATTTTTTACTGTGACTGTATATAATTGTTGAGAAGGCAGTGGCTTGATAATAAAAAGGTTTACATAAATCCTAATAAAAGCAAAGAATTGTTAGTGTACATTGTACCCATGAGTCTAAATAAGTAGCATAGTGACAATTTTCAAAGTGCAATGTAAGAAAGTTCACTCAGTTATTGAACTGATTCTGTCTTGGTAGCCTAGGGATAATGAGATGAGAGAACTATGAAATGAAGATTAACTATTGAAATGGGCTGTGAAAAGATAGTATTACATAATTATTGAGCACAGATTTCAACTCCAAGCTGAATTTAAGACTCTTATTCTGATTTATTGCTCAAATATGAAAGTTGAATTAGCTGCACTGAATAACTGAAGTTGAAAAGCAGCTCTTCAAGTTTGACATTTTTTAAAACCAAATTCTTTCGGAATGAATGTTATGGAATTAACCTCTGGTGATTTTGTGTCATTATGAACAAACCTAACTTTCCTTTGAGAAAAAATGAATATGCGAAATGGAAACGAAACGGAGTTGTTCTCAGCTTATGTCTTATTTTTTTATAGCATCGATTTCTTAAAGTTGTAGGGAGCAGGAAGAAATGAGTGTGTTAAAATAGGCTACCCCCATCTTCCTAATTTTCACTTTTACATTTTCCTAATTTTTACAAGAACAATGTGTTTCTGTTTGATTTATGAAAATAATAAAAGACCATATGTCTGGCCATGTTTTTAAGCTTTCCTTGTTTGTGACTTAGCCTTTTAAAAATGATTGTGAGGCTTATTTGAGCATAGTTGCCCATTGTTCCTGTATGACTCCATTTTTCAGCTTGTCATATTGTTGGAGTTTTATGACTAGGATGCATATCCACCTGGGGTTTTGGATGTGACTACCCAGCTTTAGTGTTTGATTTATATTTGAATCCATGTCTTTAGACATGAAAGGTTAGTGCAAAAGCATGCTTTTCTCCTTTCTCCTTTTCATTTTAGTAGCTCAGCTTGATGCCTTTGGAATGTGCTTCAGTTCCTGTCATTTTGATTAAGAGTAGGCAGAGGAAGTAAGAACTAGATGAAAAATGCTCGCATTCAGTGAGACACAGCCGAGTTGGGGGATGCTGAGTGTAGCAGGGGAGCATTGCTGTGCTGAAGATGTCATGCTGCAGACACCCTGGTGAGCGCCGGCCAGGCGTCACTGTGAGGCCGGGCTCTGGAAATCTGGTTTGATGGCCAAAATGGATTATTATTTTCTTCTTTTTAGTTGACCCAGGCATAGTTTCTGAAGGAGTAGTTCATACCAGTTAGTTTAAAAAGTTACTAATCTATGGCCTACTACAGTAGCCATGTGTTACAAAGGGAGAGGTAACAGGATCATTTTTTTGTGTAGTCACACAAGATGGTGTAGTGAGAAAGTTAGTAGTGACAGTAATGATGATAAAATCTCATCCATCCAGTTCAGGCTTTTTACAGGTAGTTCACTTGATCAAAGTACATTTTTTAGAAGGTTGAATAAAAAAGATATTGCTAATTTAGGTGAATGAAGTAATTATGTAAATACAAGTTATTAAATATATAAAGTAATAAATATATAGTAATTATAGTTACTGTGAGAGAATAAACTGGTTGGTAAAAGTAGAATGATAGAAACTTTCAAAAACAAGATATTGCCTTATGCATAGGGGTTGCAATTATTGTCAAAGTGTGGACTAAAGACTAGTTTAGAAATAAACATGAACTGAGTAAATTTGGTGATAGTTAACACATTACATTGGTTTGAGAACCTAAAAGGTAACACAACTCAGAAGAAACTGGCTTTCAAAGAGTAATTTGACCTGAGCTTAAGAAGGACTTATGTTGCTTGCTTAGACAGCACCTATACTAAAATTGGAACAATACAGAGAAGATTAGCATGGCCCCTATACAAGGATGACATGCAAATTCGTGAAGTGTTCCATATTTAAAAAAAAAAAAAAGAAGAAGGCCTTAAGACTGTAGGTAGTATTATCTGAAATTTATAAGAAAAAAAGCCCCTAAGGGTTATACGATATTGCCTATTTCCCCTTTCTAACGCACTAAAGAGGTCATGCGGAAAGTAAGTCTCTGGGAGAAGTTGACCTTACTGTTATTATTTTTTAAGATTTATTTAATTGAAAGAGCTGGAAGTAAGAGCTATTGCATCCACTGGTTCACTTCCCAGTAGTTAGGAGAGCCAGGGGGAAGACAGGAGCTTCTTCCACATCGCCCAAACACTTGGACAGTCTTTTGCTACTTTCCCACACACATTGGGATCAGAAGTGGAGCAGCAGCTGGGACCTAAACTGGTGACCATGGGGGAATTGAATGTAAAGATTGCTGAGTAGAGGTAATGAGGCATTCGATGATTACTCCATTTTTCTAGTTGAATGTTTGGGTCATTCTTTGAGTCCCAAATGGTTTTCCTGGACTTCATTTTCTCTACTGCAGATACAAGCAGCTTGGGTAGTGTGTTCCCTGACTTGGAGGGGAGTGCATAGGACGTCTGTGTATGGATTTCTGCAGACTCCTGTGTGTTTTTCCTTTACTGTCACTGTCATAAATCTTACCTGTGATTATAACTGCTTCTGATTCCTGTGAGTTCAAGTGGATCACTGACCCTGTGAGTAATTTAGTAGACTCCTCAAAAACTCATTAGTGCAGTTGGTTGGTTGCATTAAATCTATTTCTTAATACTATTATTTTAGTTTGATGATCATTACATAGATGATTAGAGTACTAAGGGTCAAAGACTACAGGAAAGTGGGTAAGACCATTGTTTCCACATTCCTTTTCCCTTCCTGTATCTGGGGGAAGGGTGGAGACAAAGGGTGAAGCCACACACACCCTCCCAGCATTTCAGGTTCCCCGAGGTAGGGCATGATCCCAGGGCACTGCTCAAGTGGTTTCGATAGCTCAAAAGTTCTGAATCACTGCCAACCTTGCCATCATTAAATATCTTTCTGTTCTGTTCTCTCAGTAAATTTCTGACATGATTTGTATTTTTTCCTAATAATTTGTTCGATTAACTAATTTTCCTCCTGAAAATGTGTATCTTGCCAAGCATTTTAAAATGAGAGTTGCTTTTTTTTTTCACTTCACTATTGATATCTGGATACTCAGCAGTTTTTGCTGAATGATCTAATAGTTTACCCACCTAATGTTAAAGTTTGTTGAATAGCTATAGTGCTAAAAATATTATGTCCTTTTGTGTTTTTAAGTTTAAAATATTTATGTTACTGTTATGTCCAAATTTTTGATGGGTGTATTTGCTTATTGTGACTATTGAATCATGTTACATATTGAGTTATAATTTTATATTGTTAATTCATATTCTGTAGGACTTACCTTCTTAGATTTTTATACCATTTTACTATTGCTTTTCTTTTCTTTTCATTGTTTGTTGTGGGAGAAGTTTCCATTTATTCTAGCCTCCCCTATCATTGAAGCTATCACCAGAACTATTGCTATTGCTTATTTCCTATTGATAGTACAACAAATGAAGCAATGGCAAAGATCTTTGAAAGACCAAGAGCAGTTTTGGTTTTTGGAATGTTATTTAAGAAGTAAGTTTTATTGTCATTGAGATATCAGTTATTTTAAACTTTTTTTTTTTTTTTTAGATTTATTATTTGAAAGCCAGAGGTACAGAGAGAGGATTTTATCTGCTGGTTCTCTACCCAATGGCCTCACCATCCAGGGCTGGGCAAGACTGGCAACAGGAGCCAAGAGCTCCTGCCAGGTCTCCCATATGGGGCCAGAGACCCAAACACGTGGGCCATTCTCAATAAAATACTATACTTCCTAAGCAATAAAATCTACATGTTTAGTTTGAAAATATAATTGAACAAGTGGTGAAGGCTTCATTAGTCAGGAAGATATAAGATAATTTTATGCTAGCTGATAATTTTGTAGGTGTTTACAAAGTTTTTAACACATACCAATGCATACATAATCCCTTTTTTTAAACCTAATCATTCTAATGAATTCTCATATACTGCTGCATTTCGTCTTACCTTATAATTAATAAATATCTTACATTTGGTTAGATAAACTCATTGTCTTATGGTTTTTGAAGTTTTGTACTTGTTAATAATAGAAATCTGATAGCACCACCATGTATTATTATTATGCTATTGTTTTTGAGTAATTAGTGTAACTTAGTTCTGCTTTAGATTCAGGGAGACATTACACTCAAAAAAGTTAAATTATGGCATCAGAGGAACAAAATGGGAGTTAATGAAGAAATGCAATCTGCTGAAAAAAAATGGGGCCATTACATTGTATCAAGAGGTTTTATTGGACAGTGCTTTTGCATTCATTAGACTTTGAAATTGAATGTTTTCTCTGATTGTTGACAGATTTAGTTGGTTTTTATTTTTTTGAGTGGTGGTGAAAGTGGAAAAAATACAGCTTTGTAAATCACTCCCCTCTACTTCCTGCCGGAAAACATGTGACTAGTTTAAGCATTGTAGTTATGACATAAATCCATCTCTCTTCCTTCCTTCCTTCCTCTCTCTCTTTCTTTCTTTCTTTTTTTGTGATGATACAGAGGAGAGTGGGAGTTGTTTTAATATTCATAGACATCTCTTCTGATGTTTCTTCATCAGAGAGTAGATGGCTATAAATATCTACCTAGTATGTGTTAGTATTAAGAAGTTACTTAAGTATAGTGCCATCATCTTATTGTTGCTTTAGTTGGTCCCAGTTGAAAGAGTTTGCTTGTCTAGGAATGGCAAACTTGACTCTAAACTTCTCACCATCAAGTTCGGTCAGGGCAGAAACATCCTTTCTTTCTTTCAATATTTTTAAGATTTATTATTTTTATTGGAAAGGTAGATTGTTATAGAGAGAAGGAGAGACAAAGAGAGAAAGGTCGTCCATCCACTTGTTTACACCCCAAATGCCGCAGTGGCTAGAGCTGAGCAGATCTGAAGCCAGGAGCCTATTTTGGGTCTCCTGTAGGTACAGGGTTCCAAGGCTTTTGGCTAACCTCCACTGCTTTCCCAGGCAGCTGAATTGAAAGCAACCAGGACATTGAAACCAACATCCGTATGGGCTGCCAGCACTTGAAGATGGAGGATTAGCCAAATGAGCCATCACAAGGCACCAGAAATAGTCTCTCTCTCTCTTTTTTTTTGCAATATTGTGTATTTATTTCCAGGGCACAAGATATGAGGTACAATTGTTAACAACAGCAGTCAAGTAATTTTCTGTGTAGAGAGTATAACTTCTAGGAAGGGGGTCATGTTATTTTCTAGGTGCCTTTAGCTAATCTCAAAGCTGTTGAGCAGAACCAGTGTTTGCAAGTACTTGTTTTCTGTCATGTTCATCACATTTTCCCACAAATACTTTCCAGTCAATGAATGAATGAATGCCAGGCTTTATCCACCTTTCGTAGCTTTGGTTTCATAGTGTGGTCTAATAGTTGGTCAGAGTGGGGGTCAGTGGACCGTGAAGTAGTCGTACGTGTCCCTCTGCTTACAACCCTGTGTACTTACAACTCATGACTTTGCACAGCTGTTCTTTGGATACAGGTCAGCAAGTTGGCCCACTTTCAGTTTTGTCCTTGGTACTTACACTTAAATTCCTCTTGTTCAGAAACATCTTCCTTAACCACGTATTTTTGTCCTTTACTTATAACTAATAATACATGATTTGAAATCCCAGCAGCTTCCTGGGCATATTGTTATGTGATTCTTAGGGATTCTTTTATTTAAATAGCTTTGTAATCCCTTGCTGTTTAATTCTGGTAAATGTTAAAGTTCAATAATTATGGCATTATTTTTGTGACAGTGGCCTTCTCTTCAGAACTCTGTGTAATTCTTTGAAGTTCTATAGAAAACTGTTTCTTAGAATGAGACTTTTACTGATCTCTTGACCGATCTCTTTCTGAGAACAGGCATCCTAGTGCGAATTATTTCTTCAGGAGCAATTTGAAACGGATCTCCCCTGCTGTTGAGCAGAATGCAGATTTTCTCCCTGGCAAGACCCAAGTCACTGATATTAAAGACTAAATAATAAATTGTTATTCCAATAATGAAATAACAGGTTGGCACACTGACCTGTGTTTCAAGTTCATTTTTAGCTTTTAGTATCTGTGCAAATGTACAGATTGGGATTAATCAGAAGCTGCTTTGTTTTGATTAAAAAAAAAAAAACGCTCAAATCCTATCTGTATTGTTAACAGTACCTAGAAGAATAAAGTAACATAAATGATGGGCTGGTTATAATAATTGCTTACAAGTTGCACAGTGCTTCAGAGCTTATAGTTCTTACAGCACTTTAAAGAAAATTTCTGTTCAATTAATGATTATTAATTATTTCACCTACCTTAAACCACTAAAGTAGAAAGTCTTATAATTTGAAGAACCAAAGGATACTCTAGCACCTCAAGTGTAGTGAATTATCTTAGGGTTAAAGGAAATAATTTCTTTAAAAAAAATTTTTTTTAAGATTTACTTATTTTACTTGAAACCCACAGTTACAGAGAGAGAAAAAGAGAGAGAGGCGCAGAGGAGAGATGTTTCATCCACTGGTTCACTCCACATATGGCTGCAATGCCAGAGCTGGGCTGGTCTAAAGCCAGGATCCAGGATCTTCCTTCATGTCTCTGAAGTGGGTGCAGAGGCAAAAGGACTTGGGGCATCCTCTACTGCCTTGCCAGGTCGTTAGCATGGAGCTGGATTGTAAGTGGAGCAGCTGAGACACAAACCAGTACCCATATGGGATGCTGAGTACCGCTGGCAGATAATCAGCAGGGTTTGCCAAGATTGCTTCAAATAAGAAGGGAGAAACGGCTCAATTACTATGCCATAAATATGAAGTTAGTGTGAAGTAAATTACAGAAATGAGTTAAACTCAAATATCTTGGGGCTATATCTTCAACTGAGAGAGCATAATAAGTGCTGGTGGGAACAGCTGGTGACATGGGGTTCAAGTCATAGCTGTACATAGCCATCTGGAAAGCTGAGTTAGATTTTTTTTTAAGTGCCTGTTCTTAGTGACCTGTTGTATTAGGTGGAGAGTGGAATTTTAAACTTTGGTGTCATGTTGATGCTGGTGGCATCTCAGATTTTGAAACATTTTGGATTTTCAGACTAAAGGTGTTCAACTTGTATCCTTTTAAAATTGGCTTCTGTTAGAACTATGTTATAATTTCTCCATCATGTTTGTCTGCAGCTCACCAAAGCTCATCGACAGGGACACATGGTGAAAGTAGATTGGCTGGACAGATTGACGTTCAGAGAAATAGAAATGATAAATGAGGTAAGTTTTATTCCCCTTTTCATTTTGAAGTACTTTCTCAACATTTCTAAGTAAGTGTTTTTCTTTTTGATAATGACTGTGTATTGCTAGGTACCTCACAAATGTAGAACTACTGTGAATTTTGTGATAGTAAGTGGAAAACTAAGGAATTTTTGCCTTTCTTGTATTTTAGTGTGTTACTGAGTCTGAAGTAGGAAGTAGATGTACAAGTATTAAGTATCATCAGTGGAGTCTGTAGGCTTGATGCCACACTTGTCCTCTCTCCCAGCAGCTCATGCCAAGTCAGTACTGAATAAATCTTGCATCGGAACAGTGCAACTTCTTCACTTTAATTGCTGTAGATCATCTTTAGAAAATTCTCTCTGGTTGATGTCACCATTGTTCTGTACTGAATCTAGGACTCTGGACCCTTAATAAAATTACATGATTTAATAAGTGATTTATTTTTTCTTGTCTTCATGTTTTGGTCCAGTGTGTGTGTTAGATATAAGACCTATCACATATTGGGGTGACTGCGCTCAAGTTGGCCTCCATTGCTGATATGGTTTGCTGCTAATGAGACGAGGGCAGCAGATGCTGGCTCCAGTTATCCTGTGTCCCATTGGGAAGGCACAGATTGAGGTTCTGCTTCGACTTAGACCTAAGCCAACCTCAGCTCTTGGAGGCATTTGAGGAATGAACCAGTGGAAGAAAATTCTCTTTTACAAACTCTGCTTCACATAAGTAAATGAAACTTAAAAATAATTCATTTAGTTCTTTCAGAAGTTATGATAGAAATCTTATCTTTGCATGTTTATTCTAAAATATAAGATGTGGAAGAACAGAAATGAGAATTATATTTATCAAATTTAGGAGAGAAGAATATCCATGTCTAGTTTGTTATGACTGCCATCGGACATAAGTGACCTAATTTATAATCTTTAATACTTGTTGGCAAGTAGGAGAAGCAAGCCGTTAAATTTTACGTTGTTTGTAGTTAGTGTTTAACAACATTAATATTTAACTTAGATACTGAATTTCTTTACTAAACTTTTTCATAGTGCACTCTCACATACTCAGATTGAAAGAAATGTTTCCCTTTAAAAATTTTTATAGTAGCCATATTCCAAAAATAGTTTAATTAGAATCCTTATTTTTCTGTTCCTCATCTTTGGTTCCTTTGGGTATAGAAAAGGTAGTGGTAATTATTATTCTGTCTCATCATCTTGCTCATCTTCCACTCCCCTACCCTTTACAGCGTAGACCATTACTGTTACCACACAAGACTATAATATGCTTCATAAAGCTTAATGATTTAAATAACCTCTTCTGACCTTTATGATTTTGTAGCTTAAAGGCCATTTATAAACCTGGCTTGGAACAAGACCAATCAATTATTACTCTTTGTTGTGTTTTTGTAACAGCATACCTGTAATATTTGCTTTCTTTGAAAAATATCTTTACATAAGGGACCAACCTAGTTTTATCTTGAGGGAACAGATAACTGTTATACTAAAAGTTTACAATTGACAAAACATCTTAATTGACATCACTTACTTATGGGGCCCAGTGTGGTAGCTTAGTGGCTAAAGGGCTCATTTTTTTTTTTAAGATTTACTTATTTTACTTGAAACCCACAGTTACAGAGAGAGAAAAAGAGAGAGAGGCACAGGATCCCATTTGCTGCCAGTTCATGTCCCATCCAGCTCCCTGGTTGTGGCCTGGGAAAGCAGACAAGGATGGTCCAAAGTCTTGGGACCTTACGCCCATGTGGGAGACCCAGAAGAGGCTTCTGGCTCCTGGCTTTGGATCAGCACATCTCTGACTATTGTTGCCGCTTAGGGAATGAATCAGTGAACAGAAGATCTTCTGTGTCTGTTCCCTTCTCTGTATATCTGACTTTCCAATATAAACAAATAAATACATAAATACATAGATCTTTTTATAAAATCACTTACTTATAAAGTATGATAAACTCACAAAGTTTATACTTGTTGAACTCAAATGACCTCTGTTCTTTGTTACTTACTCTCTTTTACGTTTGGACTTTCTTACACGTTCAAAGTGTGTGTGTGTGTGTGTATGTGTGTGTGTGTGTGTGTGTTACTCAGAGTTACTGAGAAGGAGGGAGGGACTGGGAGAGTTCTTCTAGGCCGTTGAACCCAGGAACCTGGAACTCCATGCATATTGCCCATCCAGGTAACAGAAACCCATCACCTGGTGCCTCCACAGGCGCACGAGTAGGGAGTTAGATCTGAAGTAGAACAGTCAGGACTCAAATGGCTTCCCTTGTTAGTTGTCCACGTCTCAGGTGGAGGCTTAATCCATTGTGCACATTTTCTTGCTTAAAATTATTGCAAAATATCGAGTATATTTTAAAAATAATTTTCCTGCAGATATATACAAAATATTGAACCTTTACCTAATAAAATCCGAGTGACTGATACTATGAACAAAAAATTATTAAGGTTGAGAAGGGAGTTAGAAGTGAATCAATAAAGCTGTAAATAACAACATGGTACTTCTGTATAAGACTCTGTATGTATATAATGAAATAGATTTTTGTATAAGTTGTATTTAATAGATGCATGTCTCACTACATCTTGAAAATGATATGTACAGAATGTTTAAAATGATTATTTTTATAAACATCCTTTTCTTTTTTCCAGAGTGAAAAGCGAAGCTCTAATTTCATGTACTTGATGGTTGAGTTTCGATGTGTCAAGTGTGATGATAAGGAGTATGGTATTGTGTATTATGAAAAGGTATTTGCTATAGAATGTACATTAGAGGGGAGGGGAATATTAAAAAATGAGTATTGTTGCTGAGAGGAACTATTTTGCTTTAGGATGGCAGGAGACAGCTGTCAGCAGCAGCTGTATGTACACACAAATCAAATCATAAAACTACAACAAGATTACAAACGCAAATCATTCATGTAATGCAGTTCAGGGCTACAAAATCCAGTATGTATGCAAGTGATTATAAACTTTTTGATTAATTGTTCTTACAGATTGGTGAGTAGGGCACTAAACTAATAGCTTTATTTAAAATTACCATTCATTTGAAAAATTAAAAGAGGGAATCACATATTAAGAGATAGTTTTTGAAAGTTATGGATGTAATCTTTAGTATTGTATTGGAATTCTGTATGTAGTCCTTTTGTAAATATGTGTAATGCTTAATAAATAATTTTAAAAATATATGAAAACTGCCAACATTAGGCAGAATAGTAGTAGCTGTTAGGCTGAGTAAAAATACACAGTTATGGCTTTTCTCTGGTCAGCTTACACAGCAAATTAGGACAGAATTTGGACACAAGGCATAGTAGATTAATAGTTCCAGCCCATAACCAAGCTTTTATTGCAAGATAGTTGTGAATATAAAAATTTTGAATTGCTTTTACATTTGCAACTTTAAGTTATTAACACATTAATAAAGGTTTATATAGTTAGTTTAAAATGGTATGGGGTATTTTTCAAGAAGCTCTACTATTTTCAATCTTGCTTATCTCTTACTTCAATAAAAAATTATAGATTAACCTATTTCAAGCTTTTGTTTTGTAAATGATACTCTGGGGAAAGAAAGAGAAAGGGAAGGTAGGTGGGCTATTTTAACAGTCTGTATTTATTATGTGACAAAAGGAAAGAGAAAATAAGTGAAAAAATTGCTTTGTCATCAGTACATTTAGGAAAGATCATATTTTTGCTTTGTGCTACATGTAATTTTATTAAAAGCAATATTTGCTGCCCAAATGTAGCTTATTTTGCAAAACTACATTAATGCCAGTGGCACTTCACTTAATAGACATGTGCAGAGTCTTTGGATAGACAGCTTTTAAAATAGAGGAAATAATAACAGAATAGAAATTAGAAGAATTTCAAATATATTTGTAAAGGGTTCTTGACCCCTTTCCACTGCATCTTGGAAATTGCTCATAAATTAATGCCTGTCTACCCACCCTGTCATATTTCCACTTAGTATAAAGATTGCTGGGCCAGTGTTTTGAATCTAATGGAAATAGACTTTCGTGTCACCTGTCTTTTGTGACAGATAGCCTTAGTGAAGATTACTTGTCACAGTTCAGCTGATAAATGTGTTTTCTGGTGTTGTGACTGAGAACAAGCCTGTTAAACAACAGCTGTGGGAATTTGTGGCTTTCTCTAAGACTCAATTACTGAGCTAAAGCACTCACTATGCTTCTCCTTCAGTTGCTCTCAATTCTGTTGCACAGAACTAAAGTTGAAAATACGCTAGACAGGAAAAGTTAATGCTGGATATTCCGTTGTGTAAGAATGAATTTTGACTTTAATAATTAGTTTAGCCTTTTTTATTAAACAGTGACACTTATGCCAAATTACTTTTGTTGCAATATCTAGATAAAATAAATGCCAACATTCTTCAAACTGATACTACCAATAAAATAAGAAAGCTTTGTTTTTCAAGAAGTGATTAAATTATTTTTATTCTGATTATTGAGCTTTTTAACAGATTCAATGTGACAATTCTAAAAGACATAATAATAATCCTTTCTTGCCTCCCTCCTACCCAGTTTCCTTCTCTATTTTTTTTTTAAGTTTTTGAGATGGCATTTCAGATTTATATTACAGTAAAAAGGTTTAATTATTCATTAGATAAAAAGAATCAAAAACACCCCAGTTTAGTGGGAATACAGACAACAACAAAACACAATTGAATGAATAATATTCAGTGAAAATAATTGAATGGAGAAATGACCACTTCATCCATATGCAATGGATTTAAAAGTAATCAAAACTGTTAAACCTATAGTGGTGTAACATTTTTTGCCATTTGATTTGACAAAGTTTCAAAACAACATTTTACAAAACTGCACTGGTGTCGCAATAAAAAGGAATAAGATGTTAGTATTCACTTGGTTTTTCCAAATGATTCAAGATATGTGTTACAGCAGCTTATTTGTTATATTTAGTGCTGTGAGTTTGTTAATTAAAGTTTTTTTCTGACTAGTCTCTGTCACTGTAAGTCAGTCCAAATTAAAAAGCAGGTAATAAAAAGAACTAGGAAGAATCTGAACTTTTGGACCTCTTTTTTTCTGTAAAACCGTTGTGTACATTTTTGTTAGATTTTATTTTTCTCAGAATGTTTCAGTAGTGGGGTAGATTGTTTGCTTTATTGTTGAGCATCCACTGAAATGCCACCATCCCATAGCAGGGTGGGCGGGAGACAAGTCTCTTGCATGCTCAAGATTCAAGATTCTTGAATGGGATGCAACAGCTGGTGGCTCAGACAGTTGTATTTCTTTCTGCCACTTACTTGGCAGAACTATATTGCGTTTCTAGCCTGTAGATTTTGACAGACCTAGTTCAATCTGTTACGGGCATTTGGAAAATAAGCTAATAGATAATACGTTTGTCTAGAACTGCTAGCCAATAAAAAAGTTTAAAATGGGATACGTGTGTGTGTGTGTATGCAATGTAGCTGAAATCAGTGATTACATAGTTGATACACACCCATGTTGACTCCAATAAGGATGGGGAAGGTTGAGGTGCAGGGGAAAGCAGGCAAGACAAATATTTCAGTTTTTTTAACCCTATTTCTACAGAAGGTGAAGGGAGCACTCCCTGATATCAAACTACGTTAGCATCAGGGGTTGGTCACCCTAAGATGTCCTAGAGACCCTGGTGTGGGGAAGCACGTTCTAAAAGTATTACTTAAATGGTTATGATATTTCCCAGTTGTTGTCAGTGTCACTGCACCAGGGCTAAAGTAATTCTTCCAAGGTCTACTGACTGACCAGGTCTAATGCAGTGCAAGTTATTTTTTTAAAATATATGTTTTTATTTGAAAGGCGGAGAAGGAAAGACAGAGACAGAAATCCTTCATCTAGTGGTTTAGTCACCAGGAGCCTGGAGTTTTTTCTGGGTCTCCTACATGGGTACAAGGTCCCACGGACTTGAGCCATCATCTGCTGTTTTCCCATAAGCAGGAGCAAGCAGGGGCTGGATTGGAAGTGGATTGGAGCAATCAGGACATGATCCAGCACCCATATGGAATGCTGGAGCTGTGAGAGGAGTATCACTTTGCTAGCCAGCACACCAGATACCCAAAAGGTCGATTTTAAAGAAAAAAATGATGTCTGTTAAGTAGAATTAAAGTATGCTGTTAGGTATCATATTGTTTTGTTTTGCAAAATTTCCCATTGTTAAAAAGCTGATTTCACCTTTTTCAGGATGGTGATGAATCATCTCCAATTCTAACAAGCTTTGAATTAGTGAAAGTTCCTGATCCTCAGATGTCTATGGTAAGTTATTAATTATTATGCGGGTTCTTTTTCACTGATAATGATTTGGATTACACCAAACATTTTGTTTTAAAACGAATAACATGTAACTACCTTAGTTATCTAGAAATATCCCTTCTATCCACTTTCAGTATCTTGAATATAGTTTTTTACAAAAACTGTTGATACACAAAAAGTAAGGACAGTATAATATAGGATTGAGCAATCCTTTGCTTGGATTATTGAATGAATCGGGAGTGTTAAAAAGGCAGAGTTATAGTGTGAGTAAATACACACACGCACGCTCCGAATGGCTCAACAGCCAGTGCTGGGCCAGGTTGAAGCCAGGAGCCAGGAGCTTTCCTTGGGTCACCACATAGATACAGGAACCCAAGTACTTTGGATATATTCTGCTGCTTTCCCCAACACGTTAACAGGGAGCTGGATTTGAAATTTGTCAGGACACCAGCACTCATAGGACACACCAGCTAAACCAATATGCAACAAAGCCATCCTTATATTTCTAGTTAGATTATTTGCATTGAAAATCAAGCCAAAGAAGATTAATAGTGACCCATTAGATGATAAAAAATGTGATGACTGAGTTGAGTACAAGTAACATTAAAGAAAGAGATAAGGACAACATAGAGAGATATAAAAAAAGATACCTGGATCTGATATGAAAAAACTGTCAATAACTTCATGTATATATAACATGTAATGTAGTTCAACTTGGGTTAATAGATCTAAAATTGGCAGTTAAGGTTAGGGTAATATATATATCACATAAGGCTAATAGAAAATTGAAAGACTGAGGTCTGAAAACAATAATAAAAATTTCAAAATTTTATATTAAGCATCATCCTAAACAGAACAATATGGTTAAAACTAATGGGTTTGGCCATAGTTAGAACATTTATATCTGATGTGTATATATATATGTATGTATTCAAGTAACCTGATCATTGCTCCTGCCCTGGATGATTTGTAGTAAAGGCAATTGATAATACGGTAGTACTTGTGATGTTAAAAATCTCTGGTAGCTGATGGGAAGGAAGGAATACTGTCTTCTAGGTTGTCAGGTAATTTAAGCGAAGCGGATATTTGATATGGAATGTGGATATCTTGAAATTGTTGGAAGAAAAAGGTTCATATTTTAAGAAATTGTAGTGATATGTGCATAATGTGGCACAGGTGACACGAAAGCCACACTTTGTTTTGATATCTTGAAATAGATCAGTGTTAAAGGATTGATAGGTAAGTAAAATTATATTTCTGTAAAATGTTAAGAGTTATAGAATGATCTTCTGTGACTCTTCAACTTATGATTGATTATTGAGAAGATTTTTTTTGGCATACTGTACATTCTCAGTTAATATTTGTAAATAATTTATAGGAGAACTTAGTTGAGAGCAAACACCACAAGCTTGCCCGGAGTCTGAGAAGTGGGCCTTCTGACCATGATCTGAAACCCAACGCTGCTACCAGAGATCAGCTAAATGTAAGGGAGTTTCTAACATGGAAATGTAAAAATCCCGACAGCAATGTTTTTCTGCTACTGATATGTAACATCTCATATAAAGGATCTAGATGTATGTTTTTTCTAGATTGATGAATCCTGTATAATTTTATTTATTATTGTTTTTATTTTTTTTAAAGATATATTTATTTTTATTTGAAAGACAGATTTTTTTACAAAGCGAGGCGGAAAGATAGAGAGAGGTCTTCCATTTACTGGGTCACTCCCCAAATGGCTGAAGCAGGTGGAAATGAGCCTCTCAGAAGCAAGCAGCCAGGAGCCTCCTCTGGGTCTTCTATGTGGGTACAGGGTCCCAAGGAGTTGATCTCTGCTGCTTTCCCTTGGCATAACAAGGAGCTGAATTGGAAGTTGAGCAGCTGGGATGTGAACTAGCACTAGTGGGGGGGGTGCCAGCACCGCAGGCAGAGGATTAGCTTGCCAAGCCACAACGCCAGCCCTTATAATGTTAGCAGTGTATGTAATTGGCAGTTTTATTATCATTGGGGAGTTTTCAGTAAATTTGTTGGCTCTCTGAAGACAGAGTTGCAGTGCTTACTTTCATGGTGTAGCATGAAAAACATTTAGTCCTAAGACATTTTCCTGAGTTCTAGAACTTAGGATTTCCACATATGTTGTTTTTTGTTGTCTTGATGGGAGAAAGTCGTTTTCTGTTTGTTTTCTTTATTTTGCATCGATAGGGCATGGCTACTTTGCTTCTTTTGATTGAATTAACTGAATTGATTATGCATGTTTATATGAGCTGTGACTCATCTTTTTCTCCTTTGTACATTAATATGCTTTTTGGATTGATAAATACTGCGAATTTAAGCCTTATTTCCCAGGTCAATATTGTCCTTATTTGTATCTCTTACAGAAATGTTCATATGAAAAATTCAAAGTGAAATAGAAATATGTTGGAAGTAAGTATGTGACAGAACTGGTTATTTTTCTTCTTTGTTGTAGATTATTGTGAGTTATCCACCAACGAAGCAGCTTACATATGAAGAACAGGATCTCGTTTGGAAATTTAGATATTATCTGACTAATCAAGAAAAAGTGAGTTTCTTGAATACATGTATAAACTTTATGACTAATGAGCAAAGTGAAATAAAATCACCATGGGAATTTAGAGTCAATAACTTAGAAGTTATCAGTGTATATGAAAAAGGCAGCTGCAAGAGTATATCAACAGGGATATATGTTGCTATTTGTTGATCCATGGACAATCTCTGGAGTTGAGTCAGAGATGGCAACAATTTCAGGCAGCAACACTCGTGTGCATTAGACAGATTGCGGTAAGAAGCTTTGGAGGCCTAGCTTCCTTCCCCGTCAAGGGAAGACACTCTCCTTCACAGGTGAGCTGATACAGACAGCCTGCCAGAATGCCAGGGACATCGCAGAGGCAGAGGCAGCACTGAATTCCTACTGTCCCATTCATCTGTTTGAAAACATTTATACTATGAAAGAATTCTGGAAAAGATGTGCCATCTCAGAGTATCATGACTCTAATTTGTAATGTGGAAATTGAGCTGCTAGTGTGCCAAACAGCTCTTTTGGACACAGGGCACAGAAGATTCGTACAGTTGATTCCATATTCAAACCACAGAATGGATGAAACTTCTAGAGAGAGGATTGTAATGAAATAGGCAGCATTACACTTAATCTAGAGACCATTTTCAAGTCTTCTTAGAGTACGAGGATATGACCACAGGGAAGTAATTTCACCTGTCTGAGGTTTTGTTTGAACTTTCATTTCTGGTTCTTGAAAGAATCTGTTAATTGAGCTGCTGTGTGTCTAACTTCCCAGGGATTCTGACATGCATTAGAGGCAGAGCAGGGACGCATTAAAGAGTGAAAATGTATCCAGATATTGGTATTTAACTATGGGAAGATGAACTAATGCTTACAGTGCCATTCATGACCACCTCAGGAAATTTTTTGTAGATGAGTCATATTTATTTTATTTATCTCCATAATAACGGAAGGGAGTTTTAAGTTTATTGTAGCTTTGAATGCTACTTTCTGAATCAGTGCTCAAAAGGAAATATCAATAGACTGACTGCAACTGTGCAGTTTTGTGTTTTATGAAAATATTCAGCTAGAATCACGATATTTTGGTGGCAGAAATTGTATCTTCAGTGCAGCATGGTGTGGTCCAAACTCAACGAGATGCTGAAATAAACCTATTAGTGTGTAGGGTCAAGAAGTGTAGAGCAAATTTCCAGTGCAGAACTTGGGTAGAAAGGATTGTAAAAACACTGTTTAAACAAGTAGTCACTTTCCACTCAAATTCAGGTACTTCTAGAAAGAAATAAAATGCTCAGGTGATATAAAGTATGTGACAAGCTTCATTTGACTGGTTGGTTTCAAGTTTTCGAGAGGTGGATGATGGAGCTTTGCCCTTAGATGCTGAGGATCATTGAGAAGAGTGAGGGTACTTTGTGGGGTTCAGGAAGCAGGATTAAGCAAAGTGTACATGGCCTTTATGTGACCAGAGCAATTATTCAAACACCACGTTCTTATCTTTGTAATTATAGAATACAACTACTTCTTTATACTTCCCTTAATCTATTTACACAAAGAAATTCTCTTAATGTTTGGTTTTCGGTAATTGTAATATTAAAATATTGTTATTTTGACCCTGAGGCTGAAAAGCTTTCCAAAAGAAAGGCCTGTACTCAGAAAACAACTTGGAAGAAATTGTTTCCTACAGTTATGCTTTTTATTTTTTGATTGAATTTTGGCCTTTCTACTTACTTGTTTCTAAAAGGCCTGTCTTATTTGCAGTTTGGATGAAAATCTGGTTTGGACCTAATGCAGCAGTTAAAATTAAGTTTATGTTAATAAATTAATCCAATAAAATCATTTAAATTTACATAGTAGCTTTAAACTTTCCTATAGTTGGCAGTAACTGATATTTGTGGCACATAAAATCTATTGTAATTCTTCAAAGGTAAAGCTTGTTTTTATAGTGGACCTTCTTGTGAAAGTGTTTAATCAAAGTGATTTCTCTTAATTTCATTCTTTTTGTTTATGCTTATGAAAAAAATGCACAGTATGATGAGTCACATGTTATAGAAAATAGGATGCAGTAAATATGCCTGTGAGGCTACTTCCAAGAAAACAGCATCAGGGGAATAATCTTATTGCTGCTTCCTTATAACAGCTGATGGAACATAGGGGAAATGAATGTTACTAAAGCAAGAATTTATTATTAACTCTTTTTCTATTGTTAAACATTAAATAAGGCTTTGAGACATCGTGTCATATTCATATATATTAAATGTTTTTAAGCAAGAATTTATAAACTAAATAAGGAAGTATGGGATAGCAAAAAAAAATTAAGAGCTACTGCATTAGTAAATAATTAGGTAATTTAATATAAAACATGGTAAAAAGTGCATAAAGATTATTAACTTTTGACTCTGGACTCAGTATCAGAGTCACGATTCAAACTGATAATAATTAATTAACAGTATTTATTTAATACAAAATACTGTTTAAAGATTATACATTCACTAACTTGTTTAAACTTCTTCATGGGCCAATGAAACAGGATACTTAAAAAATAATGTAGTTCAAGTTTATGTACTAATTAATATAGCCAGAAAATCGGATTTGAACCTAAACATCCTGACCCACAAGTTCGTACTTTGCAATTACCTAGGAAAGTTCTGGAGATAAATTTGCATGAACTGCCCCAACCTTCTTTACCTATATCATAAAGTTTGTTTTGAAGCTTTGAGGTTATATTAATTTTTTAACTGCAGTTTTAAAATTTTTACCATCTCTCACCTTTTTCCTTTTTCTCTTCAGAATATTGTCTCCTCATTTTTGTCTGGAACCTTTAGCTTTATGAAATTGTGAAATTCTTTGTACAGTGCCTTGAATTTCTTGGCAGCAGTATGCTCAATAGATCTTACTAATAAGTCTATAAATCTCCGACTCTCGGAGTTAGATTGTCTTAGTCGCTGTGTTGAGTGCTTTGGCATACTGTGAGATTGGCTTATAATAAGTACATATCCTCACATTTCTATTAAGACTGCTGATGTTCTGTGAAATAGAAAAGCTTTCACTGTGGTTATTTAAGAAGCATTGCTTTGTTTCCATATTCAGCATAGAAGTACATTTTCGAAGTGAAAAATAAATACGCAGAGTAAGTAGAGCAGTCGGTGTTCTGTGTGTGGGGAGACAAGGATCATTATACTAAGTTGTTTGCAGGAGAAAGCAGTGGTCCTGGAGGGATGAAGTAACAGTGATACGAGCTTCCACCGAGCGTTTGCCAGTTAGAAGAGCATCATCTCAATAAGAAGTAAAATGGAGCCAACTTTAAAGGGAAAATCATAAACATTGTGGATAAGTTAAGTTTTCAGAGAAGCTGATCTTTATAACATGGTTTTCTTGAGCACAAGGAAAGCTTATAGACAGAATCCAGACCCTTAGGTTACTTGATTGAACCATAAAAAGGTAATAACAGTTTAGTGAAGAGTTCAGATTGTGGTGGAAGGTATCATTATTTGACAAAGAAGGCAACATTTTTTTTGTGGTTTTTCTGACTACACTAAAGTTATTTTGGCAGTCATCTTTCGATGCTGAAAAGACTTTATGAACTATAAGGGGTTAAATTTATTCTCATTTTCTCTGTGGAGAAAATGAGAACAATTTGAACAATGAAATTGAACAATGGGAAGAACTTATATGAAGACTTTATATTGCTTGATTCAGAATAGTTGAATAAAAGAGAGATGTTTTAGCTGTTTGTAGATATAATAGCTACTTTTGAATTGAGTTGCTGAAAATTACTTAATAAAAATCTTAGTCTCTTGGCAAGGATGTTGTAAGGTAAATTTCTGCTTACAACAGGGGATTTAGGCTAATAATCACTTTGAACTTGAGCTTCTGGGAGTATGTGGGAAATAATTAGGAAGAACCTGGAATTGAGGCCTTTTGTTAGAAACCTGTGTGAAATAATGAGAATGAAGCTGAGTGGAACTATCGCTGGGAAACAGTTTGACAGGGTTTGGAAATGGATTTGTGTTTTCAGTGTGGACGGAGTAATGGCTTTAAGAGGAATGGACCTAGTAGGAAAGCAGCATCTCGTGAGAGAAGCAGCAGGCTGGGTTGGACGAAAGTGATACCTAAGCCACTGAACCTCGCTGAGGCTCTCTGGCTTACATAGGACAGAGTATCCTCTAGGGTTGGACTAAGTGGTGGACGTGAAGTTTCATTTATTAATCTTACTAACCAAAAATTATGCTTTTTTTTTTCTGAGTGGACTTTTTGAGAATTTGATTTGTGCATTAATGAAATTTTAATTTGGCACAGCAAGAATAAACATTTTTGAAATTATCTTTGTTTTATATATAATTCACGAATTTAGAACGTGATAGGAAAAAGAAAGCATTTTAGGTTTTGCCAGAGAAGTGTTGTCTGTAAGAAGACCTGGTGACAGAGTGGACTGTATGTACCTTTTGAAGAAACAGACTTTGTAATTTATGCAGTTATGATTTTTAAATATCCAGGTAACCTGCTTAACTTGCAGTCAATGTGCTGTCTGTCTAAAACAAGATTCCAGAAAGATGTGCTAGGCAGTTCGATCATAGAGTAATTGGTGTTCATTTTATGTTTAACCTTTTTTTTTTTTTTTTGAGCTTTTATTTTTTGGTTTTTCTTCAGAGATACACACCTAGTCCAATTTGAATTCTCATGTGTTAATATCTGGGAAAGTCGGTGATCCTCACCTTGGGGAGTAACAAGATGAAGCTAGTATTTTAGGGATGTCTGCTATTACTTGACTTCTGAGTCTCCCAGTGATTATAGGATTTTATGACTCACTGTTGATGTGGTGAAATGAAGTTTGTGTTCAGTGCACCTTTCAAGTTCATGAGATACCCCTCAACCTTGTCTAAGGCCTTTACTGTTTTAAAATAGCCCAAGGAAAATGGAAAAATATTGAAATAAAATTAACAATCTGTAAAATGCTTTACAGTTAATTTGACTTAAAAATGTAGTGGCTTTTCTAGAACATATATAACCTCATTTAGTATTTACATAGGAGTTTGTCCTTGACTCCCAGGATCAAGTGCAACCCTCTGCCTCTTCACCTTTGACCTTTCCTTCCCCAGGTACTAGGTTATTGGTAACTTAAATTTTTGTTGTTGTTGAATTTAGGCATTGACAAAATTTTTGAAATGCGTCAATTGGGATCTGCCTCAGGAGGCCAAACAGGCTTTGGAACTTCTGGGGAAGTGGAAGCCAATGGATGTGGAGGATTCCTTGGAGCTGTTATCCTCTCATTACACCAATCCCACGGTGAGGCGGTATGCAGTGGCCCGATTACGGCAGGCTGATGACGAGGTAAAGCATTGCTTCTTACTCCTGTTCGACCATGTTCATTCTAAACTAAGGCCTAATTAAAGACAGAGAGAGGGTGAGAGGAGGCTGTTTAGAAGGCAACAGCATATAGTATGTGTGTTTCCTGAAGTAAAATTAAAATTTTCCCCCAAGGACTTCTCTGTGAAATGAAAATTTACTTCTTGATCTGTTACGTGATAGGACAATCACTCCCAAGACACTTACTTGGCAGCAGAGCTTGTATTGCTCTGTCTGGAAAAAGGAATTCTAATGAAAAATGGTTGAATGCAGCACCAGTTGGGGAATAATTCAGATCCTCTCTATCAGTCAGTATACAACAAACCACATTTAACTGTAGCTTGGAAGGCCCGTGGGGCTCAAGCAGAGAGATGCAGGGTCACCTCAGTCTCCGTCAGGCTCCTTTCAACTTGAGGCTGCTGACAGTCATGTGTACATGTAGATTCTGTTGTTGGTTTTGAAGCTTCATGCTGGATAATTATATCGTTGTGAGGCTGTCAGGGAAGGAGGGACGCTCAGTGGAATCAAAGCTGATTGATTTTGAATCTTAGTAGTTCCTAATGAGGCAGTCTAACCAAGCAATTTTTGCATTTAATTTTTATTAGAGTGAATGTATTCTCAATATGTTAGCTAGTATGGCTCATGAAATGTGCAGTATCTCTTCTTAAGATAGAAGCTGAGCCAAAAAACATTATCAAGAACTATTTTAAAGTTAAAAGATCAGAAACAGTATCATCATTTTAAATGATCTCATGAAATAAAGTACTTTTAAAGCTATTACATTTGTTTCTTTACAGAAAAATTTATTCAACAAAATAGTATTATGAACCCTCAATATGTACATTACCTGTCAAGTCAGTCAGTCTTGTTTGATACATAATGTGCTATACTTTATCCTACTCATCGCCTGTCCTCCACCAGATCTGGAAATATCCCATGACTTTTGATATACTGCCTGTAAACCAGGGGTTTTCATGGAACACAGTCTTTAGATTGGATAGTTCTCCAAAATGATCATAGCAATCTGGTACTATCAGCTGTTTATTACAAAGACTATTTTAAAACAATGCAAATGTCCCTGGCGAGGTCTTGCATGTGCTGGAATCCCATATGGGTGCCAGTTCATATCCTGGGTGCTCCACTTCCCTTCCAGCTCCCCCTGCTTTTAGCTTGGGAAAGCAGTTGAGAACAGCCCCAAAGCCTTGGGACCCTGCACCCATGTGGGAGACCTGCAAGAAGCTCTTAACTCCTGGCTTTGGATCATCTCGTCTCCAGCCATCGTGGCCACTTGGGGAATAAACTCAAGGATGGAGATCTTTGTCTTTCGTTCTCTCTGTAAATCTGCCTTTCCACTAAGCATAATTTTAACAAACAAACAAACAAACAAACAAAAAACCTGGTACTGCAAAAAGACAGATGAGTAAGAGAAAAGCATTGAAATTAATGTAAGCTTTACCTGACATGGCTTCTTCAAAAGATAATGAAGACCAGAAGAAATTGTTGAGTCTTTTTGCTTTTCTTGACTGGATTTTTAAAAAGTGATTTGTTTATTTCTTTCAAGGGCAGAGTTACAGAAAGATCTTACATCTGAGGCTTCGCTCACCAAGTGACGGCAACAGTGAGGGCTTAAACAGACTGAATCCCAGAGCCAGGGTCTCTCACTTGGCTATTAGAGTCCCAAACACTTGGGCCAACTTCCGCTGTTTTCCCAGACATACTAGCAAGGAGCTGAGTTGGAACTTGTGCCTGTATGGAATGCTGGCATTGCAGGTGGAAGCTCGTAGTCCTATGCCTCAACACCTACCCCTGTTGAATTCCATTTGTGTAGCCTTAAGTCTTTGAGCATAATGTAAATTAAAGTATGTTTTTGCCAATGTCAAACAAATTTTTAAAAAATGATTGAATATGAGCATTTTAATGCTAGATTTGCCTAAGAGTAGAAAACAGTGGAAAATTTTATGTGGGACAAAACCTTATGAGCTGAGTAATAAGCTGGAAGGAACAGACTTTTAGGTTTGTCCTGGTGCCACCTTTTATTATTATTATTGTTGTTATTTTAATATGATTAGGGTACCTCTCAACCAAGGGATTAATGACCTCTTTCAGAGGAAGGTTAGACAGTCTTTCCTGAACTTGCTGTTTTCCAAACTCCTTCAACTCCAAATGTGTGAATTTTTAGATGCTAAATTTTGGGGTAGCATGTGGGAGCATACTGCCTGATGTTATTTTTGTTTTCTAAGTTTCTCTGTATGTGTGTCTTTACGTCGTGAATGGCCTGGGTCCTGCATTGTAGCAAATCACGTTAAGCTATTGCCTGAGATACCTTGTTCAGTTTGAGTGCTGGTTCAGGTACTGACTGTTCCTGGCTCAGCCTCACCCGAATAGGCGTATCGTGGCTGGCTGTGGAGTAAAAGAGCAGGTGGAAGATCTCCTTTCTCTGTCTCCCTCTTCCTCTGTGACTGCCCCCTCTCTCTGTAATTTTGGCTTTCAAATAAAGATATCTTTCAAAAGGGTAGGTTGTGTTTATTATTTACTGCACACGTTTGGCCCGTGTTCTTATGTGGCCTCTCAAGTGTAATTCACTTGAGTGAATTGTAAGTGTGCAGGTAGATTTCTTCATGATATACCAACTATACATTTATAGATTCATCTTGCTCTTAACGCTTGTTTTAACTTGATGATTTACCAATATTTATCAATTTTTAAAGGTATATTTCTTTATATTATATTGCTTTGATATTCCACATTAGATTTTAATAAGGCAGTGGCATTCAAGCTAGATTTGTAGAAATGTGGACTTTTCATGATAGAAGTTGATATTGCAAGCTGAGAAAGCAACTTGAATAAAAGCTAGCCGATGGCAAAGTATAGAAAGAATACAAAGCATTTCACAGTAACGGGTGTAAGGCTGTATTATGGAAGTGAAATCAAAATCCATCTCTTTAACTGAAAACATGTACAAAAACACTTGCTCTTAATTCAGTGAGAAGTAGAAAGCGACTGATTTTGGACACAGCCCTTTGCACTTGCTTTCTGAAGCATTAGGATTAACTGGTTCTTCAGAAAAAAAAAAGAACACTGTCATGATACATTTCCATAGCTCTGGGGAAACTTTTCCTGAGTTGCCTGAGATTCAAACATGATTCTTTTTCTTTTTTGGATTTTCCTTATTCAGATGCTTATGTCTTTCATACTTGGAGTCATTTTATGTTTTTCAAGATGTGAATATATAATGAGAATACTGACTTTCTACTTACTGATGAGTTAATTCATTTTCATGCAAGTAAAGGAAAGTAAAGTTTAAATATAAAATGCCCAATGACCTACAAATCAGATAGTGATAAGTGACAGGAATTTTTTTCTCCCTGAATTTTGCCTTCCTATGGAACTTTTAAAGTAACATTACTGTATTTTTTATTTCATGTGATTAAATATTTTCCATAATTAGGAAAGCACAAGTGATGTGTTTAGCAGCATGGCTGAGAAATGTCAGTAAAGGTGTTGAATTATGGTACCTCCAAGGGAGACTACTTGTCATTAGATATTAACAATATTTTCCTATGTAATTGCTAGACAAAACTCATCATTGTATCTATACTGCACCATCAATGCTAAATATAATATAAAGTCGGTTGCTTATTACTTCTGCCAAAGTTTCTTTAAAAAAAAAAAAGACACAGACCACTGTGTACACCTGTTTTGCTATAAAGCTGCTTGATTTCCTGCTCGCTTATATTGATACATATTTGATTAATGATGAAATGCATATTTGTTTGTTAGCATTGCCTAATGATTTATATTTTTGCTACTCTGTTAGAAGGTATAAATTGCAAAAAAAAAAAAAAAAGAAATCCTTACATGGAGGGGTTTTTCAAAAACAGAAAATGTGTGGTATGAAAAGCTATAACTTTAAAAATTTTTTTTCACCACAACAAACTTCCCTGTAATTCCATTTTCCATGAACCTTTTTGAAAGATTCTTATATTTAGTAAGGGATAATGAGTAATTGGTATAAGGGTTGTGTGTATATTTCACAAAATAGTGGAAATATTAAAAAATGAATAAGAAAGTTAATACAGGTGCTCGCAGCACTAAAAAGAGTGGGCTATTTAATGTTTACAGAAGATTCAGCCTGGTTTGTGGGCTCAGAGGGAATTTGGTTTGGAAGCGAAGCAGCTGGGACTTGAACTCATCCATATGGGATGGTGGAATGGCAGGCAGTGGCTTAAGCTGCTCTACCATGATACTAGGCTCAACACAATTTCTTTAAAACTTGAGCTGTCAGGAAAAAGAACATAAGGTGTTTCAGAATCCTAACTATATAAGTTTATAAAGCAAAAATTCTCTGTAAACTAATGTTTATGACACTAATATTTATATTGTGATATCCATTTAACAGCTGAGGAAGCCTTGAGCACAATAAAGTTACGTAGTTTAGTAATATGCCAAAGCTAACAAAGCTTAAAGGTAGCAAATTAAGTTAAAATATTAGTTTTATATTTAGGAGCAAATTATTCCTATGGTGATACATCCTTTGCTTTTTAAATGTTGTCTTATTTTTGTTTGTTTTTCAGGATTTATTGATGTACCTGTTACAGTTGGTTCAGGCTCTCAAATATGAAAATTTTGATGACATAAAGAATGGATTGGAACCTACAAAGAAGGATAGCCAAGGCTCAATATCAGAGAGTGTGTCTAATTCTGTAATAAATTCCACAGAAGTAGATAGGTATGGATATATTTTCAAGAAGAAATATAAATTCCTGCATGGAGAATATATTTTTAATTTGATGCATTATCCATTGTGTCTTCCTTAGATATACCAAAATGTAAAACTACTAGTTTTGAAATTTTACCCATGCATGTGGGAAGAGCAATTAGAGAGAATGAACTGCTGTACTGGAGTGTGTGGTTTTGCATGCTAGTGAGTCAAAATCCTGGAGTTGAGATCATCTCTGCCACAAAACTTGTACAAATTTGTCTCTGTGTCCTATTTTCTGTGTGACCCAAGTTTCTCATCTTAGTGATCTGCTTCTTCACCACTGTGGGCTGCCTGCCACTCTGCGAATCTACGTCCAGGATAGATGGTCCCGGGTTCCCCAGGGTCCTGGTGTCCTGGAACACACATGGCACTGGATGTCCATATGGCCACCCTGGTGCCGTCTCAGCCCTTCCACCTAGGCTTATGGCTGTTATGCTCAGCTCCCTAGGGGGTGTGGGGGCTTCAGTGGTAGCTGTGGCGGTGGGGACCTGGGCTGAATGGCCAAGATGGTCCCATCATTACAGATGCCCCCTTCCTTACTGTGCTGAATACTTCTCTCCAGGAGCAGTGACACACTAGCACCCGCAAAGATAATACATTTGTAAATATATTTGTAAGCACATAATACTCAGTATATGCACGCTAAAATTATAAGAAAACAAAGGAGAGACTGAATTACTGGGATAAAATGGTTTAACACTTGATTTTGTGTTAGCTGTCTTACCTCTTTAGCAATTTTTCTTTGAAAATATAGTGCATCATTTAAATTGAACATCAATGATGAACAGCAATTTCAAAATGTCAACACTGTGCCGTGTAGTCCACATGGTACTGTGCTATCCCTAATTACCTGTTAGATGTAGGACTGTATGAAAAGTTATGTACATTGCCCCAAGTCCTAGATTTTGCACGTTAGACTCCAGAGTCCATTTTCTTTCTTATTGCCATTTGACATTTTATAAAGTTGTAATGTTGAAACAAATGGGAGGTTGCAAATGAAGAATATGAGACTGGTTGAGAATGGATTTCTGAAGATCTTAAAGTTGTTTGTGACGCCATTAAGTCTGATAAAGATTTCCTATATCAGTTCAGTCATTTAGTGTGTGAGCTCAAGATTGGGTTTCTGAGTTTTTCCTTATAATTATGCAAATGCTATTTTCTGCATTTTGTTTGGAGAGAATTGAAAAATAAAACCAGTTTTTCTCTTTGGATACTTTATAGTTCTCAGTTTTTAAGAGTGGTTATCTCATGGAGGCTTTTAATTTCAATTCATGTGTAACTACCTTCTTTTTACACAAGCCAGGTAGAATGTTTTATTAGTAAAAATACTGATGTTTTATGTAGTGGTAATAGCTGTAAGCCAATGATTAAGTTTCCCAAGTCATGATTTGATAATCACTTGTTCTTGATGATTTTATTTCTCATGTTGATTTTTTTTAAAGTATCTATTTGGGAAATAGTCAGAGAAAGGGTTCCCATTTACTGGTTCATTCCCCAGATAACTTAGGGAGCAAAGCTTTGTCTAGGCTGGTCTTTGGGTGAAGCCAATAGCCAGGACTTTAATCCAGGTCTCCCATGTGGGAGACCAGCTGCCTCCAAAGGTGTGTGTTGGGAAGTTGGTGTTTGAAGCCATGGTTGGACTTGAACTCAGGCAATTGGTTTGGGCTATGGCTTTCTTATGCACTAGGCTATATTCCACTTCCTGGATGATTGTTAAAAAGATTAAAAGGAGGTGACATTATCTTGTGACCATGTTTTGAAAATGCTAGTTTAGTGTTAAAAGTGTGTGTGTGTGTGTGTGTGTGTGTGTGTGTGTGTATAATATTGCTTACCAAAACCTGCAGTAATACTTTGACTCACACATAAATCTCCAAGAAGCTGTTACCCATGCAGGTGTTGTATCTGTTACAATGTGTATGTTTTTCCCAGAGCATTACATGACCTAACACCATGAGAAATTACAGCATTGGCCAGACACAATTGAAACTACCGAACCTAAAAGAAAAAAAAAAAAAGTTGTCTTCTCTTATGGACAGAAGAGTTTGTTAATGGCATCTCCTTTTACATTTCCAGCTCCCAAATTATAAGCAGCCCTCTTCCTTCTGTGTCTTCCCCTCCTGCCGCATCTAAAACAAAAGAAGTTTCAGATGGTGAAAATCTGGAGGTAAGTGCAGTGCTTCTCAGGGTCCTAGAGAGAGGGGCTGACATAGTTATTGCAAGTACATTAAGTAACTTCCTAATGATGTGCACATGAACAATACTGCGATTGTCCATGTTTGTGATTATATTATTCTAGAAATGTATGGCTTTGATACTAGACATAATGCAGCTGTTTTTAACCTTACACAGAAAAGTCGTCTCACTTTGGAGGACAATTAGGCCTTGTAGGTTGGTATAGCTCTGAAAAGTGCATTAAGAAGTGTATTGAAGAAAGTGATCTATTTAGAAAATGTAATTGAATTTGTCCTTAAGCCTTCTAAATTAAGAAGGATCTCTTAAACCCCTGATGTTGAAAACAATTTGATGTTTTAAAGTTCAGTTGAATTTAAATATTTATTTATATATTGCTTTTGTTAAAATTTTAGGAATTAACGATTAATCATTTTTTTTGAAGACTAAAGATCACATACTTCGCAATACAGTAGGAAAGATCTGAGGGCCCAGCGCAGTGGCTCAGATGGCTAAATCCTCACCTGACAAGTGCTGCTATCCTATATTTTCAACAGTTTGTTTCCTCGTGGCTCCATTTCCCATCCCACTCCCTGCTTGTGCCCTGGGGAAAGCAGTAGAGGACAGCACAAAGCCTCTATACTCATGTCGGAGATCTGGAGGGGGCTCCTGGCTCCTGGCTGCAGATCAGCTCAACTCTGGCTGTTGGGGCCATTTGGAAAGTTAGCCAATGTTAACTGTACTTGAAGAATGTTTTGTAAGTTTGTCTTCTTTCCATCTCTACTTTTCACTGTTCAGTTTTAGATTCCTGTAATAGCAGCAGCTTATTGATGTCCGGTCTGTACTTTTCAGATCACCTAGACCTGTTTTCATAAAATAGAATCAGCTCTTACCCTTTTTAAAATTTTTTGTTGGGAGTTTTCTTTGTACTCCTTTATAAAAAATGTATTTATCTTTATTGGCAAGACAGATTTATAGAATAAAGAAGAGACAAAGATCTTCCATCTGCTGTTTCACTCCCCAAATGGCCCCGAGGGTTGGTGCTGAGCCAGTCTGAACCTAGGAGCCACCAGCTTCTTCTGGGTCTCCCATGTGGGCACAGGGTCCCCAGGCTTTAGGCCGTCCTCTACTGCTTTCCCAGGCCACGAGCAGGGAGCTGGGTGGAAAGTTGCTCTAACCTTTTAGATAATATTTGGCTTAAAATAAATTTTAGGTCACTGGAAGGGGGAATAAGTAGATGTTTTAAAATTTTGCATTGTTGCATATAAGATATGCAGATGAAAACTGATAAGAAAATGTATTCTCTCACTTCTCCCTCTGTTAGTAGCAGACAGCAAAATGTACACATTTGTGTAAATATGCATTTCTCTCATTATTTCAGCAGGACCTGTGCACCTTCTTGATTTCAAGGGCCTGCAAGAACTCAACACTAGCTAATTACTTATACTGGTATGTAAAAATAGTCTTCTGCCCTTTTTTTTTTTTTTGTAGCTGCTCTAAAGGACTTTCTTCCAAGTGAAGATCAATTTAAAATACAATGTAAACAATTATCAAAAGCCCTTGTGCAGTGTATGTATGCAGCTCTATTCTTGGAATGCTTGCTAGCACCACTGTTCCTTTACTAACTTTCCAGGAGGTCATGTACAATTGAGCAAGGTAATGAAGTTTTTCAGTTTTGTGTCTGTTTGCTTTCATGCTATTTAAGCAGTATATGGTGCTGCAGAGTGCTATGGGAAAATGGATCTTCACATTATTTACCAAGAATGGAAACATGCAAAGACAAAGTTGGAGTTCAGTTCTTATCCCATTATAAAGATGAGGCAGTCACACTGTAAGTGAACTTAGTAGAGGCTTGTCAGAATTAAATCATTTACCACCAGTTTGCCTTTGTAGAGTACTTGCACTGGCCTTTTCTTGTTTATCCCTGTGAAGTTAAATGGGGCGAATATAAGTGGGAACAGTGTTCAGAGAATTGAAAGAGAAGCCAGAGCACTGGGAAGTTGACTTCTTGAGAAGCAGTTAACGTGAAGCATGATTCTCTTTATCTGTCCACAGTTAGCATGAGGCCCAGTGAGAAATATCTTGATTCAGTAAAAGAGAGCACCTGGACAAGATGACGTCAGACCGGGCACAGGCAGCTGGGTAGACCATCCCAGAACTGAAACCCTCTTCACTCTTGGAACAAAACTTAAAACTAACTATTCTAGCATACATTTCTTGATTTTTCAACTGTAGAAATGATCTTTGAGCTATATGTGTAGTTACATATTAAGAGAACCAAATTGAGTATTCAGTATTTTTGAATAGTAATGTGACATTTTCCTGAAGAAATTAAGCAAAAGTCTATTGATTTGAGAAACTGTTCTGTGGGTGAAACAAATTGTAAATTCATTTCCCCACTTTCTCAAGACTGTTAATTTGGTTACTACTGAACAAGAAGTGGGTAACTGAATCAGGACACTCTTATAACAAGTTGCTCATTACTTATGTAAATTGTATTTGGTTACTTTAGGACTTTATGGTCCTATTTTGGCCTAGTGAAAGCCACTAGGCGCAGTGGTAACCAAATCAGCCATATAAATCCTACAGTGGAAACTGCATCAACTCCTCCCTTTCTGCCCTGACCTTGTTAGTGCTGATATCGGAAAGAGCAAAAACTTCCTGCCTGTGTGTCAGCAATTTAATATTCCTAAAGGTGAATTTATTTCACAGTAAATTTCACAGTGTTCTTAAAAGTACACCCACATATTTTGATTAATCACTGACTTATTTAATTTTTAAATGTATATCTGTACACTGATATCTGGGAAAAATTTCCTGATGAATGTCCAAGTGAGTAAAAGAAAACAGAAAGAAGTGTGTGAACCGTGTTCTGAAGCTTTTGAGTAACTGTAATTTATTGAAAATTAATTTAGACTTTGTTTCCTTGCAATATTCATGAAAAAAATTTCCCTGGCCCTGAATTTAGGGTCTTGACTAGCCAACGGAGAAAGAAAAGTATGTTTATACACGGGTGATGTCATGTTTTGAAATTATGCCTTCTCTGAATTTGATATAGACCAGATTTCATTGTAAAGTTGGTAAATTGTTTTGATAGAATCTTGGCTCTCATTTCAAGAGTTTTCAAGTAATTCTGACAACAGCTGAACAGGAGAAAACCTATTTGATGAACAGTTTCCAGAAAGGTGACCGTTTCTGTTCAGAAAGTATGCTTGTTTTCTCTAAACATAAAATACAAAATGCAGCCCCAGATCCCAGTATTGCAAGCATTTCATAAAGTTTAGATTTGATGTGTGTTTTCCCTCTGTATCTGTGATTCATTGAAGTAATCACATGTGCTATGTCTATTCATCCTCTAAGGAGTAATTGCTTTTCCCACATTTACAGGCTGTGCATTAATGCATTTAGAAACACTCGTGGGGAAAGAGGCTGTTGATATGGCCTCTTACTTTGGGAGACATTGCTTTTGTTAATATATAATAACATGATAGGAAATAGTTTTAAATAGTTGGCTTGAAATGATCATTTTCAACATGAATAGATTATACAAAAAATTAAGAATATCAGTGCTTCTCGGTCTGAGATTACTATAATAAATGTGTTAAAATATCTTTAATTGATTGTGCTATTTCAGTTCGAACATTTTGAATTTCCTTTTTCATTTGTTCCATTTCCAGTGATTTAAACAGGGTTTTTGCTGCAGCTGAATCCTTAGGGGCCTATAGTTGTGCAGACAATCTTTTTAAAATGAATAGTGTCAACCTTTTAGGCCACAGAAGGGAGTTATAGTCTCCAATCTGTGAAATGTTGGGCATCAGAATCTATAAATCGTTCCAGTTTTTTATTTTTATAGCCATTCCAGAGTGTTGAAATTGAAAGTAAACTTTGGATGCTTTGACATGTGTTCTATAACTTTTAAGACCTCTCAAGGTAATAAAGGTTATTTACTCCACAAAATAAAATTGCTGGGGAACAGAAACCCACTGATGTCAGTTTACGATGAGTGCCTAGACAATTTTGTCTGCATTTCTACTCTAAGGTGACAGCCTTTAGTGTAATACCTCAGAGAGCTCTGTAGAATCTAGTTTATTGGTGTGAACAGAGAACTCAGTAGTGATTGAAATCTAGATCTTCTAGTCTTGATCTGCCCTTGTGTTTCCTTTTAGGCAATAGCCCTGCCATTTTTATTTTAGATTGGACTTTTCCCTAGTAGTAGAACTTTGACTGGAGTGATTTTAAGAGAGGTTGATACTTGACCCTTATGGGCATGATCATATAGCTTCAATCACAGGAAATAATACTAGACATCGTGTGTATTGGTGGTCATGGAGACCTGAACTCAGCAGTATGGCCTGCGTTGTTTGGTTATGTTTTTGGAAGAATGGCAGAAAGTGGGAGAGTAGGAGAGAGAGGGGAGAGGGTGACAGGGAGAGAGAGACGTGCTGACTCACTTTTCAAACGGGCTGCAGTGTCTGGGTTTGTCCCAGGCTGAAGCCCAAAGCCTTGTACTGTGTCTGGGCCTTCCTGGTGAGTGATGCGTCCCCGTAGTTGGGAGTCTTGTGCTGCTTTTGAAGGTACATTAGCAAGAAGGATTTCAGGCAGAGCAGCCAGCACTCATGCTAGCCCTCTGATGCAGGCTGCTCATGACACGTGTTGTAGTTTAACTCGATCTGCTGCAGTGTCAGCCCCCTGCATAAGTGCAGAAGAAAATAAACAATATATAGTGAAATAGCAGACAATCAGGAATTTTAAATGAAGGGTATATTGGGCTTATGTAAGCTTTGAGCCACTATTTTGCTTACATGCCTTTAAAATAAACACTCTAACTAGAATACCATGATTAGGAAGTAAGAGTTTAGTCCTAAGCAGTTCTTCGCTCACTACCCTAGAAAAGAGCAACCTAGTGGAGCTTTCTATAACCATGGACATGATCTTCAGTGCTTTCTAGGTGGCTCTGACATTTGAAGTATGTGAGGTGTTTCTAATGAACTAAATTTTAGATTTCATTTAATTTTAGTTAACTTTATTCCAGATAATCATATGTATCTAGTAGTGACTTCTGGTACCGAGAAATCCTAGAAGGCATTTCTGCATCTTGAAATCTTTGCCCTATCACTTTCCTGAAAACTCTGGGTTAGACAACTCTGGGGACTGCTAGAACATCACCTGCCATGATACAGCACGGTGCTGGGAAGTAAGGAGGCAAAGGCTTCCAGGCCCCTTCATTGCCCGTTAGCCTTTGGATTGCTTTTGTGCAATGTTACATTATATATGTTGGGATATATCGTAACATATATGTATATAACTTAAAAGCACGTGATAATAGTTCTTAGGAAGCAATACCCAACATTAGTGTCTTCATAAATTTTGAAAGATGTCATGAATTAAACCTATAAAAGAGTTACAAAGAATCATTTTCAGTGTTAGTTGTGTTGCCTAGTAATTCTCCACCTTCTCAGCATTTGAAGAAGTTAAGTCTGTACAGACTTCCTTGAGAGTCAGTGAGAGCGCCAGCTCAGCCTGAAGGGCCAGGAAGGATGGGAGGACTTGTACTGCAGCATGACAAGAGGCGTGAGAGACTAGCAAGTTGACCTCTTGGAATTTTTCACTTTTGAAATGGTTCTGATACAGTCTGTTATTAATTACCTCCCCCCCACACCTTTTTTTTTTTTTTTGGGCAAATGGTAAATTAGCCTGTTTTAAAGGAAAAGTTTTAAATCATGTAAAAATAAATGTTTTATTTCACATTGTAAGTGATTTAAACATATGTTTAAGGTATGTTATAGTGGAATGCGAGGATCAAGACACTCAGCAGAGAGATCCAAAGACCCATGAGATGTATTTGAATGTAATGAGAAGATTCAGCCAGGCGTTGCTGAAGGTAACCGTCTAATGTGGGGAATGGCAAGCTGCTGTGCTTGAGCCAGCTCTGGGTGCTCCTGTTATGGTACATCCTTTGAACTAAGAATAGATTTTATATTTTTAAATAGCTAAAAGCAAACCACAGGAATAGTTTTTTGAAAAGTATTCTGAACATAAAGTGTCAGTATTCATACATTTCACATTGTCTGTTACTGCTTTTAGTTTATAGAAGAGAATTACATGGCCAGCAGTGCCTAAGGAGCTTGCTCTGATTATTCACAGAGAGGTTCTCTCTGATTTAATCAAAGAAGCCTGAAAAAGAAAATATGGAGATTTGATCTTTATTTCCTTGTCAATACTTAGACATCATTTTGACCAAACTGGCAGTGATTCCTTCTAGTTTTAAGAGATCCACGCACCTGGCGGGGCTGCTTCCTGCAGTGTCACATCTTAGCTACTCTTAATTTGTGACTTCATTATAGAAATAATTTACTTCATAGCGTCTTGTATCTGCTGCTTCGTTTTCACTGGCTAACATTTTAAGTTGAAACTTGTTAAGCACTTTAGCACTAAGCTTTTATATACAGAGAGCTCATAGTTTCTGAGTGTCTCAAATCGATGGTCAAAAAAGCCCTTGGTCCTCTCTTCCAGTTTGGAATCTCTAACTTCTGGCCTTGGTGTCCTGTGTAGACATTTCAGTCCTGTCTTTGAGATGAGAGTGAATTGCCCAGTTGCCTTTACTAGGGTAATAGGATATGTTAAGTTAGACACTGTGATACATTTTATGAAGTGGCAACCAATACATAAGACTTTATAGTCTTTTTAGCTTGCATTTGATTTCTAGGCAAAGACCTGATTTCTAGTTGGATTTGAAATTGAGTTGCCAGGATTTGAACTTGTGTTTCTTCTGGCAGTAGCTTAACCTGTTCCCACACAGTGCTGGCCTGTGTTTCTGCCCTTTTCGTGTCTAGCCAATTTCTGAAGACGTCACAGATGTTCAGATGCTTTTCAAACTAGTGAGTGAAAGCATTTTAGGGAAAAGACTCCTTCTAGTCATGTGGTTATATGTGGGGCAGGGATGCTGTTATAGATAGCCTGATGGTTGCTGAAACTGATTCAAGTGGTACAGAAGATTGCAGGTTTCTCATTGGCTTGGAATCAAGAAAATGGGTCTTTTTAAACTTCATTTTGTATTAGAAGTTTACAGCTATTAAAAGACTCAATAAGAATCACTCCTGCTCTTAGAGATATCTTGATCATTATGTTTCATACAACTTATTTTCCTTTGCTTGGACTCTCCTCAGGGTGATAAGTCTGTCAGAGTGATGCGTTCTTTGCTTGCTGCGCAGCAGACATTTGTAGATCGGTTGGTTCATTTAATGAAAGCAGTGCAACGTGAAAGTGGAAATCGCAAGAAGAAGGTAAGACTATGAGTTTATTTTCTATTTCTGACCAGCAGTGGCTTATCATAATAAAATAGTGAGTTTTGACTGTTGCCACTAGAGGTTGACACATGAACTTCTCTTAGTGTACTTACAGTGCAAGGAGCAATCCTTAAAATTATCGATATGCAGAATTCTGTTGTGTGAACTTACATGTAGTGATATGTTTAATCTTCATAACAGCCTTGCATGATTTAGATACTGTATTAGTCCAGTTGTGAGGGAAAGAAGGCATAGAGAAGTCAAATGATTTATCCAGTGTTTTCACAGCCAGTACGAATGGAGACAAGAGCTTCTCTCTGCTAGTTAATTCCCTGATTTCACCAAACGGCTGAGGCTCAGCCAGGCTGAAGCTGGGTACTGCTAGAACCCAGTCCAGATCCCCTACTCCTGCGTGGGTTAACAGGGTTCCAGGTGAAGAGCGGTGCAGCCAGGATTCAAATGGGTATCCAGGCGATGCTCGCACTGCGGATAGAGGCTTAGGCTTCTATGCCACAGCACTGGCCACCCAAGTGATTTCTTCGCTACTCTGTTTAAAACACTCAGCCAGGTGCTCAGGAGTGCTCTAAGTCTATATTTTATGTCCAAGACTTTTCTGATTCTCATTTTAGAGTCCTAGGTCATCAAAGTATAGTATATTTGATGTAGAACAGACCCAAAAGTCATTTGGAAGACACTGAGAGGAAGGAGATTCAGCGTGACTTGCCAGCAGCTGCCTTGCTGGTTGTTGTATTGCTTATGTCTGTTCCCGTGGCTGGTGAGCGGATCCCCCTGCATCTGTGTAGGTAGACCAGGTGAACACTGCTCTTCGTGTGGCATATTTTCTGATTGATAGACTAAGGAAAAATATTTTTCTTGGTGACTTTTGCTGTTGTTCTCCAGGCTTGTCAGAGGAAACTTGAAATGGGTGAGGAGGGGAGAACTTATCAGGTTCAGGGATCAAGCAAGTGATCAATTCTAAAAACTACTAACAAAGATAGGAACAAGGACTAATGTTCACCTGGTTAGAGCGGGAAGAATTTAGGGGAAGCATCTTGTAGATTGTTAGCCTTTTTGTTGGTTGTGGTGGACAGTAATCCGGTCAAATAAATCTGTAGATACCCTTTGCCACCAGCAGAGGGAGTTCCTGTTGTTTTGCAATGTAGAGTGGGTTTTAGAAATAAGCTTCTGGCTACAGTTGTTTCAGCATCCTGTATCATGACAGATTGCTCCCAAAGCAGATCTTACCAGTTAGCCTAAGTCAGACAATCCCAGACACTACTGTATTTCACAAAGTGAAAGTGGAATTAAAAGCTAAATATTTTGAGGCAAAAAAAATTTTGTAATTCATGTAGATTATTAAAAAGACATTAATAAAGCTCAAGAATTGTGCGACCATTTGGGAGTGAATCAGCAGATGAATAATCTCTCTTTATAACTGTGCCATTCAGAAGTAACATAATAAATAAATAATAAATACTTTTTTAAAGCTCCCGTAAGGGTATGTGGCTAAAGTATATATGAAACATAAATGAATTTTGCATATAAACTTTGATCCTACTCCTAAGAGGATATGCAAATATGCATATATGCACTTATGCAAATATTTCAAAATTTGAAAAACTGTGAGCTCTGAAATATTTCTTGTTGCAAGCAGTTTCCATAAGAGGTACTCGAGCTGTAACTGATTCAGAATTGTACACAGCGCTTCCCAAGCCGTATGACTAAGAGAGATACTCCTGTAGCATGGAGGGGCAGCAGTTTGGGATACCTTACCAATCCCGGAATTCATGAGTCAAATAAACGTTGGCCTCTAGAAAAATTCTTTTGGAAGTTTTTCAGTATAGATATTGGAGTTCTAATAAAAAAAAAAGCACTTCCATAAATATTTTTTAAAATAATTAAGCTTTTCATTTTTAATGATGTAAGGCATCTTTTTTGTGTGGGAAATTACAAAGGCAATATGACTCATTTGATTGTTCTACATTAAAAAAAAAAAAAAAAAAAAAAAACATTGCATGCCCACTCAGTGCTTCATGCTTCCGTGAGCCCTGGAGAACTATAACCATCTACTCCCAGTGAAGGTTACATTTTTGTTGGAGAAGAGAAAGCACGTAATTAAGTAAATACAGAGGATGCTAGATAGCATTGTGAGCTATGGAGGAAAGGCAGGCAGGGAGGGGCCAAGGGTGTGCTGAGGGCAAGTAGAATGGCAGTTTAGTTCTCAGGTGCGGGATTGGTGAAGGCCACACTGAGGAACAGTCATTTGAGCAAGCAGTAAGCACCGAGGATAAAGATCAGAGGGAATTACAAAGTTTCTGAAAAATTGGTGAGTATTATTAAAAATCTACGGATTTCAAAATACCTTGAACAAAAATAGTCTCATAATTCACTGTGAATTGCCTGAAATCCCTGCCTAGGTGGAATGTGTCCTTGTGGGCCATTGTATAGACTTGGATTGGCGATGTTGTGGAAGCTGTTGGATGGTCTGGGCAGAGAGCCTTGTGATCAGGCTGTCATCTAGCAGCAGTACTAGACACTAGAACCGAGGGCTTGTAATGGTCTAAGGTGTGATAGTGGCTGGATTTCTCACCCTCTTATTAATTACTTTGTGAGCCTTTTTTTTTTAATTTAAATATTTTATAGTAGATCAACTATCAATTTGTTAAAAGAATAATCTGAAACTCAAAGTAGTTGATATTATTTCACATCAGTATACCTTCTTTATGGTAGCATTACAATTGAAGTGCATTATGTCACTGAACTTGACAAGTTCAGTTTTTCCCTGCTGACAAACGGCACCATGGCCTAGTGGCTAAAGTCCTCGCCTTGAACATGCCAGGATCCCATATGGGTGCCGGTTCTAATCCCGGTAGCCCTGCTTCCCATCTAGCTCCCTGCTTGTGGCCTGGGAAAGCAGTCGAGGACAGCCCAAAGCATTGGGACCCTGCACCTCTGTGGGATACCCGGAAGAACTCCGGATTCCTGTCTTCAGGTCGGCCTGTTGCGCTCACTTGGGGGGTGAATCATTGGACGGAAGATCTTCCTCTCTGTATCTCCTCTCTGTATATATCTGACTTTGCAATAAAAAAATTAAAAAATCTTAAAAAAAAATGGAATTCAAGACTCTGCAACATTATAAAGAAACGTATTGCGGCATTGAAATTGAGTAAAGACTTTCCCCTAAACATTATAGATTTTGAAAAATGACAAAGATGTTTCTTGGGATCTGAGATTCCCAATTACTCTTGACTTGATTCCACACAGTATGTCTAGCCTGTGAGGGAAATGAATGATGCTGAAAGCTTAGGAAAAGTTTGATCACATGGACTCCGTGAAAGAGAAGGTAGGGTTCACCCACCAAGTGAGTTCAGCTTCCTTCTTCAACTCAAAAATGTACCAGAGCAACAAAAGGAAATTCTTGCTTAGTATTTGGTAAATAAGATTATGCTTCAATGCAATTATAATTTCTTTCCATGGCTTCACAGACCCTAAGGAAGTAGAAATTGATAAATTCAACTTGCGTATCTTCCTTATTCTTAATTTGTTGCAGTAAATCAAATGTGTTGTATGCCCTTCCTGTGAAATCTGGGTTTCATAGTTAAGGAGTTTTTTTAAGGATGTTGCTACTATTGTTAGTTATTTATGTATGCTTATCTGCTTGTCTTGTTTTCACATTCTCTCTTATGTTAGTGTTCATATACTTTGAGGATGCTGTGAAAGTATTATTAAGTTAATATCAGTTCATAAATGCTTACTACAGTTTTTAAACACTTTTTTTCCTTCCATTCTAATGTAAGGATCTTTTCTGTTTTGTTTTGCCAGAATGAGAGACTCCAGGCATTGCTCGGAGATAATGAAAAGATGAATTTGTCAGATGTAGAACTTATACCTTTGCCTTTAGAACCGCAAGTAAAAATTAGAGGAATTATTCCAGAGACAGCTACGTTATTTAAGGTAATTTTGGTGGACCTTGAATATGTAAAATTGTATCCTAGTTTTTTAAGACCAGAATGCAGACACCATCTTAGAGAATGATTGCTTTTTCATAATTCTCTCTCTTTTTTTAATTTCTTTGTTCACTTGAAAGGGGGTTAAGAGCCCAAACAGTGAGCTTACCCACATGGCTGCAATGCCGTAGACAGAACCAGGCCAAACCAGGAGCCAGGAGCTTCAGCCGATAGGAGCCCAGTTACTTGGAACACCTCATCACCTTGGTCTCCTTTTGTTTCCACTGCATTTATTTACTGAAATAGTTTTATGCATCTGAGTTTAGAAATATTTAATTCTTTCAGTAAATTGTTAATGACAAGCTCTGTGAAAACCAATTTTTAAAAGATAAATTGTGAAACTGAAACATAAGTTTCATAATAAAGATGGTTAGATGAGAGTACTTATACGCTTTGTTTTCCCCCCAAAATACCTGGCTGTGGTATCTTTTCCTTTGATTGCATTTGATGTAATTTCCTTTCAAAGATCAAAAGCAATAGGGTCTCTTCCTCTTCCTCCTTCCCCCACAGAGAATCGCCTACTGATCTCAATATGACAATTGATGCATGAATCTGTATGAGTCTCCCCTTATTTCCTTTTTTTTGAGGGAGGGTAGAAATTTGGGTGGGGTGCAAAATGGAGCCATTAAGATTCATTTATTTATTTGAGAGAGGTAGAAACAGACAAAGAGATCTTTTCATCTGCTGATCCAAATGGTTGCAACAACCAGAGCTGAGCTAATATGGAGCCATGAGCTTCTTCCTGGTCTCCCATGAGGGTGCAGGGGCTCCAAGACTTGGTCCATTTTCCTCAGCTGTTTCAGGCACGTTAGCTGGGAGCTAGACTGAAAATGGAACAGCTGGGTTAGAACCTGTGTCCATATGGGATGCCACATTTTAGGCAATGGCTTTCCATGCTATTCCAAAGCGTGGCTCATGGCTTTGGCCAGGCCGTATCCCTGCTGTTGCCACCATTTTGGGAGTGAATGAACAGATGAAAGTTCTCTCTCTCTGCTCTTCCTTTTTTTTTGTGACTCTCCATTTCATATAAGCAAATGCTTAAAAAAAAAAAAATCTAATGTAGAGGGTTTCATTTAATTAAGGGAAGAGTGTAGGTAAGAGTGAGTTATTCCAGAATTAAAAAAATTAAAATATGTGTATCTTCCTTCATCCTATAAATATTTTGATTCTTGGACCCACAAGCTTCCTGAAATAATTGCATTAGAGGCAGGTTTCTTCATGTTTTACCTGGTATGTTTTTATGTTTCGTAGTATCACCTTATTAACTCCAGTATATTTCTCATTTAACAATGGTGCTAAGTTGAAAATGTCTGCTGTGCATCAGGTGTGATATAAGACCTTTGATACATCCGGATTGGGATTGCTTTGACAGCTCTGCAAAGGACATTCTATCCTTACTTTACAGATGAGGAAACGGTTAGAAGAATATAAACAGTGTCAGAATACTAGTTTTTGGTTTAGCTTGGATTCATATAAGTGACTGTTTCCAGAACTTATGCTTTTACCACCATATAACCGTGAAAGAAACTGCTAGTTCATTGTTCTCTACAAAATATCACCCACCAACTGACACGTTAGTCCTTTAGTATTTTAATTTATGATCTGCAGCATTTCCTTCTCTGTGTAGTAAATCTTCAATGCATTAATTTGCATACAAATTTGAAAATCATATTTTTGTCTTCCAGAGTGCCCTGATGCCTGCACAATTGTTCTTTAAGACAGAGGACGGAGGCAAATACCCAGTTATATTTAAGCATGGAGATGACTTACGCCAAGATCAGCTTATTCTTCAGATCATCTCACTTATGGACAAGGTAAAGATAACTTTATGTTGGATGCATCAAATGTAAGCTTTTCATGACAAGTGCCGTTTGCAGAGAAGGTGGCACTTGCCACAATCTTCACTTAATCTTGAGCAAACAGTTTTCCAATACTTTACTTTGACTCTTGTGATGGATATGGCATTGTACATTGTTGACCTACTTTTTGTTAACCTGCTTCTGGGAATTTATGCAAATCAGATGAAAAGGCATATTTGAGGCAATTTGGTTTACATATGACTGGGTAAAGAATACTACTCAGGCATAAAAAAGAATTTAAAAAAAATCAATCTTGTCTTTCATAGCTAAATGGATTCAATTCGTGAAATAAGCCAGTCTCCAAAGGAAAATATCTTTTTCCTAATCTGTTAAACTAACCCAGAGAGTGTGAAGACATGCGTTGTGTAGGGCTGAGAGTGGCTCTCTGCGCAGCCTTGGCTGATGGTCCCGAGAACTGGGAGGCCTTTGGACTTCTTACTCTGCAGCGATGTTTTCCCCTGTTCTTTTCTACCTGCTTTTTATTGGTACAATTACATAATAGACTATTAAACATGACAAAAACACTTATATGAAATTTAAAAATTAGTTGTTTTGAAAATCAAGTTCTCTGTCAAATTTAGCAATTCTATTAATTTGTTAGATCTTTATTGTTCTATTCCCATACCTGCCATTGGCTTTAAATGAAACTTTTTTGCTCTCATTTTCTTTCATTTTTTTTTTCTTTCTCCTCGGGGATTTCTAATATGGTCTGTATGTACAAAGGTCGGCATAAATCAAAGGAAAAAAAACTTCATTTTTTTATTGGAAATTTCTGTAAGAGATTTAGAACAGATAAAAAAAAACTTGTTATGCCATAATGTAAACACTTAGTTTACTTTTAACAGAGCCAAGTAATTTAATTGAATTTAATCTGGGTTTGCTTCCTGCTTTGTATTACATACCTGCTGTATTTGGCCATAAAAGGTTTTCTTGATGATCTTTCTATATGCCTAATGCATCGTATCTTTTCATCAAAAGCTGTTACGGAAAGAAAATTTGGATTTGAAATTGACACCATATAAGGTACTAGCCACTAGCACAAAGCATGGTAAGTTGTGTTGTTTTGTTTTGTTTTGCTTTTAATCTTTTTTCCCCACATTAATATTGTCCTTTCTTTCTGTATCCGGGGTCAGGGGAGAGATAAAGGGAAAAGCCTCACCCAGCCCCCCACCCCTCCCAGAGCCCGACGTGGGACATGCTCCGAGGGTCCTGCTCATGCAGTTTTGATAGTTCATGTTTTGTTTTGTTTTAATCAGGATTTTTTTTTTGTTTCATTCCATTGAGTGTACTTTTTCTTCTTAACCTAGACTTTTTGAAAATTTCTGTAGAGTGCTAAAGGCCAGTTAGGTTAACTGACTTCTCCCTGCCTCATTTCTTTGCTTTATCTCCCTTCCTTCTTCCTTCTCTTTCTTCTGTTTGGCCACCATTCCTTCCTCCCTTCCTCCTCTTTCTGATGTCGTAAAACAATATAGTTGGAATGAAAATGAACACTTCCATGATGTATTTTTAAATACTAGAAGTGGTTGTGGTTCATGTACTGTGGCGCCTGAAGGTTTTCTGCTGGGCTTTGCTGATAATTCACCAAATGATGATGTCAGCTGATTTTTTTTTTTTAAGTTTTAGAGATTTTCAAAAACTTCCTGGAAAGTATATATTATGAAAAACTATACATAACATTATGCTAGAGGAAGCATAATTACTTAAAGGTTCTTTCTCTTGTAAACGTTTTGAAGTACTTCTCAGTGTGTCCATGTACATATGATATATGTCAAGCCTCTAAATCTGTTTCTGCTTGACTAACTTCTATAAGTTGAAGATTCCCTAGGAATGTTTGCATGCAGCTTAGTAAAAACTTCACAATCCTGTTACTCTTACTTTTTTTAAAAAAAGATTTATTTATTTATTGGAAAGTCAGATATACAGAGGGGAGGCGAGACAGAGAGGAAGATCATCTGTCTGATGATTCACTCCCCAAGTGACCACAATGGCCGGTACACCAATCCAAAGCCAGGATCCAGGAACTTCTTCTGGGTGTCCCACACGGGTGCAGGGTCCCAAAGCTTTGGGCCTTCCTTGACTGCTTTCCTGGGCCACAAGCAAGGAGCTGGATGGGAAGCAGGGCTGCTGGGATTAGAACTGGTGTCCATATGGGTTCCCGGTGCATTCAAGGCAAGGACTTTAGCTACTAATCCACGCTGCCGGGCCCAATCCTTTTAGTCTTAAATCTTCATATCTGTAGTTACTTTGGTGAAACAAACAACTATTTCATGCTTTAATTACTTTTTAAATTTTCCTCTCAAAAAAACAAAAAAAAAAACACACACGCACAAAACAAAAAAACAAAAAAAGCAAAGCTATGCTAGAGTAAACATAGTTTCCATAGACATTTTAGAAGTTGCTCCTAAGTGAAGTGTGTCCATTCGTCACTCACTGTGCTCACTGCTTTGCATACGTTTCTGTGTTAGGCTTCATGCAGTTTATCCAGTCAGTTCCTGTTGCTGAAGTTCTTGATACAGAAGGCAGTATTCAGGTATGGCTTTAATTTCAATGACTTTTTAAGTAACTCTAGAATATTTTCATTTAGCGAATTCAGCCTTTGTAAGGCATTTACTGAGATACAAATCAAAGCCTCCCTATGTCCTCATTCATCTAACTGTTTTCTTGTGTCGGTAGTGGATACTGTGGCCAGGTTGTGCATGTTAGAGCGTGTAGGGAGTCCCTTTCCCAGGATATGCCATAGCGGTGCGGAGCTGCTCTGTTTCTGAGCACAGTGCTGCAGGGAGAGTCTCCCTGTGCTTTAGCGCTGTATTCCTGTCCCCTCACTGCCCCGCCGCAGGAAGGATCATGCGCAATGAGCTTCCTCAGAGGAGAGGTAAGCTACGGGGCCAATATGGTCATCAATTTTGATTTTCCATGCCCATTCTTTTGCGTATCACTTCAGTGTAACTGACCTTATGTTTGATGCAATTAAATATAGCATCTGTGAGTCCTTCCAACAGATGAAACTTTTGGGTGGCCTTCGTTTCTTTTCAAGCTAGTTTTTACAGCTGTGATATTTAGAGGTTTTTCTGAAGATGGCCTGAAATGCGTGTAAAACCCTTACCTAGGTTCTGGTTGAAGCCGTTACTTCATAATATCATTTCTATTGTTCTGTAGTTATAATTTTTTTTAAAAGAAGACAACGATACTAATCATTCTTTGTCCCCTGTCTACCCTGAGAGTCAGCTGAGTCACGGGGTATTGTTGGATAATTCAAGTTGCTTCCCTCTCATGTTTCTTGTTGCTGTACGTCATTACCTAATCGTGGTATTGTTAACCTTCTAACTCTTGCTGCTCATTGTGATTCAAATTTCCATTTAACTATTAATCTATAAGGTCAAACATGTAAGAATATATGGATAGGCTGTTTGTTTCTTCTGAAGTGATTGTATCTTTTGCCCATGTTCGCATTGGTTGCTTGTATTTTTCTTATTGACTTGTAGGAGCTCTTTATTTAGAGTCTAAGTTATTCTATTTCGAACATACAAGTTGCTCAAAAATTTGGAAGTTCAGTAGTGCATGACTTTACACTTTGCAACAACATACTGTGTTTTCCTCTGACTTTTAAATGGGAAGGAGTGGATCGAGTTGGTAATCTGGACAACACTACATGTTATATGTACTGTTTTCCTCAGTGTTTCCATGCTCTTCGTCCAATGTGCTAGATTTGTTTTACTCTTAGACGCTTTAAACTAGACACTTCCAAAGCATATAATTTGTTTGAATTGTGTTGTATTAAATTGTATTATATTAGTTATGTAATATATTTTCAGAACTTTTTTAGAAAACATGCCCCGAGTGAGAATGGGCCGAATGGGATAAGTGCTGAGGTCATGGACACTTACGTTAAGAGCTGTGGTGAGTTTTCCGGCTTCCTGCCAGGGATCTGTTTGAACGGGAAGGCAGGCCATCCTTGTGCTGCTACATGTGTCTACGTTTGTAAGGTGGTAAGGTTTAAATCCTCCATTAGAAAAAAAAAAAGAGTAAAATATGTTGTTGACGAAGTCATTAATTCTTTGAGGTCATGTGGTAACATGGTATTCATCTTCACCTTGTAATCACTTAATTATTTTGTGATTGCAAGCTACCTAGATTAAAGATTTAACAATACGTATCTGCTTGATCTATATTATTTCGTACCCGTTTTATAAATGGTTTATTTATGTTACATCATTTTTATGCGTGTGATTACACACTCAAGCCATGGTGCGGGGAGCAAAATAGGACTTTGTAGAAATTTAACACTTATTTAAACATTTAAGCTTGCATGCTGATTCGTGGTTTAGGAGGTGCTTTCGTAGGAGGAGTTCTTTCCTTTGCACAGCAGTCTTTGTTCTTCAACAGCCCTGTGAAAAAACAGCTGTGGTATCAGACTTAAAGGCTACACTGCAGTACTCCTGGTTCTCGCTTGCTTTCTGTTTCTTATGCGTCGTCTTGCCTGCTTCCCCACCTCTCTTCCTCCACTTCAGTTACACAGAGAGGAGGAGAGGCACAGAGGAAAGGTCTTCCTTCCGTTGATTGACTTCCCCACTGAGCACAATGGCTGGAGCTGAGCCAATCCAAAACCAGGAGCCAGGAGCTTTTTCTGGGTCTCCCACATGAGTGCAGGGTCCCAATGCTTTGGACCATCCTCAATTGCTTTCCCAGGCCACAAGCAGGGAGCTGGATGGGAAGCAGGGCCGCCGGGATTAGAACTTGGCACCCATATGGGATCCCAGCGCATGCAGGACGAGGACTTTAACCGCTATGCTATCGCATCGGACCTGTGCAAGATATTTTCTAATGACCTGGGCTCGGAAGCTGCCCATTTATTCTGTCACTTTCTGTTGATCACGGAATTCATAGAGCAGGCATGGATTTGAGGGCACAGGAAAAAAATGTGTGACTGCTTTAACTCAGCACACCTAATTCTCAAGCATTACAAGTAATTATATGAGTTATTTTTCATGCCCTAAAATTGCTTTTACATATCTTTCTGTGTACGCCTTGTACATATTCACTGCTAATTTAGAGAAATTGTCAAAATTGTACATAATAGATTCATACTTAATATCACAGCATAGTCTGTTTTTAAAAATGGCCTATTTTTCCACAAAAGCTCATGAAAATGTGACTGGCATTTTTCATGTAGAAAAAATGGCAGTTTAAATTATGATACCAATTGGACAGTTAATTTGAAATTAGGTCTCGCACCTCTCCTGCATCTCACGTATGCTCATCCATCGAGCACCGAGAGCATGGCCGGATTTCTCTGTGCTGAACGCCGCTTGTTCGATATGACTTGCTTTGTTACAGAGCAGTCGGCTGTGCGCTGGTGAGCTTGGAATGGTCCCAGTGACGCTAGAGGAAGATAGCTACTATTTGAAGTTTTCATTAGATTCAGCTGCATGTAATAAAAGTTTTCTGAACAAGAATTTGAGTGTTGTAGATCATCGTGAAAATCTGCGTGTGACTTTATCCACTGGGCTATCGTGCTGTGCCCTGAACAGACTTTTAAGTCTTGCATTTTCTCTTCTCATCTGTTGAAATAACATGAAAATGAAATGTAAATGTTCAAGTTCCTGACAGACTTTATTTCTGATATAAACGACTTTTAATACTGAACACAATCTTTTTGTTTCTCTTGCAAGTATTGATTCCGGTTAGTTTCAAATTACAGTTCTCCCAGAATTGTCCAGGAAGATTACACACATAAAAAGTTGGATGAGAAATCAAGAGTAACAGCAAGCCTCTGATTCTGCATCTCGCGCTGTGGGTGACATGGCTCGCATGTGGTTTTCATGCTAATTTTTCTTTTCTCATTGCAGCTGGATATTGTGTGATTACGTATATACTTGGAGTTGGAGACAGGCACTTGGATAACCTTTTGCTGACAAAGACAGGTACCAAGTAATCGCTACTATCACACATGCGTTTGATGATCTAATGAGTTTTAACTGTTGTCTAACACTCAATAGCAACAAGGAATGTAAACAGTCCTTCCACTGGTACTGTCCCTTGTGAATATCCACTTCAGTGCTAAGCCTCCAGATAATCATTAGCATTTTTATAGTTCAAACTCTCCTTTTTGGTGAAAAAGCTCATAACCTATGCAAGAAAGCCAGTCCTGAAACTCTACACCTCTGCTTAGAGTACTGGAACATTCTTTGTCTTATTAAACTCTGCTTATCTCCTGTATCTTTAATTATTTTTCTTTTACTCCTTGTAAGTGTTAAAGAATGATTATTCTCCTCCTTTCTGATAAGTCGTTAGTCTCATATCTTCTAATGTCATCATTTTTTTATCGCTTTTTACTTCTATCCATTTCATTAAATTTAAATTAAAATGCCAAAATCCTTGAAATCCTGCGGGAGGTATGGCCCCTTGTAAGCTTTGCCTCCATTCTCCCGTTCCCTCCCCAGGACCCTCCCCTGTATTGTCTTTCCACATCCATAAACATCATCTACCTAGTTGTCTTTGAACCTCTGGACAAGAACTGATTCTCAGTGCTGCTCTTAGCCTCATCTCAGCTGGTGAATCTAGTACTGAATCTTGTCTGTTGTGCATTTCCATTTAGCTGTCCATGGATCATTCTTGCTGTTGCACTGCTCCCCCCACACCCAGCCTTCTGGGTGTCACTGTACTTCTGCCTCAAGCAAGCACCTGTTCTTTCCTCTTCTGTTTTATTCGGTGTCTGGGAAGCTGATTATAGGCCTAATTTCGTATGGCTTCTCTTTCGGAAAGTCCTTCCTATATGTCTACCTTTTAACCATACATGGTTTGTTCTTTATCCCTGTATGTATGACCCTTTGTTTTCTTTGAAGCACTTTATTATTAGCTGAGGTCATAGAGTCCTTATTAAGTACCCGCCAGCTCCTGGGAACACCAAATGAGCAGGACAGAAGATCTATCCCTGTAAAATTAGGTGACTTTGTCCTCATCCCCCCATTCAGGATCCAGATTCCAGGAGAACTGGGCCTTGGCAATCCGGGTTACCAGCAAGCCTCCCCAGTTTGAACAGAACCTAGCTACCAGCATTAGGTACTCAGCATGGAGCGAATCAATGAGAAAGCCTCTCTGCTCTTCTGTGTAGGGTTTATTCTCTGGTCTATACTTCTGCCAAAAATAGGTTTTCCTGTTGCTCTTTATACTGGACCCTTAGATAAAAATATCCTTTTGTTTCTATTTATCCCGATTGTGATAGCCAGAATTTAGCAGAGCGCCGGAAATGTGGAGTAGTCATTTGTAAAGTGCACCTGCTTTGCTGCAGTGATGTTCCGTCCAGCCTTTGAGGCTCGTCTGTGAAGGACGTGGTGGGGGATGCAGTGTCTCTCCATGTCTTCATGGACACCAGCAGGTGGCAAGGCCTGCTGTCGGGAGGGTCTTGGCCAGTTGGCTAAGGACATTGATAAAATATCACGATGTGTTTGGAGAGAATTGTTTTTGGAAGAAGTTTTGGGCATATTTTTTGATTTATAAGAATCCATCTACCAAAGTGATTCCATTTGTTTCTGGATTATCTTTATATAACCTCAGTGGAATTCTAAAATATAGATTAGCATTACCCTTGTATTACATTAAACTCTTAGATTCTAACATCTCCTTTTAAATTGCTAAACAGTTTGTCATGTAATAGAGTGCTTTCCGCTGCACTTTGAGAGGTGCTGCTTGTCCGTGTATGTTGAAGGAGGAGTGCATTTTAGAAGTAAGATTTAGAAAGTGCAGTGAAATTAATGCACATTATTGGCCCAATGTCTGTTACTTATTTAATGCAAACTTACTTTTAAAAAAAAAACCTTCCTAACTGAAGCCCAAAGCATGTTTTTGTCAGTTTTCCACTAGAGGGTGCTCCAGACTCACCTTTAAGAACCAAAGCCCTTTCAAATAAATGAAAGTTAAATCTGTTAAAAACAACAACAAAAAAAGACAGAGGGAGAGGGGATGGGGTAGGCGTGATAACACTGAGGCATAGCAGTTCTGTTTTCTGCTCTTACTTGCTAGCCTAGACAGTTTTAGACTGTGATTCTGCTTCGAATGAAAGTAGTTTTCAGGAGTTACCAGTGTCCTGTCAGGGGAAGAGACCGGAAGAGCCAACACACAGTCTGTTTTACTGATGAATTTGGGGGGGTTGCCTCTCAGAACTGTTCCACTCCGTAAATCTGTGTGAGATAGAAAAGAATCCAGATAAGAACTCTACACATATATGTAAGAGAATAATTCTCTGTGTATAGAGAGTTTCAGAAATTTATTCAGGGGAATGCTAAAGTGAAAAAATGTGAATCTCATGCCTGTATTCCCCCCTCCCTGCCTGATTTTATTTCCCATCGCTGTACTTGGTTGCTTTGATTGACATTTCCAAGGCTTGTGCAGCAGATGGCGCTGTGAGCCCACGCTAAAAGTGGACCTAGCTAAGTCTGTCAGTGTATTGCCTGTGGTTGTCAATTACAGCGTTATTTCTTGAAGCAAATTTGAGGTGATTTGTCTTTCACTTATTATTGTCTTATAATTGCATTTTCTGGCCTAGAAGTTAACGAAATTTAAATTATGATGAAGAATTGAAAAAAGGATTTATAGGCATTTAACTGAAACGTAGTTTGAATTTATTCTAAATTTTTGTTTTTGAAAGCTTTGAAGAATGTTATGGGGAAAAAAAGAGCCTGGGGAACAGAAACATTTGGTTTCTTATGGTTTACAGACTTTATAATAGAATTAATATTAATTTTTACATGTAAATAACTGAAGAATATTCACAAGTGAAAACTACAAGCTGGGTATCTTTAGTACATGGAAAATTTAGGACAGAAGAGGTGGGTTTTGTGGTTTTTTTTTTCTTTTGTCTGTCTTGGCAAACTGAAGGTGACATGTTTTGAACCATTTTTCAAAGAAATTAATTCTTACAGTTATCCTAATTGCATCTTTTGGATGCTTTTTCCCCCCCAGGGATATATTAATGTTTAGTTTTATGAACTAGACATTCATGTTTATTTAAGTCCTGAGAAACACTCTCGCAGAGCAGCTGACGGAGACTTCTCTAGGGGCAACATCAGGGGACGTCCGGAAGGTTCCAGTGCACGTGTGGATGGTTCCCTGTCTTCCTGAATGTGCATGCTGTCTCCAGGGGAAGAGCAGCAGGTGTAATCCAGTAGAGTTTGCTTGGTGCTGTAAACACACAGTAGGGCTAGAAGCGGTTATTTGTTGGATTGATTACCATGAGCTGAGAATGTTTTTCATCTTTATTAAGTTGTTTTGACTCATAGTTTTACTGATAATAAAAACAAATGGTATCGTTCCTTTTCTCAGCATAAAATCTGAATTCCTTTAAATCATTACCGTTTTAAATTCTCCATTGAGTGACCCTTATTTTAATGCTCTGTGAGGGATTATAAAAGAGAAACAGCCAATTTAGTTACGGGTTTAATACTGTCCTTCTGAATTTCTTTGGGTAAATCTTGGCATTCAAAATAATAATATGTTTGATTTGTGCAAAGGAAAATGTAATTATTAGTGAAAATACCATTGGCTGGGCCCAAAGAGGGCGGCGTCCGCTAGGCTGCGGCATCTTCCTTACCAGCTGGCCATGATGTGTTTTAGAATATGATTGACTGGAAGCATTTTTAGAAATAGCAAGAAGGCTGCTACTCAATTTTAAGAAGGAATTTCTGGAAATCCTCAAGGAATATGTGTGTTGAAAAAGAATTTGTGGCATCATTTAAATCTGCATTTTGTCCTGAAGACTGGGATGAGTTCAGCCGTTCTGTGGGAGTGCTCTGCAGACAGGTCTCAGGCAGTGCGCCTCTTGAAGGCTTTGCTGGTTTCATAGGGTCTCTTCTCAGTTGTCATTGCTTTGTGTTGTTTTGTTTTAACAGAATTATATATATAATAGACACACAATGCTCTCTATGCATAATGCTCTCTGTATAGTGCTCAGAAGAGATATAATATAGAACTTGCTTACTGTTCAAATGATGGTGCTTTACAGCTGTTTATATTTAAGTTATTTAGCTTTAATTCAGCCATCATCCTTTTTAATTCAACAAGTATAAATATCTTGGGCTCCAGTTTCATAAGTAAGTTCACGTCACTCATGCAAATAACAGGAGAATTTAATCATGTCATTCCCATGTATTTTAAGTTAGGGACAAAAGAAAGTAAAGTCAGTAATTGGTTTGTTTTCTGTGTATTTCATCTCCTGACTGCTTAAGAGATCTGAGTAAACCTCACACCCTGAACTTCTTAATTAAACATTTTTTTAATTCCATGAAATGAGTATTTTAAACCATTTATGATGCTGTGTCATTTACAGTTATTAACTTTAAAAAATATTCCCTTGTTGTGTGGGAGGATGAATTTTCTTAAAACATTAATAGCCTCTTTTCAGACGACATGGCTCTTTGAACCTGCGAAGCATAATAATGGTCTCATTGTTCAATACTGAATCTTTAATGGCTTATAATTAAGCAGTAATCTTGTTCTTTGAGAATTTCCTTACAAGAAGGATAGAAATATATCCATTTACAAGCAGTGATGCATAGCGCACATTGGAATTCCAGTAAGACCTTCAATGAGAGGGAGAAAATGAGAACTAAGTTCTCTTTTAAATGCGTGGGGCACATTAAATAACCATGCGTGACGGCAGCTTTGTTTCAAAACTGATCATTCATCTGCTAAAGTGCAGGGCACAGTTAAGTACTGTACTGGTTTTAAAAAATAGTACTTAGCTTAGTTCAAAAGAGGTAACAGATTTAGTTGAAGGCCATGAAATCCTTACTAGAATTTGATTATGGCTTTTCATCAACTCAGTCAATTAAAAGATTGCATACCCTTTGCCTGTAACAAATTTACAAGATGTTTTCCAATAAGTACTGGAATTATCTAATTCCTGCTTCCAAAGCTGCTGCTTTCTTTTCTCCCTCCTGACCTCCCTTTCTTTTCTTCTTCCTTCCATTTATCCCTCTTTCTTTTTAAGAGAAAAAGGAGGGAGACAGAGATGCATCTTCCGTTTTCTCATCTGCTGGTTTACATAGAAATGCTCTCACTTGAGTCTGGTCCAAGCTAAGCCAGGAACTGGAACTGCATGGTCTCCCACAGGAGTAACAGGTGCTCAAGTGCCTAGGTCTTCTACACCTTTCCGAGCCACAGCAGCATTGAGCCAGGAACTGAAATGGGCCACCAGGATCCCAAGCTGTATCTTAACCTGCCTACAGTCCAATACTGGTCCCTTCCCTGGGAGCCTGATGAGGGGTATGGGAAAAAATGCATTTCATTATTCTAAGAATAATGCAGCAAATTTTGGGATCCTGAAATGAAATCCCTATTAAAGATGTGTATTATGATCGTAAATATATAAAACATAAAACTCCATTCTAATCTCTCTGTGAATACAATTCTAAATATATATATATGTAGATGAAATGTGTATTTTTATTTGAAAAGCAGATTTTCAGTGAGAGAAAAGCCAGAGAGAGGGGGAAGGGAGAAAGATTTTAGGAATACTATGGAGAATTCCATAAAGTCTTCCATCATATTCTTGCATATTTGTGCCGTTGATTCAATCACTGCTATCCTATTTGTTGATGGGAACCTGCAGCTGTATGTGTTCAGTCCCGGGCAGGCATGAGTACTGCCTTCGGCTTCTTGGTCTGTAGTGCTGACGTGACATAGATCAGCTGAGGATGCTTCAAATGAAGCCATTGGTAATTGGAAATGTGTGTGAGCTTTGGTGAGTATTAGTATGCGGTGGTCAATAAAAGGAAAGCTTCATCTGAGAGAGATTTACAATAAATGGTTTGCTCTATGAATTGGATTTGGCTTAAACCGTGGCATTTAGAATTTTGCACCAGAATTCTAATTTTGACTCATATCTTAAAACATTACCTGGACTTTGATTGCTTCAAGTCTGGACACATAAAAACAGAAATTATGTTTAATGTTACCGTAGGATGATGATTTTTTGGTGGATCAGGGAGAGACTTACTTAAAGGCAGAGCCGTAAGGGGAGGGAGAGACAGAGCTCTTCCCTCTGCTGGTTCACTCCCCACATCATGCAGTGGTCAGAGCTGGACTTGGCAGGAACCAGGAGCTTCCCTGTATCTCCCATGTGGATTCAGGGGCTCAAGAATTTGGGCCATTTTTTGCTGTTTTCCCAAGTACATTAACATTGAGCCAGGTCAAAGTGAAGCAGCCAGTACTAAGTGGCACTTACATAGAATGCCATTGCTGCAGGCAGTGGCTTTACTGCCTATGCCACCACATCAACCCTGTGGAGCTTGGTTTCATCTCACTGAATGTGAGTAAAATGAACTAAAATGTGCTCTGAAGTTGTTCCCTATCCTGGAATTAGAAAATCAAATCATATAATAGGCTTCATCATGAGCTGATTACTTTGCAAAAGTACTGCTGCTTGTTCTTTAAATGAACTCTTGAAACAGATGAGTTTCTTTTCAATATCCAGGTAAACTCTTCCACATAGACTTTGGATATATTTTGGGTCGAGATCCGAAGCCTCTTCCTCCTCCAATGAAGCTGAATAAGGAAATGGTGGAAGGAATGGGGGGCACGCAGAGTGAACAGTACCAGGAGTTCCGTAAACAGTGTTACACGGCTTTTCTCCACCTCCGGAGGTAAGTTGATTTGCTTGGCATTTCTTTCCTAGAACAAGAAGTGGAGTTTTCAGATATGTCTACTTGTTTTCAGTAAAGTACAGGTTGTATTATTTCCTAATAATCATCTATACCTGTTTTGATCAGCAGTGTGATATTAAAGGAAAACAGCATACAATATGTTGCTCTGCTGTTGAACATCTCATTGCTGCATCTTATCAACTGTGAAGTTGGTGTTATACAAGACAGGCAAATAGGAACGCTTGCCATCATTTAAATAAAGGATGCTGTGTGTATTTTGACAGTGTTGGGATGGAGACAGGGTGAGGAGACCTCGTCATTCAGATCTTCCTGAAGGCTGTCTTGAAGGATTGTAATCTTACCTGGGTCTACTACCTTGTGGCAGAAAGAAGGGTTTCACCAATTGAGAATGGATTTTTGGAATGTTTCAAGATGTTTTTGTTTTTTCGGAACCCAACGAGAGATGCAGAGTGAGACAGCTAGAGGAAGGGAAACAGAGAGGGAGAGATCTTTCCCTATGCCGTCTCACTCCTCAGATGGCCAAAGCAGCCAGGCCACAGCCAGTAGCCAGGAGCTTCATCCATGTTTTCCAAACACTTGTTGCTTCTTGCAGGCTATCAGCAGGAATCTGGGTCTGAAGGAGAACCAGGGCACAGGCAGCAGTGTTACTCGCTATGCCACAGTGCCAACCCCCATGCTTGTTGAACTTAAAATATGACAGATGATTAGCCAAAAATGGCAGGATCATTTAACTCTAATAGTGTTCTCAACCTAACTATGCAAATTGAATGCTGTTAGTCAAGCAGATAATCCCCACTCTGGGTTCTAAACCTGCATGCGTGCTCTTCCAGGAGAAAACCTAGCCGGTAGCCAGGGAGCTTCTTATGCATCCATGCTCTGTCATCCTCCTTGTTGTTAATTAACATACGGTGGCTTTTACTTGTTGTTGCCTCACTTACACATACATTATTTAAAACAGTGTATTTTTGTTGACTGAAAACTGTAATTTGTGTGAAAATCCTCTGGATTTCTGCTTTAGTTCTGCAGTGAGGCTATGTTCCTGGGTTATGTTGGTGTTCTAGTCCCAGGAAACTGGCTCAGATCAGAGGATCTCAACTTGGAACTGCTCTCTCCTCCTTTGGGTCACACTGAGTATTAGTGTCTGGACACATTTCTGGATTGTTGCAGGCCACGGCGGGCTAGGCCAGGGTATTGGTAAAGTCCTCCTTCCCTGTTTCTCTGCCCTGCACTACAATCCATGCTTCCCCATTTGCTTTGTCTCCTTTTCTTCCCACAGTTTTCCCCTGAAAGGTTTTCCATTACTGTTCTGTAATAAAACAAATTCTGTCAAGGTCAACAGTTACGAGTTTTTGGCAGCTTTTAACAGTTTTAGTTGTTGTGCACTGATAGGAAGTGAACGAACCTGAGATGCCTGTCTGCCTCTTCTCTATCCCTCTGCTTTTCTATTTTTTTTAAAGATTTATTTTTATTATTTTATTTTTATTGGAAAGGCGGATATACAGAGAGGAGAGACAGAGAGGAAGATCTTCCGTCCGATGATTCACTCCCCAAGTGAGCGCAACAGGTCGATGCTGTGCCGGTCCGAAGCCAGGAGCCTCTTCCGGGTCTCCCACGCGGGTGCAGGGTCCCAAAGCTTCGGGCCGTCCTTGACTGCTTTCCCGGGCCACAGGCTGGGAGCTGGAAAGGAAGTGGGGCTGCCGGGATCAGAACCGGCGCCCACATGGGATCCCGGGCTTGCAAGGCGAGGACCTTAACCACTTGCGCCAAGGCGCTGGGCCCCCTCTGCTTTTCTAAATAAATCAATGATGGATACATTTTACAAACAAAGACTGTGTAACAGAATGTGTCTGTCATGCCACGCTATAAGTGCAGCTGATCAGTTGGTTTAAAATAAAATCATGCATCTTTGTCAGGATTTCTTCTCTCTCTCTGACCCCTCAATCTCTGACCTGTGTGTCTGCACCCCTCTTGCTTTTTATCAGATAACCACAATAAAAGTTAACTTTGCTCCTCGATTTGGTGTGAGTCCCACCATCCTCCAGAATGTAGACTTCCTGATTGCAACAGGAGTCTTGTGGGTTCAACACACCCCTGTATCTCTGGTGTCCTGGAATCCTTCAGTAGATATTTGTTGGTGGAATGAAGAAAATTATTGAGTGAACAAAAATGGAATAACATCTGAGTTATGTTTTTATCTGTTTTCACAGATTTATATACTAAGTAACAGAATTTAGTTAAAGCTATTTAGCTAAAGTTAAGAACATTTTAAAAATATAAGTGATAAAGATAGGCAATTTGAAACTCTCGAAGAGACCGTTTGTGTATGGGTTCTATTATTACAGTTTAGTTTTAGGTAGTTCTTAAGTAACAGCCTGTGCAGTTTAATCGCAAATTGGTACATGACAGGTCTAAGGATTCTGTGTCATTTCATTGCCAATCGCCCTGCCTTAAGGAAATGCAGGACACTTGTTGACATTTTTTCTAAGACTAAATGTGAGTCTTCATTTCTAAAAACCAGAGCTTTCTGAATGTGCATCCACACCCAAAGGTAAAAATCAGTAGGACAAAATATGTTCTATTCAGAGCAAGACTGCCCAAGGCCAAATGTTCTGGAGGCACGAAGTGCCCAGTAGGGATGTATTTACTACTCTGTATTGACTTTCTATGAAATGTTTCATAGGAAGACTTTATTTCGTGATAGAGGCCAGTGTTCTTCAAGCATAGCATTAATTTGGTACCTTACCCACTTTACTGTACAGACTGTACTAGACTCACTGTGAGCTGATGATTATTCTTCAAGTGTGTAACACAGGATAGGATGTAAAATGATCAGTGAAGACACACAGCGGTATGACGGTTTTCAAGGTTTGCTTTACATTGGGCCACTGAAGTAGAGTCACACATTATTGTCCATTGAATATTTGTGATTATTACAAAAATCCAGATACCATCACTATCAGAAATATTTTGATTTGAAAAAGAAATGTTCTAACTTGTTGCCTTTTCTTTCTTGCTTTTAGGTACTCAAATTTGATTTTGAATTTGTTCTCTTTGATGGTTGATGCAAACATTCCGGATATCGCTCTTGAGCCAGACAAAACTGTGAAAAAGGTAATGTTTACAAATCTTTGTATATCACAGCCGAATGAGTTAGCCACTCTCTTTTCCTTAGTATAAATTAGGAAGTAGCCCCTTTATATGATTATTTATTTGTTTTTACCAGTTCCAGTTTATACAATACCTCGCTACAGTTCTGATCCCTGCCCTATTTGTGACTATGTCACTTTGAAAAGGACAGATCATTGTGTCTGGAGAGACAAGTTTATTTACCTCAGTCCCTACCCTCTGTCCAGAAAAGTTTAGGTCTTGTAATATTCTTAATTGCATACCTGGTACTTGACACTCTGGACAAAGGTATGCTATGGATGTCATTCAGCAAGATTTTCCTTTGAGTTCTAGCTGGATAGGGAGGGCAGTCAGCAGAAATGAAGACTTTTATCTAAATGAATTCCTGGTTCTCCTAATTATTTGGAACAGGGCACAGGTGAAGAAATATCTAACATACATTAGCGAAAGCAACAAAAAATTATCTTAAAACTAAGTATAATTATCAGTATTGAATCTGAAGAAAAGTTTATATTAGCTTTTTAGCTTATAAATTGTTTTTTAAAAACAGGAAATCAATGTTCATTACCCATTTTCTTATTTTAATTAAACTATTTAAAAATCAGTGAGACAGATGCCCAGAGAGCACTCCCGTCGCTAGTTCACCCCCTGGAAAGCCACAGTGGCCCCAGACCAGGCCCAGAGTAGGAGCCAGGAATGAAGAAGGCTGCCCAGTTTCCCATGTGCGTGGCAGGAACTCGGGCACTTCAGTGTCAGCATACGACCCATACCTTTACCAATCAGTATGCTTTCTCTTGTTAAGTTAATTTTGCTCTTGGAATCTCAGCCACGAACCTCGTGATAGGCAACAAATAGTTGTTCTCTACAGGCTCAAATGTTTAAAGGATATAATCATTCGTCACATTATGGTTTTGGGGTGACTTTTGCTGTTCGACTTGACTAATAAAGATGTTTTAGTGTTATAGTGTTAGGTTAGTGTTCTGCTAATTTCTTGGTGCTGTAAAGCTTGTTCAAAAAGTTTAAATGTTTTAATTTTTTAAAACTGATTTAAGGAACAGATCTCTGTAACCTAAAAAAAAGTTAAGAAATAGAGTTTCAATGTTAGTACAGTCAGCCCTCTGAATCTGTGGGTTGTGTATCCACTGCCGCTTAAACTGTAAGAGAATGCCGATATTCATTTGACTGCGTCACTCAGGTGCTCTTTAATCAATGAAGATACTGTGCGTGTTAAAATTTGAATTATACTCAGCCACAGTGATGGTGATCATGCATATAGTCCATAAAATTTTTTATTGTTTATTTTGCTGAACAGTAATTTTTTTAACTATCTGCCTGTGTGTCAAGCACTGTTACAGTGTATTATAAACACAAAATTCCTGCCCTCATGCAGCTTCCCTTGTAATAAAGGAATAGACTAGAAATAAGGTAAAGTGGCTAAGGGCTGGCATGGTGGTGTAGCACACTCATCCTCCGCCCTCTGGCATTGGCATCTTATGTGGGCAATTGCTTGAGTCCTGGCTGCTCCACTTCATTCCAACTCCCTGCTTGGGGCCCGAGAGAACAGAAAAGGATGGCTCAAGTTGTTGGGTCCCTTCACCCACATGAGAGACCTGGGAGAAGCTGCTGGCTCTTGGATTTAGAATTGCTCAGCTCTGATGCTTTTTTATGTGTTAAGTGAAACTGCTGTGTTCTTTGCCTAAATAGATTTTTTGGCTTAAGTTTAAAAACAAAAAATGTGTGTGTGTGTGTCTGTATTACAAGGAGCTGCATATACTACTCAAATGAACTCTAATATTAAATGACCTTGAATCCCTAAAGATTAATAATTATTCTAGCTATTTACACACAGTCACATATACAGAATTTTGAATGCAGATTTTAAAAAAAGAATAGTGAAGTCCTTGTTAGGCAGTTATTTTCAGAATTGCTTCCCGTTTAGTAATGGCTGAATAGTGACTCCGTTTTCTTCATTTTCCTTTTTAATTGCTCTATTTTAAGTTCTAGTTCCTGTTCACTCAAAGGACGTATTCTAATGAAATTTGGGTAATCAAAAGAACTCATCAAGAAAATAATATTTAGATTAATACATTTTATTTCACCCTGGTGAATCAGATTTATTCCTTTGCTGTAATTACTTTTTTTTACTAACTTATTAAGAAATGAATACAAGGAAAAATGTTTTTTCCTACTTCTAATATTTTGAGTTAGAAGATTGTAATAAGAGAACATCTGCTTTTCTTATTTGAATGAAATTTACCATGACAGAGATGCTTAACGGTATATTACTTTAAATGAAAGTCTTTTTTATGAATTAGTTTTGAGTCTTTCAAGACAAGGAGTAACAGTAAGGTGTAAATGAAATTACTTTCTCTTTATGAAAGAGCACAGTTTGATGAAGAAATTTGTTGTGGTGTTTTCTTTGAAAATAGTTCTGCATGCCTAGGCATGTGAGTTAAAGAAATGTTGTGGTAATTGGACTTTAAGGGCGTGTAAATATGTGCACACATGTAACTTAACAATGAAAACCATTGTTAATTCTAGTATGGCTCAGAAATTTAAGGCTGTATCTATGTAATAAATTGCTTCTTAGGAATAAAAGAAAGCCTTGGATATTGCAGGGTCGTGTTGCGGTTGTGCAAAATAAATAAAAGCAGAAGACCCTTGCAAGGAGCTCTAGGTCCTCATCTCTCCCAGAGTTTGATCTGACCATGGAGTATACTAACAGAATACAGCAGTCTTCTTGTATTCATGGAATTCCTAATAATGCCATCTGAAAGAGTTAGGTGGCATACTAAATTATTTCTAAGATCAGAAATCTTAAAATACCACTAAAGATTAGTCAAGGAATTTACTTAATAGCCAGAGCTCTTTTTAAGTGTTTCCTTTTAAGGATGATTGTATTTTACGACACCCTGTTAAATCTTAAAGGACAGATTAGAAGAATAGTGAGGTCTTCCAGAACATTACCTGAAAATGAGCATTATGGAAAAGCACATGGGTTAAATGTTTACATGTTTTAGGAGAAACATGAGATAGCAACTTCAGTTTTTTAAATGGGCCCTAAATAATGTTAATGAACTGTGTCACAAGAAAAAATTGATAAGAATCTCCATTTTGGCAGTACAGAAGTTATGGGTAGATTCTATTCATTGAGACATATATCAACTTTGTGAAGAAAGAGCTCAGTAAAATTTAGGAATATCTGCTCTCATAATCTAAAATATCACCAGAAATGAACATTGGTTACAGAAGATGCCTCTTGTGCGAAATGCCTTTGGTTTCTTTTCTAGCTGTGGGTTCAAAGGCTTGTTTTCAGTATTTGGACTACTTCATCCAGAAGTGAAGTGTCAGGTCATAATGAAAAAATGTTCTCTGTAGTGTGTGTATCTGGAAATGGAAGTGGGTATTCAGTGAATTGCTGTTATTTGCCATAAGACTACTTGAGTAGTAAGTGTTTATTGTTATACAGCTGCTTTAGATTTAGTTTATTTGAACAATATTCTTTTTGAGGTTGTAGATTTGGCCAATTGCATCAGAAATATTTACCCTTTTTGCTTTAGAGTTTTTTCCAGTGTATCTCATGAATCATTACATCATGATTTGATTATGGGTGAAAACTGCATCAAGAGGTAGTTGACAGTCTAACATTCTGAATGAATAAATAATTGCCTCCACAACACAATTTAAGAGGTTTTGCTGTCTATTAGTGTTGAACCAGAAAACTTAGACAGACTGTGTTTTAAGTAAATTAAAACATTGATTATTATGACATAGATAAAATATAAATTTCTTCCACATTGTGTCTCTCCCTTATCTTTGTGCAAAAAGATGTAAAAATAAACTTAGGTGTGAAATTCTGTTATTAAAGAAGATGCATTTGAAGCCATCTTTAATTAAGTCTTCAATGTTAAAAATGAAATAGTGCCTTTATAGTCAAAATATGTTTTTCATACTGCAGTAATTTATGCTTAACGACAAGACATCTAAGCATTAAGTGACAGTGTTAATGTGAGTTTGTTGGACTGCCTTTTGCCTGTAGCTAATACTGGAACTAGGGGAGAATTTCAGAAGTGACAGAGGAAAGCTTCTGGTGGCTTTGAATAGATCTTTAAATATAAAGGATCGTTTCTTACTGCATGTAAATTTCAATGTGTATAAATTAATTTTCCCTTTGTGATATATGAAAATAATGTAAATAGTTACAACTGATGCATCTTTAAGCTAGAAAGCAAGATGAAAGAATTTGTACATTAAATGGAACACTCCATGTTTAAAAATAATTTGGACTATTTAGCAACATAAAATTTAGAAGTGCTTTTTATTTTGCCTCATTTCAGTTTTAACTGCTTGAATCTGGTGTCTATACTTTAGTCCATCCTATGATTATTATCTGCTTAAGAACTCTTTTATGTTTGACATTTTTATCAACTGATGATTTAATTGGTTGCTGATCAACTTGTAGTTGATTTTGAGCTGTACGAGATCTGGCAGGGGGACAGAATAAAAAAACTACAACAGATACCTCCTACTTGAAATGCAATTCAAATGATTGTAGCTGCTAGTCACACGATATTTTGTACTGCTTCTTAAATATGTAAGTACAGACACGTGAAGTCAGGACATCTAAATGCTAAAGGAAATTTTGGAAGAATGTCTAGGGAAGCTGCCTGCCACTGGGATATTTAATGATTTGCAATTGTAAATATATGAAGGACAGTTTAGATAGCAGAGATGTGTTTAATCAGAGTAAGAAAAGGTACAGAAGAACTAGCATATTAAAAGTGTAAACTTAGGTGAGTAACTCTATAGAACAAAGCTAAAATGAAGGAACACACATTGTGGCTTGCTGGGTCTTTGATCATATGAGCAGCTACCTGGTTACATTAATTGGACTTAACCTATAACTAATTATTCATTGCTAACATTTTATTGTTGTCTAAGTAACTAAAGCGTTCTTTTTTTGAAAGTGATCCAATATTGTTACAGGTGGATCATTATAACTAACAGTGGAAAATACATTTACAAGACAGGAAAACGGCACTGTGAATATTGTGCTGAGCCCTTCAATCTTCTGATAAATATAGCCCCCATTACACTAAACAGCAGACTACTACCATTCCAAAGACAGACACTGATTCGGATCACAATTTTAAAATATGGTAAAATCAAAAATTACTGGGTAGCACTGAGGAGTACAAAACCAGGCAAAAACACAAAGAATTTGAAACATTGACAGTGGGAGATAGCACTTCCGTGTTTGTAACCTTTTGCTTAAAGTTGCTTACTTGATCATTTCAGTGTAAACACCCTGATGAGGTTTATATGTACCCTGTCTGTAGGAACAGCTGGCTTTTAGAAGCAGTCCTCTACAGGGTTCTAAGGAATTGCTACAAGAAAAGAGATATTTCATTAGAAAATCTAGCTGATTTTTGCCTATGATGGAACGAGCTGCTTTTCTTACATAGACATTGAAATTGGAGGATAATGGTAAAATCTCACCTTGCTATGTCCATGTAACAGTGAATAGCAGGGATAAGCTTAAAGGCACTTTTAAGATACAATTATGTTACAATTCACTTAGATCTAAATTCAACTGTGATTTTTTTTTTTTTTTACATTCAGAAGAAATAAACTTATCTTTCAGTTGAAAGAGTGGATTTTCTGCTTTTAAGCATGGATGACCTAATAGAATGAAAAATTTTAATTGCTTTGCTCTTTTTTTTCTGTTGAAGAAAAAGTTCATATTCAGCAAGAATAGAGTGAGATAAAGAGCATGCAAAGAAACCACAAAACTTACTCAGAGTAGTGGTATTCTAACTTTTCTAAGTTGTAACTCGTTTTGTTTTATTTTAACATATTGTAACTAATTTTATTTGACACAAAAATGATCATTATGAATATTGGATTCTGTCTGTCCTAAATGTGACTCACTGTTCATCCCTTGAGAGGTTAACGGATGTGGCCTTTGCAGGTTCAGGATAAGTTCCGCTTAGATCTGTCGGATGAAGAGGCGGTGCATTATATGCAGAGTCTGATCGACGAAAGCGTCCATGCGCTGTTTGCTGCGGTTGTAGAACAGATTCACAAGTTTGCCCAGGTATGCTTTTCTAGAGCCTTCTCCATGGATCGTCCCACGGTGGCCGAAGAGATGCTCTTTTCTCCTGCCCACTAATGTATTTTCTGTGTTCCTGTCAAATCGTTTTGACATCTCACTATACGGCTGAAGTGATTGCATTGCTGAACCCTAAAATATTGCTTTATTTTAAGAAGCAACTAAATTGCGGGATACCAATATAAACACTTTTGCCTTTTTGTCATCAGTAGTAATTTTCAATTATCTGCACCCTAATAGAGGCCTTAGCAAGTGTGACTTGCACACTACTCAGGTTTGGAAAAGAAGGGAAGTTCTGGGACAGAAATTTAGGAAATCAGCTAACAGCATACAGTTAAACCATCTATTTGTTGAAGTTCTCTGAGCAATCTCTTTAAATGTGCAAGGCTAGCACACAGGAGAGCTAAACTGCTACTTCCGCTTCGGCTTCTTCCTCCGGTGAGCTCATTCCTGACTCTCCACCTGCCCTGGAGGTATTCTGAGTCACCCAGGCAGGCGACCTCCCTGCCTGGTTTTCTCCTCGTTTAGTGTCCCACATGTCACCAACATCTGTCAGTTTCTCTGCCCAGTTCTTTAATCATCCCTGTCATTGTCCAACTGCAGATGTTCCAGTCACACTTTTCTTTATAGGTGCATGAGGGCCTTTACAGCTGTTCACTGTGCTGAACTTTGTTCTGAATATTCCTGTCTTTAGTCTCCCAAATAGTACATTTTCACAGAATCATATTTTACGTAACTTTTTCAAATAGAAGTTCGCACAGTGTTTCTCCATTACCGGACAGCAGAGTCCAATTCCAGAAGGTTGTGTTATAAGTTATTTCTAAAACTCTTCTCTAATTCTTTCTTCCTCTGAATAGTTTGTTCTGTTTCATTGGATTCAGTACTTCACTGTTACTCTCCCTTAAGCCAAGAATGTCAGTTTATAGCTTTGGTATGTTGAACTTAAATTTGCCCACTATTAAAAGGTGTTTGGATTGTCTGTCACCAAGCAATGAAGTGATTTGTACACTTAAAAATATCTGCTAAATAAAAGAATCCCTTCTCCTGAATGCTCGATTATATTCTTTATGACTTGAAAAAATGTTTTATTAAAACATTGGTTATATTTGGTTATATCTTTATTGTAAAGCTGTTCTAAGATATGCTTCCTGGGTGATTAATCCTAACTTATCACTTACCAAGAGTAAATTTGAAACAAATGAAATAGTAGGTAAATGATGTGTCAGTCAATTACGAAGCGTGGATTTGAGTGTACATGTAGAGTAGTACTGTATTTGAGACCTTTGGGGGAGTGTCATTAGCAAGAAACGAGAAGAGATGGAATAGCTGGAACACATACAAACCTGCTCCCATCTGACATGCTGACCTCAGGCGACAGCTTAACATGCCGTGCCACAACATCAGTTGCAAGATCTAAAATTTTTAACCGATGTATTTTGACATGTTTATAGTAAAAGGATTTATTGATTTCATTATTTGTGTTTCATTTTGCTCCATCCCCATCGCTACTCTATGCATTTCTTTCCTTTATGGTTTTTTTTTCTTATTCTGTACTTGCAGATTCTAGTTTTTCTCTTATTTTCCTGAGCAGTTAAATAAATAATGGAGGTAACACTCTACCCTTGAAATTAACATTGCTCCATCATATCTCATTTCAGTATAGCTAACTGCTACTTATAACCCCAAACTCACTAGCTTAAGAACAATGATTATGTATTATTCTTGTGACTGTGTAGTTACAGATTCCATCAGAACACAACTGCGCAGTTCTGTTTCCTGTGGCCATGGTCAGATTCAGTCATTCAGCCAGCTGCATTGGACAGACAGTTGGGCTTATCTGAACTGTCAGCAAGTCTTCATCCACGTATCTGGCCATTTCCTCTTCCACATGGCCTGTCTCTCATCTTCTGTGACCATTCAGTGCTCTAGCCTGAACAGCTGCTCTACAGCATGGATAAATGGCTTCCCTACAAGTATGTGAAGACCAAAGCAGGAGGGTTCTTGAAATTAAATAAGTAACATGGTCAACCCAGTTTTATGAGAAAAAAAAATATTCTGTTTCTTTACTGTAGAAGAGGGTTACATATGCAAGGAGCAGAGGCACTAAATGTGGCCTGCTTGAAGATTGAACTGCCACTCACATCATATGCTCTGACTTCCAGTTTGAAGTTCAAGTTTTTTTTTTTCAATGAACTAGTGGCATATTTTATTTTAGTGGTTTAATTTTTAAATACTATTGTTACCTTGCATAAGATGCCTGCTTTCGTAGCTGCATCTAATAGAGGACAGCTTTTTCTTAGTTTTCTATGTTTGAAACAGAGGAGTGAAATACTCTGATTAAATAAGGGGACCTGGGTTGCCAGCACACTGGGAGGCAGTTTTCGTAAGGAGATTGAGGTTGAGATAAAAATTAGCATCTATCTTTAGCATCAGTGTAATCTGTTAGAGATGCACAAAGACCAAATGCTTTCCAGAGTTGAGGCTAATATAAATTACTATCAAAGTTAATGAATGAAATCTGCCTGCCCTCTCGTCCCTGCTTATGGATGGTTAAATTATGAAACCTGTTGAAAAAAAATTAAGATGTATTTATTTATTTGAAAGGCAAAGTTAACAGGGAAGTGGTGAATGAGAGAGGAAGAGAGAGAGAGACATCTTCCATCTCATTTTTCACATGGCTGCAACAGCCAGGCCTGGACCAGGCCAAAGCCGGGAGCTGGGAGACCCATCAGGTCTTAGACATAGATGCCAGGAACTCAGGTTTTGGACCATCAGCTGCTGGAGGTGCAGTGGCTAGGACTTGAACCAGCACTCTGATATGAGATGATCGCTGAACTCTGCTGCAACACAACAGCTGCCCTTGTTGTAGAATTTCCTGGGAGTTATTGGCATGTAGCTTTTCTCTGGTTCAAGGAGAGACGGTGAATATGGATGACAAAGGGAATCTATGATGGAGTTACACATATATTTCAGCATGTTCTTTTTGTTTACATGACTTTGTTCTTCGAAAGAAGCATTAGTTTTTAGCCCTTATTTTATACTTCAGTAAAGTAATAGATAAGATATAAGACCTGGATAGTTTAATTACGACTTTGGCCTGTGTTGTTATAAACTGTTTTGAACTAGGATGGATTATTTCTAAGATGCTATAGAAAAATCAAGTATATAACAACATGAAAATCAGAATTCAAAGCAAATATTTGGATGATTCTAGCAACTTGAGAATTTTCTCTGAAATTCAAGACTGGTGAAAGGTGAAGTTTAACACAACATAAAAATTTTTTTCGATGAAATATTTTAGATGATATGATAGGCAGTTTCTGGCACAATGGCTTTTTTGCTGAACTTTATACTTCATATAGTACTTTCCCATTTATTTACTATCAAATAATCCTTATCATAGCCATATACTGTAGAATAATCCCCTTTTTTGATGGAAAGACTGAACCTATGAGAACTTGTGTCCTAGGCTATCAAGCAGATATTTTTTTTCAAGATTCCTGAATATTTTTTTCATCTTAAGAATTATGCTTGTAAATGGTCATGCTGCTTTTCTAGGTTTCGTTAAATATGTCATCAGTACCCATACTGTTGTGCTAATGAAATTCTAGGAAAATAATAGTTTAAGGTTGTTAAATGGGACTTGGTTAGATATTGAAGTATTTGTGAGATAATACAGTCTTAACTTTATAAGTCTTGTTAAATTGTAAAATAATTCTATTCTCTCGAGAAATATGCTTTTTGTTTGAAACTCATGCCACTATCATGCTAAAATTCTGGTAACCAATATATTTTTAACCATTCATAGCATTTATCATTATGAATCATAATGATCATTGACTTATGATAATTTTACTAGATTGTCATGCATCATTAAGGATCATATTTTTATAAAATAGCAGTAACCTGGTACTGATACTGATACATATTAACTAATGTTAGAGTTATTCCAGCATAGGGTAGAGGATATTTTTAAAAAGACTAAAACTTTCCAGATACAACTATTTTGTTGAAATGCTGAAAGGGCTTATTTTCTTCCATCATGCAATTGCTTAGGAAGGGTAGAGATTAAACACTGCAATATTCGTTGCCTAGCAACATCCACCTATTAGTGGTATAGATTTTCCACCAAAAACCACTTTTATTTGGGTCATTGTCTTTGAAATTGTATCATCAAAGCTCTTCTCTCTGCTGAAATGATCTTTAAAGGGCTTCCAGCTCTTATCTGCAGGAAAAAAGAAGAGGTCACACTGTTTGGGACACTTACAGCTGTAAAACCAGGCCTTCCAGTGGTAGTCTCTCGCTTTGCCATCATTTCCTCTGAAGGACTAGTTTTCCTACTTTCTATCCCTCTCTTCACTGATTGGGAGTGAAAAATCTGGAGAATGCAGTATGGTTTATGTACATCTTATAAATGTTAAATCTAATAATTTGATTTTGCAAGTTCAATTGTTACTGCTGTACTTCTTTGAGAAGGCTACCTTGTAAGTCAATGAATGAGACTTTAGGTGGTAAGAATTGAGGTACTGTGGGCATCAAGCCCACTTCTCCTTGTATTTCTCTAGGTGAAGTGTGTAAAGAATATTTGTAAAAATGATTCTGCCAGTATTATGTGCATTTCCATAGCAGCCCAACAGACAGTAAATCAGTACTTGTGCTGATATTGCCTGTTCCATTTTGCCATTATTTGAAAGTTGCTATTTCATGAGTTAGAGGAGTTTTGTTTCAAAGCCTTTGGAGTAATGATAAATATTTAGATGTACTTAAACCCCAACCTAACTTGTTTTAAATTTGTCATAGTTATTTTTATGAGCCTTATTTGATATTTGGTCTTACATGATAACAAAGATAGCTTTTCCTTTTAAAGATCTGCTTCTCTATTTGAATAAGAGTGAAAGAGAGCAGTGAGACAGAGACGAGATGTGTTCTCTGATTTACTCTCCCAAATGGCCATAGGATGTGGCTCGGGGCCTGGCTGAAGCCAGGAGGACTTGCCTCCTGTCGCAGGAACACAACTACGTGGGCCATCATCCACCACCCTGCAGGTGCATTCTCAGGATGCTGGGTTGGAAGTTGAGACAGGATTTGATGTGGTCCCTCCTATGCGGGATAATAGGCTCCCAAGTGGTAGGTTAACACAACTGAGCAACAGTGCCTTCCCTGAGGGTGGTTTGGTTTAAGGGTCATGCATTAACTAATCGGTATTGTGGAAAAGAAAAATCATGTGCAATTTTATTTGTTAATAAGGCCCTTATGTTTAAACATGTTGTATTACTTTAGATCTTGATTATAATTGGACAGATAAGTGGAAAAGAAATACTCTAATTTTCTAATCAGAACATACTCCCTTCCAGTAGAAACATAATTGGCCTCAATAATAAAAATGTCTATAATCCCCCAGGTCACGAACTTATTATTTCCTTTTGCAAATATTAAGTATTATTTAGTCTTTAGCTGTGACGTAGATGGCTGTAAATGCAGAATAAAACCATTGTGATTTTAAAGCATAGTACCCTACATGTTAACTCAGATGTTTCTATGTTTCTGTTTAGTTTTTATAGCATTACTGTATTAAGCTGTTTAGTTTTCCCCTATGATTCACTTTTGCTTCATATAATATTTGTGATTTTTGAAGGTTGTCTATTGTATAAATGGAGCCATAAAGCTGAATTCCTCATTGTATGTTGAACCAGTTGAATGTCTCTCATGCTTTTTGCCACAAATAAGAGTTGAAATCATTTCTAATTTTAAATCTTTTGCTTTATTTATCCTTCCCATAAGGTTAAAACCATATCATCTTAAATACTCTAATTGCCATTTTCAAGGCAAAAAGTTGTTGCCACTGACTGTGGTAATATATTATGTTTATTTCCCCTTACTTAACTAATATTTCTTTGGAACATTAGGTTTCATCTTACCTCATAGATGCAAAATGCCAATTTGGAAAGAAGTTATACCATTATTTCTGAATCTCCACTATACAGCTCTCACTTTACCCTTAGGAATAAAGAATAGCCATATAAAATATTCTACTGAACTAAAGAAAAAATGCTGAATTCTGTGACCACATAGAAATCCTTCTCTATAAAACTATTTTACTTTAATTTATTATGCTCTCAAAAGCCAGAAGATTTTCCTAACAGATGCTTTAAAAACTAGCATGATGCTTATATGTCCTGTAAAACTTAATTTGTATCATTTTGTGTACTGGATCTAATCCTAAATTTTTTTTTAATTGCAAGGAATAATAACAACAATAACATAGAGAAAAGAATTCCAGCAAAAATGGCAGCAGCCTGTAGAATGTTTAAGGGTGCCACACGTTATTTAAGTACTTTCTGCTTAGTCTCATTTACTTGTCCCACCAGTGACGTGAGTGCATCCCGTTTCTATTCCCGATGAGGAATCAGGGTGATGAGCGATACAGCTGAACTGGAGGTTGTAGACATCGATGCCAGCTACTACCTGAGGGTTTTGTGACACTTTGTTTGAGATTTTGTGACTAATGACTTTTTAAACATTTACTCCCCATTTTTAAAATGTAGCTCTTATTAATCTTTCATCTGACCAACAAAATTAAAAAAAAAAAGTTGTTCTCAGAGTGGTAATGAAGTGAAGTGAAGCACCAATAGCTTTCTTAATTTCTTGAAGTTAATGCCAGCATAGATTTTTTTTAAACAAAGGGACACACGAGAAGCAGCTGACTCAACATATTTTCACCCAAACTAAGAAATCTTGCTTCTTGTTTTTTGTTTGTACTTGATGACTTAAAATTAGGGATAGGACCACAACAACTCTGCCTAGTCCTCTCATTCTTTCAAGGCTACTTCCTCTGATTTGATTTCTAGACGACTTCTGACTGAGGTTGCCGTACTTTGTGGAGTTGTGTGCAGGTTTTCTTGTGACAATGGCACTGTGACGCGAGTGCCACTCAAGGTGGTAGTGATGTGATCACTGCAGAATTCGGGGTGATTTTGACTTTCCTGACTCTCAGTGAAGTGTTGTCTGCTAGAAAATAATCGGTGATTTTGAACTTCAGCTATCAAGCATTCCCTGTGACCTGCCCGAATACTCCCATAGATTGATGACAAATTGTTCGTTCTCTCTGTTGCGCTTAATTGCAGTCCTCTTGATGGGGTTGGATAGAGTAACCTAATTTCTTTTTGTTTTAATAGGTCTTTAAACTATAGACTCTTACCTCTCCATGTGAATATGAAGTAAATTATTTTTTATTTGTTTTTTATTTTTAGTACTGGAGAAAATAAAACTGGACTTGGCCCTTCAAGATATTTATGACAAAAAGCTGCAATGGGAAGCAACCTGCTAAGGAGGACTTCAGAGCAACAAGGAGGAGGATAGCCTGTTATTTCCTGAATGTTACGTAATGCCTCAGTCCACATCTGTGGACAAAAGTTGCTTTTATATGGTCTCGAAGGGTTTGTTTTGAAATATTTTATATATTTATTTTCAGTTGGATGAATTATTAAAAGCTCACGTGAAGTCGGTTCCAGGATAATGTACATATTATGAAAGCTCTGGATAAATTTCATGTTGAACTAGTAAAAATATTTTAAACTTTTGAGTTTGAACAGTTATCTTTTTTTTCCATATATTTATGCCAGGACAGCAGTTCTGTGACTCTGAGTTCACTTCCATTTATAACAACTTTCCTGTTTCCTCCCTTAACTTGTTGTCTTTCCTGCATTGGGGGCGGGGGGGGTGTGTGGCCTAATTTAAACACTTAAACTTTTACCTCATTTTATTTTGAAATTTCATTACACTTTTACATGCTGTTTATTCTGCGTATGCTGGGGAAGACCAGGGAGGATCCTGCTGGCCTGGACCACCGGGCGTGCGGGCATGGAGTGGTCTAAGCATTGGCCCAAGCAGAGGGTGTTTAGGCAGTAACGGGGAGCTGCACAGAGGCAACAGGTGTGAGCGAGGACCCAGTGAAAGATGGTAGCTACCACATGTGGACAGGCAGGCAGAGGGCTCTTCATGCAGGGAAAAGTTATTCATATTTCAAATCTGTTAATAATAAAACCTGGCTTTTTCCTGAAAATTGTAATTCTGCTAAATTGTAAGTATGTAAAATAGAATATGAAAATGTAGCTATGTGAATAACTGGTCAAAACGTAACAAGACTGAAGGTTTTATGAATAAACATAAGACATTTTACATATTCATGTATCACAATGTAAATAATGCTTCTGCAATGAACTTTTGATGCTAGCTTAATTTTCAAAATCTGAACTAGTTTTTGTAGTTCTGTTAAAATAATACATCATTGCTTATTTGAACAAAATAAATTTTTTTTTAAGATGAGTGTCACTAATCCATGTTTATTTGTCTCATAACTTTAGGCAAAAAGTAACATTATATGAATATATGAGGAAAACTTTAGTGACTTTTCCAGGTTAAATATTACATAGTCATGGCTTTACCTTTAAAGAAAAGGATTATTTTATTCTCTTGTTGCTGAATAAATATTACATATTAAATGACATGAAAGGTGATACTTATGACAGTGTTTCAGAGAATGCCATTTGCCATCAGATGCGAGCTAGGAGCATGCTCATTTTGAATGGACTCACTAACTTGAAAGTAAGCATATAATCATACAGCCTAGACAGATATGGAATATAATTTGTATAAAATAGAACCATATATTCAAAGTTGATAAAGATTAAAACAACTTTTGTCAGTCATGAGAGTTTGTGCCTTAATTTATTGGCAAGTTCCACTTTTGATTGGCTGTTGTCCCACACATAAGTGTGTCATTTTTCATTGCATGCAGGTTATCTTCCTTCCTTCTCCTTCCTTTCTCCTCCCTCCCCTTCCCTACTCTTTACTTCCTATAACTTTTCTTTCCAAAAGACAGACAGAGCTAGAGTTTACATCCATTAATTCAGTTCCCACCAGCCAGAGCAGGGCCAGGTCAGAAAGGAGCACAGAATTGAATTCAGTTCTCCCACATAGCTGGCAATAACGCACCTACCTGAGCTGTTACCCTGCCTCCCCCCGGGGTGTGTGCTTGTTGGAAGCTGCAATTAAAAGTAGAGCTGGTAGTAGACACAGAGTGGTAGCCTAGCAGCTAAATTCCTTGCCTTGTGTGCCCCAGGGTTCCCATATGGGTACCAGTTCTAATCCTGGCAGCACTGCTTCCCTTCCAGTTCCCTGATTGTGGCCTGGGAAAGCAGTGGAGTACAGCCCAAAAGCCTTGGGACCTTGCCACCCCTGTGGGAGACCCAGAGGAAGCTCCTGGCTTCAGATCAGCGCAGCACCAGCCATTGTGGACACTTGAGGAGTGAGTCATCAGATGGAAGTATTTCCTCTCTGCTCTCCTCCTCTCTGTATATCTGACTTTCAAATAAAAAAAAATCTTAAAAAAAAAAAGTGGATCTGGGACCCAGGCACCTTGGTAAAGGCTGTGGGTTCCCAAGCAACATTAACCATTGCCATAAATGCGCAGCCATGCCTTGGGACCTTGTTCCCGTGTGGGAGACAGACCTGGAGGAAGCTCCTGGCTTCGGATCAGCTTTGCCACTTGGGGAGTGAAACAGTAGAGGCAGGATCTTTCTTTGTCTCCTCTCTATATATCTGACTTTCCAATAAGAATGAGTAAGTCTTTTAAAGTATAATGAAGAGCTATAAAAACAGTAACCAAATCTCTAAATGTCAACTTGGTTCATCTACTTTTTCTTTGGTGTGTGCGCTGTGTATTAAATTCCACAAAGCAGCGGAAACCTGTTATTAAGAGATGGGCACAGCTGAGAACGGGCACAGCTGAGAGTGTGCACTGCTCAGAGCAAGGCCAGCAGGGCTGCACGGCCCCTCGGGCTACAGGTGCCTCGGGATGGGGGGCGGGACTGCCCCAGGCTCCGCCCCGGGCGTGCAGGCAGGAACAGGAAGAGGCCAGTCACCTTGTTTCCTAGTGGCTCCTTCTTCTTTTCCCACGCCCACCTCCGGTTGCTGGCCCAGTGCAACATCCGCACCCTGCGCTGACTCTGCTCGCTGTGTGCCGTCCAGTCTTTTTTCCTCACGTCTGCCCTGACACTGTGCCTTGCGGCTTCCACACTTCTTACAGCTTGTTGGCTTCTGGGGGTAAGAACCAGCCTGTGAGGAACGGGGAGTAGAGGGGCTTGGCACGCATTGGGGTCCCTGCCACCGTGCGATAATGTCAGGAAAGCGGATTTCTGAGCCGTTGGCCAGTGTCTGTACACCATGGTGAGCCCAAATTTCTGTTAAAATGAGGTTTAAAGGAAAGTCTCCTGGCAACCTACCTGACAGTGCTTCAAGAAAAGGCTGCTTCAAACAAATAACTGAGGTGAAAACTGAAGAAAAAGAGGGATTTAAAGGAACCTTTTTTTGTTGTTTTGTTTTAGTTGACCGAGTTACAGAGAGGGTGAGACAGAGCCTGTCCACGCACTGGTTCACTCCCCACGTGGGCGCAAGGGCCGGAGGCAGGGGGCGAGGAAGTCAGGAGCCTGGTCCAGGTCCCCAGGCAGGTCCAGGTCCCCAGGCAGGTGCAGGTCCCCAGGCAGGTGCAGGCCGCGAGGCTTTGGCCAGCCTTGTCGGCTTTCCCGGCCACACGCAGGGAGCTGAGTGCCAAGTGCCAGGAATCGAAATGGCGCCAACATGGGACGCCGGCGGCCCCGGGCACGCAGCACTGGGAGCATTAGCTCACAGGCAACGGTCCCGATGGTTGTCTGCTTTTAAAGGCTGCTCATGTGTTTTTGATTAAGAAAAACTGAGTCTAAAACATTTAAAAGGTGTTTTAAGTTCCCCAAATCAGCCACATTCCTAATTTGCATGTTTGAGCTTTGCTTTGGGCCCAGTGAATACTGTTTTAAAACAATGTTCTGAGAGACATAGAAACTGAAGTAGTAGCCAGAATCAAAGTGCAACTTCTACCTTTCCCAGGGACTTGAAATTCAGAGCTGCATTGGATATCAAGCAGATAGCAAAGCGAAAGCAGTAGCACTGTGAGACTGTTCACAAGAAATGTGGGACAAATGGAAAAAGTCACTGAGATAATTACAAGGACTTGCTCTTTTTATTTTTTTGAGTTCCTGTAGTTCTTAGAAAGAAGACTTGGGTGAAAGAAAAGCAGCACTTTGATGCTCACTCTAGAACGAGGTCGTGCACGACCCGATGTGTCACCTTACAGAAGTCCATATTCATGTCTCTGAAGAGAAGTCTCATGGTAATGGCAGGACAGTTGAGATAAAGAGAAATTTGCAAAATATGAAGCTATCTGGCTGGAAAAGCATGAACCCTGAGCTTTGGTACGTGGCCTTTGTGGCAGAATTAAAGCCAAGTTACTTGGGGTCTAAGTTGGAAGTAGTAGTTCCCCTTAGCTTTTCCTAGTGTTGCTTTCCTCTGGATATTGAGAATGAAGTAAATTCCCTAAAGCAGACTCATTTCTGCATATTCAGTTTATGTGACGTCCTTTTGACAGGTTCCGTTGGACTATAACAATACAATTTTTGGACCCATTAGCAGGGAAGTACATTGGCCTGCGTCTTCCATTTTGTCTCAGTAGAAGGTGTTTTTCTGCAAAGTCCTGATTCTGCCCTCTCTATCCCCAAGCAGTGAATTGCTAAACGATGCAGTCATTCGCTTTTATAACATAAATCAGTTATGCTGTATTTAAGACTTTCTGCTAAAGTGACAGTTAATAACTTCATTATGGTTTTGTAATACAACGGTAATTTAAAATCAAGCTGACATTATGAGGTATTTATCACTGTAGAATTAGTATAACTTTAAAAAATTTTTTTTAAAGATTTATTTATTTTTATTACAAAGTCAGATATACAGAGAGGAGGAGAGACAGAGAGGAAGATCTTCCGTCCAATGATTCACTCCCCAGGTGAGCGCAATGGCCAGTGCTGCGCTGATCTGAAGCCGGGAACCAGGAACCTCTTCCGGGTCTCTCACGTGGGTCACAAAGCATTGGGCCGTCCTTGACTGCTTTCCCAGGCCACAGGCAGGGAGCTGGAAGGGAAGTGGAGCTGCCGGGATTAGAACCAGTGCCCATATGGGATCCTGGTATGTTCAAGGCGAGGACTTTAGCTGCTAGGCCATGCCACTGGGCCCCCTAGTATAACATTTTTAAATGTTTGCCCAGTGTTATGAAAGTAACTAAGTACATTTCTTTTATATGACAGCCCATCATAGACTTTAATGAAATGTTCATTTTTGTATTTAATACCAGTTAGCAAGGTTTTTAATATATTTTCTAAAGTGTCAGAAAGAAAATGAAATATTTCTCTGAAAGAAGATTCTTTGAAGTAAATAGGCAGTTTTTCACTTGTCACGCTAAGCGTAAGAATAGCGTGTATGGTTAATATCTGAGATTTTTTTTTTCACCATTTTTTTTTTCTACAAACATTTCCCTTACTTTCTATTAGGACCTCTTACTTAGCAGAAGTCTGCCTTCACTGCCCCCACCCAGTGTAAGAATAAAACAGATACGAGAAGTAATGAGAATCAACAAAATAACTAGCTACCAACACAAAATCTTACACCCAAATGTTTATAACATCATTCGTGACCAGAAAGTGAGAATAATTCTAGTGTTCTCCACCTAATGGATAGACAAAACACTTCTGTATAAATTGCATGGAAGTTACTTGTTACTAAAGGAATGAAGTGGTGATACACGTTATAACATTGAAAGCATGCTAAGTGAAAGAAGCTTGCCACAAAGACTGTACGTTTTGTAATATCAGTCATGTCAAATGTGTGGATTACACAAACCCATAGAGAGGGAGAGGAGTTTAGTGGGTTGACAAAGAACAGGCAGTGGACAGGAGGAGTGGAGAGTGAGTGCAAGTGTGTATAGAATTTCCTTTTTCGGGTGTAAATATTCTGTAATTAAGCAGTTGTGTCCACACACGTGTTCATCATAGCATGTTAGTTTTAAGTCAGAGAAAGCACTGTGAACATTGACAAGGTCACTCCGAGAAAATATAAGGTGACAGAGGGGCCATAAAACTGAAATGTCAGAAACATCTGAATTTACACTGCCTGGGAAGGAGGGCAAGGCAGCCAAATGATATTCCGTGGAACAACCAAAGAAGTTATTGCTAATTTTAATATCCTGATGCTACTATTGGCTTCAAAAAATATATATATATTATATTATGTATATTATTACATATATTATATAATTATATATAATATTAGATATACTATATATATTATTACATATAATATATAATATATATTATATAATTATAATATATGATATAAATATATATAATATATATTTTGCTACATACTATGCTTTATGGGGGATTTTATGCTAGAGTTCCATC